GAACACATGTATTATTATTATCAGGTTAAATAAAATATCCAGATTATCTACAAACAATGCATTAATTAACTCCAGGCCCTTAACAATACTTACAAGAATTGTCACAAGGAGAGCAAGTATTACCAGAAACATAATAATTGTCTATGCATGTTGTACAGCTAGTATTATTATTACAACTCTTACAATTACTAATACAATTTTTACAATATTTTTGATCAGGGTTTGAATAATCTATAAATTAGCCTGAAGTTAAGTCGCAATTTGGGTCACAATAATTATTTAATTTTTCAGAAATATAATAATTATTTTAGCATTTAATGCATTAGTTTTTTGCAGGACCTGAGCAGCTATAGCAAGTGTTATCGCAAGGGGCACATGAACTACCAGTATAGTAGTAGCTAGTTAAGCATTTTTAACAGCTATTTGAGTTGGTGCAAGTCTAACAATTACTAATACACTTTTTACAATATTTTTGATCAGGGTTTGAATAATCTATAAATTAGCCTGAAGTTAAGTCGCAATTTGGGTCACAATAATTATTTAATTTCTCAGAAATATAATAATTATATTAGCATTTAATGCATTAGTTTTTTCCAGGACCTGAGCAACTATAGCAAGTGTTATCGCAAGGGGCACATGAATAACCAGTATAATAGTAGCTAGTTAAGCATTTTTAACAGCTATTTGAGTTGGTACAAGTCTAACAATTATTTACGCAAGACCTGCAATATTTTTGTGGAGAAGTTGAATCAATATATTAATTCGAATCACATGAAGAAACGCAATAATTATTTTTATCAGATATATAATAATTATTGTTACATATAGTGCATTAATTTACTCCAGGTCCTGAGCAAGTGGAACAAGAAATATCGCACGATACACTACAAGTACCATTAGATAAAGTATAGCCTGGTGAGCATTATGTACATCCACTGTCATTACATGAAACACATGAATCAGGGCACTTTAAAATATAAAAAAATATGATTAGAATAATCAAAAACTTATTTGTCATTAGAAGTGTAGTTTATTTTGTAAATATATTAAAATTTTTTAATTTAAAATATGATAAACTAAGAAAATCATAAACAGCTATTTAAATAAATTTATTTTAAGAATGATTATTTATTTTTAAATTAATAAGGAGGAGGAAGGTAATTATTATTTATATTTATGGATTTAAATAAAAGGTTCATGAAAAAAATTAAACAATTTATTATTAACATTTTTTTTTTACATGTGATTCCCCTCTAATTAATTAATTGAAAACATTAAATTAAATATTTTGATAGTTTTTTTTAAATTGATTATTATTACATATTATATTGCAAGAATAAACCCATAAACGGCAGTGTTATAACTTTAACTTGGGTAAGGTTTAAATGAAATGCTAAGACTATATGAGTTTATATCAGCATTTATTTATGTAAGATGAAAGTAATTTGATCCACAATATAAATCAAATTAGCCACTATTTTAGAATGGCTAAGAATTGACTTAATAAATACTATTGGCAGTGAAACTTTAACCAGATTCTACCAAATAGTTTATTTCTAGATAGATCTTTTGTATTAACTTGCTCCTTTTAATTTTAAATTTTAAAATAAATAAATTCATAAAATTCTATAAGAGTAGGATTCTAATTTCAAAATATTTTATTGCTTTCATTCATTTTTAACAAATTTATTACGATGACTTTTGTATCGCAAAATTAGTATCTGATTTGCAATTGTCAGTTGAAAGTACTAATTCGCTTTTTGAGTTGCATACAATTTATTTTACTCCTATGCAAGGGTTACTTTAAAGACCCTACAAATTCTATGAAAATTCTACATCATTATTTGATGGACTGCTTGGAGGACCTTAATTTATTAGGCATTCACTTCCTGAATTAAAAAACATATTTTAAATAAAAAAACTGCTCTTTTTAAGTTTTACTGCTAGAAACAAATGATCTTTTGGATAAAATACTAGAACAATCTTCTTAAGTTTTAGTTATAACGTAACTTAATACTATTTTATTTATTATATTCTTAAATTGCAAATATTTTTATTTTTAAATTTACGTTTTAAGAGAATAAGAAGTATGAAAAATGAGAATTTATCTTTTACCATATTATTAATTTCAAGTTATTTAATTTGATTTTTTACTTTTTATTAATTTCAGTTTATCACAAAAATTAGCTATTTAAATAGAAATAGTTAGAAAAGTACAATTTAATTGATAGAAAAAACAGCATAAACACCTTGGTTATTTACTTTTATATAAATTTGAGCGAAATGAAAGATCTACCATTTTAAGATAAATTGCATGCAAATCCATAAATTAACTCAAACTATTAGTCTCTTTTTGAGTTAGAAACTAAGTAATTACAATCAAACAAATTATATTTTGGGAATCTCCTCTATCGATAACCTACGAAAATAATTAATTTCAAGCCCTAAAAACCCAGGGCTCACAAAAAATTTGTTCATTAAAAATTCAAAAAATGTTAGTTTTTCATGTAATTAATTTTAATTAAAAAAAAGCACTTTTTCCACTTCTTAGCCCCAGCTCTAAACACCTTTACAAACTAAAGTCACGATTTTTGTTACAAATTAAATAATATGTAATTTATTAGCTTATTTTAAGCTTATAATAATTAAAAGCATTCTTAAGTTATTTATATTATTTGATAAGCTATTATATGTTTTTTAAAATACCATATTTTTCTTGTCATTATATTTTATATTATTTGTCTTCAAATGCTTTTACTGATTTAATTAAATAGTAGAAATATTTCAATTCAAGGTTTAATTTAATTTGGTCAGATCTAAAGAGTGGATAAGATCATTTGATTATTCTCTCTATTTGATTATCAAAGGGTGAGGGCAATTCGTACTATATAAATGGAATTTAATTCTAAATTTATTAAAAGTTAATCCAAATTTAAACAACTAATATCTTTTCCTATTTATTATCATTTCTCAAAGATCTCATTTCATTCGATTAATTTATGACGATCGTTTAATTTATTCAATTTAATTCCTTAAACAAAATACTGTAATCTAATCTTAAATTTAGTTAAGATAAAAAAATGGTTGGTACTTCAATGACTTAAAAACTGTTCCAAAAGAAAAATGAAAATGACCAAAAATTTCTTAGCTCTCCTCACATCCTAATTTACACCAAAAATATAAAAACTCAAATTCAATTAATAAAAAAGCTTCTCTTGAGATTATTTAAATTGGAAAAAAGCCAACTATTGGTTTTAAGTTAAAATAAGTTTCCATATTGACTAATTTTTAATGTCCTAATCGCTGATTTTTATGTAATTGCTGAATCAACACCTTTTATTTTTAAACCAAATTTAGGAGAATCAATTAATTATAGTTTTTGATATTCATTTGGAACAAGCTTTTAAAAAAATTGAGAATGTTTAATGCTCACTTTTAAGAAGATTTTTTAACTTGAATGTGATAAACTATGATCTTCTGTGAACTAACTTCCTTATTGAATGAAATTTACTTTAAAATCAAATGTAATAGTTTTGTATAGAACCCTAAATTACAAGATTTGGAAACCTTTATAATTTGAATTTATGATAACACAAATTTTATGGTAAGATAATATAAGGTAGAAATAAACCTTTTCTTTAAAAATAGTGTAAACTAGAAAACCTAGAAGATAAAGGATTTTTATAAAACAAAGCAAAATTTTAAATAACATCTGACCATTGTTGAGATAATAGAACTCTTTAACTAACAAAAAATAAATTTACTAAATTCATATTTCATCTTTATACTGATATAATAATGATAACAGTGAACATTTTTTTATTTGTGATTCCCTCTAATCGATTAATTGAAAATATTAAATTAAATATTTTGATAGTTTTTAAATGATTACTATTACATATTTAATTGTAAGAATAAAACTATAAACGATAGTATCATAACTGGCACTAGCGTAAGGTTAAAAATAAATATTAAGAGAATTTATTTAAATCTGCATTTATTAGTGTAAGATGATAACAAAGTTTAGAAGTATTACTACACCATTAAGTAGGATAGAATTATTAATAGTTGATTAAAATAAATAATACTTTGGCACCAATAATTATTTTATTTCAAAAAATTAATTTCTAGATGATCTTTTCTATTATCCTGCTCCCTCCTTTTAATTTTAAAATAAATAAAATAATAAAATAAAATAAAAAAAACTAGAATTTTAATTTCATAAAATTTAGTAAAGAAGAGTTTTTTTTATAAAATAGGCAATTTTTAAAATGATATTTTGAAAATTTTTTATAATTTTAATAGCAAAATTTCATTTTATTGTTTTAATTAATTTTTAAAAAATGTATTACGAACTCTTTTCTATCACAAAATAAGTTACTGATTTGCATTTATAAGTTCAAAATACTATTTGACTCTTTGAGTTGCATTCAATTTATTTTGCACTGTATAATTGTTTCTTTAAAGACCCTACAAATACTTGTTAAATTCTACATCATTTTTTGACAGACTGCTTTAACTTCCTTAATTTATTAAGTATTCACTTCGTACATTAAAAATGTTTTCAAATAGGATAACTAAATTTATGTAGTTTTACTGCTGCAAAGAATTGGATTAGAGGCAAAAAGTTATTAGTAATATGTTTAAAGATTTGTTCTAACATAGCTCAATACTATTTTCATTTAATATATTTTTTAAATTGAAATATTATTATTTTAAATTTTACATTTTATGAGAAGAAAAAGAATAAAAAACCTGAAAGTAATTAAGGTGTAATTTGATTGGAAGAAAGAATTGTCTCCTCAATTTAATTATTTTTTTCTATGATTAAATTTACTGTTTTTATTAGTTATTTATTCAATAAAAATCACATTATCTACTATTATTATTATTATTATTATTATTATTATTATTATTATTGGGGTTTCGAATATGTGACATAATTTTAACATAAACATAAAAGTGCGAAGACATAAAGTGACATAAATTTTTGTTAGTTTATGTCAAAAAAATAATTCCAATTTATTCCAATAGATCAATAATAAGAAATTAGCAAATTAATTAAGACGAATGGCCAATTTGCAACATATCCAATCATAAAAATAACGGCAGAATATCTTAAGCAATCTATTACTCTTTACCGTGACTGTGTAGACTTAGAAAAACCTAGTGAAGTTTTTAAGCATGAAGGTAAGAAGTTTTATAATTCAACTTCTTAGCAAATTAGATTGCTTTTTACAGGTAAAATAGATGGAGGGCATTTTGATGCTGTAATTGTGAATTAATAACATAGAAAGCTACCAAAAAAGTAATTTTAATAGAATAAGTCATATTATATCCCAGCTGATGTTAAAAATAGAAAAATCTAGCATAGCAGTATAATAAAAGAATCTTATAGAATTAGTTGTAGGTACCATAAGAAAGGAATTTGCAAATATAAGGAAAGCTGCAGATACTCCCATAGAGATTATCCCTAGCTATTCAATTATCAGAATATAGATAAAAAGAATAATTTCGATGGCTAGTAGTAATCTGAATTCCTTATTATTCAGAAAGTCGTTTTCGATTCGAATAATATTTAACTGGCAAATGAATTTTTTAATCGAATATTATTTTAGGATATAACTTAGGAATTTGAAATTTTTATCCGCCAAGATTAAGAATTTAAAAATTAGAAATAAGAAGAATTCGTAACTCTTTTTAAGTAATTTCATGGATAAAAAGATGAGAAACAAAAAGCAGTTATTGAGACATAAGAAAAGGTAAAAACTAATATTAGCACAATAAATGCAGTAAACGATAAGATTGATAATTCTTAAAGCTAGTAATAGATGAAGAATTAAAAAATAGCAAATGATGAAGGCTTGTTTTAGGAGTAGAAAAATTAGAAAGAAACAGAAATTTAGAATGGTAATTTAGATAATATTACTTCTAATACTAAATCTACTCCAAAATAAAAATTACAACGCAAGTTATCATTCAAAACTCAAGAAAGTCAAGGTTCGAGCCAACTCAAAAATTAGATGGCTAATTTCGAAAAAGATCAAGAGCACGTTATATTCAAATGCGGTTGCTAGCCAACTACTCATAAAGGTTATTCCAACTTTGAATCCTATAGATCCCATTTTTATTTGAAGCATGAAAAAGATATCTATCCTGGGTCTTCTCATGATAAATGGGGTAATTCTATAAAATAATAAGCTTATAATTAGTTACTAAAGTAGGATCAAGAGGAAGAAGTATCAGGTATTAAATCAATCAGATAAAGAAATGGTAAGATTATGAGTGATAGAAAAAGAAAATAATCTCTTTCTTTAAGCAGATTTTCTTTTCACAACAAGTAAGAAAAACCTACTGATCAGTCATTTCTAAAACCTGGAGTTAACGCTGAACAAATAAATTGATAATCAAATCATTCATGATGATTTAAGTCAAAATTCATAGCAATTGATACAGACTTAAATATTTTAATAATAAATTGAACCATAATATAGTTTTTATAGTAATAATTATAACATTAGTAATAGATTTGAAAATATAAACATTAATATATAAGATGCAAATAATAAAACAATTGAAAATAAATTTAAAATTATAAACTGGAATGTGAGATCAGTAAAAGATCTGACATTTAGATTATTGAGATAGCACTAACCACATATATTTATGCTTCAGGAAACTAGACAATTTGATTGGCCTCTTACATAAGGCTATAATTTTATTTAAAAAAAAAGAGATTGTTAGAATGGAGGTGGTCTAGTAATAGGTGTGGATAAATAATTTACACTTAGAGATTTGACTCACCTTATACCAAATGATCTAAACTAAGAAAATCAAATTGAAATGATATTAGCTTAGGCTTCACATGCTATATGTGAGTTATACTTAATAAATTTGTATATTCCTTACCCTAAACAACTAAAGAAAGGAGCCTTAAATTAACTTTAACAATGGATAACTTAACTATTAGAATCAAAAGATAGTTTATTCATAATAAGCGGAGACTTAAATCAAAAAACTAATTTATTTCCTTAACTCAATCAATTAGTCGATCCTCAATAACCTACTTTAATAGCAAGTAGAAATTAGAAATTTTTTAAGTCTGATTGGATTTGGTCTAATTAGTAATTTAGATGGAACTCAAAAACAAGCTTTTACCTTGAGGCATCTGATCACTCTATTATTGAAACTGAATGCATGTTACCATTTTAACCAAAAGTCTAGCAGAAATTTTTAATTCCTTTTAAATAAGGATCATTTAATTTATGTTTCATAGCAAGTAAGTAGAGCAATAATTCATTAAGCTTCATTGAAAGAATTAACAAACTCCGCAAATTTATTAAGCATAAAAAAAGCATAAGATTAACCATTAGGAAAAGGTAGGAATAAAAGTTCACTTGGTAACATTTCATTTAATAATGTGAATCTTACATAAGAACTTCTAAGTCTAAACATGGGTGGAAAATTGTATAAAGATTATCAGTAACGCATCCATAAAAGAGAGACGGAGGTTTAATGACGAGCTTTCTGAACGACGAAGGTAAATTAACTGTAGGGCATGAAAATATAATAAATAATTGTTTAAGTAAACTGACTGAGTTATCAGGATAAATGTGTAACACTTAAAATCTTAAACTGCCTTTACCTAACCTCTCACCTTTAAATGACGAAGAAATTAAATTACTCTAATTAAAAATAAATGATAATAAAGCAATAACCTTGGATGGATATAGCTTATAGTTTTTTAGAAGTAACAATAATGTAAATGTATTAAATGATTGGTGGTGTCAAGATGTGGTAAATAAATTAGGGGAAGCGATTTTTGCTGCAAGGTTGATACCCTTAAATAAGGTCTTCCCAAATATACCAAGTGCTGGAGACTTCAGACCTATTACAGTGACTTCTCCAGCCTATAAATGGTTAGAAAATAGGTTCAGTACCAAGATTTAGTAGTATTTAAAAGAAAGGTTAGACAGAAATCAAACTGGATTTATAGAAGGATGCGGAACAGGTTTAAATATATTTATGTTGATAAATAAAATTTAACAAATGAGAAAAAAAGATGCAGTAGGAGCTCTCTTCATAGATTTCAAATCAGCTTATAACACAATTTGCAGAGATAGACTATTTAAGATCTTATAAGACAAAGACATTCTTAATTTAGAAGAAAGTTAATTTCTAAGATATCTGTAAAATAACTTGTTTTATTAAACTAAATCTTAGAAGGTATATTTAAGAGATGGTGTGATTTAAGGCTCTTCCTTGAGTCCTGGACTATTTAATATTTATATGGAGGATGTAATGAAGACCTTAATCTCTTAAGTATAATCACCAATTTGGTATAAGGTATACGCAGATGATTTGGTGATAATAACTTAGATTTAACATTTAAAAAGGGTTATTCAATAGCTTAGATAAATTTGTTTAGAATATAAGCTTATAATTAACAATAATAAATCTGCTGTTTTACCATTAAAAAACTATCAAATTGATAGTAATTCTATTGAAGGTATACCTATTGTTAATCAGTACAAATATCTTGGAATCAATATAGATGGTAACGGAACAATAGCTCCTCACCTTAAGTTCATAGAACAAAGATGGAAATATTTATAAAAAGCTTTATACTTTATAAGAGACTTAACATTTAAAAACTAGGCTTTAATGTGGAGCACCTTTGTCAAGCCCTATTTTTAATATAGTTTATGTATAATAAACACATAGAAGTAAAATATTAAAAAATAATTTTTTAGCAATTGGAGAAGTAGTATCAAAAAGATACTTAAATTACCATAATCTACATCTAACTAAATAATAGATTAGATCTTCGGTGATTTATAAATTTTGGCTTAAAACTCAGAAAATTCAATTAAATATAAGATCAATCTAAGAGCAGGAGAATAAATATACTCAGTATAAAATCAGATTTAGAATTTAGCTGGTTAAATTGATATCAAATTGATACCTGAAAATTTTAAAAATTTATTTTACCAGTACGGTTATTAATGCAAATGCTGCAACAAAAATCTTCATTTTTTATAAGTGTTAAAGCATAAAAAAGTGGAAGTAAATAATATTTTGAATATGTTTAAATATGATGAGAGTAAACCAAAATTAAATAATTAGCAAATTGAAAATAAAGTATAAAGAAACTATGAATTTATAAATGAATTGCTGGAAAATATTAAATTAATAAGATGAATGTATGAATACCCAATATAATAAAACATTATATACAAAAAATTAAATAATATATTATGTACGTAAAATTCGATTTATCTATCTATCTATCTATCTATCTATCTATCTATTATTATTTAAAAAAAATTACTTTTCGCAATAAATATTTTGTTCCCAAAGGTGCGCATAAAATTAATCGATTCGACATAGCAATATGAAGCAAAAAATTAGTGAAGATAATTATTTAAACGAATAAATATTATCTCCAATTCGTGTATCATACAACATAAAAGAAGATAATGAAAACTCTAATTTCACTATTACTTAAATATACGCTGAAAATTAGTCATTTGGTATTTTTAATTTATGTATTTTTATTTATTTATTAACTATAAAATAAATAAGAATTAGATTAATAAAATAAGCTAGACTAAGACACATGGTAACTAGTTTTTAAAAAGAAAAAATTTGAAATCATAATACCTGACTTTGCACCAAAATATTGCAAATGCAAAAATACAAAATGCATAATTAAAATAGATCCGAGCTTGAAATTTTTGTACTATTCTTGTCCATTATTTTATCCTTCTTAATCAAAAGGTTGTAAATACTACAACTTTTTCGAATATGGTAAATATTTAGTTATCCAAAATTTATTAATAAATATTAGTAAATTATAAATATTTTATTTATTTTAAAATAACATAGATTAAATAATGTATTTGAAATTACACCACTCAAATAAAATTCCAAATGAAGTATTTGACAATATGAAGATTAAAAAAAATTAAAAATATTATATTTATAGCTTTGATAAAGAAAAAGGTAGAAAAAAGGAAAAGATTTGAAAAGAATAATGTATTAAATTAAATTTTATAATAAAATATTATTTAAATTAATAAACAAGCAAAGAAATAAATAAACTCAAATAGAATAACAAAAATATTAATCTTTTAAAATATTTGTTAGCTTTTATTTTTTGTAGTCCTTGTAAATAATTAGAAATGAATATTTAGTAAAAAATTTTACGTTTTAATTTTATATTTATAATATTTTTTTTATTTTTAATAATTTAATTATCAACATTTTATTATGTAGAATTTAAATAAATAAATTTTTTTACAAAAAAATTTGATTATTATTTCATCTTTACTTTAACAATAAATTAAAATATTGTTTATAATAGATCAAGGAAACGTTAACCATTGACAAAGTAGATAGTCTAATTAAATAATAAGTTAAAGATAAAGAGAAAACAATTAATAAAGAAATTTAAATAAATTAAGAAGAAATTTTTGAATATCACCTTTTACTCTCTACTTTTTATTTTTATAAGAACATAAATATACCAGTTTCTAATAGAATTAAAGATAAAGAATAGTTAAAATAAAAAAAGTTGATGGTGAAAATCAAGTTCATATTTTATGTAAGGCAATTTGTAGGATAAACTTATTAACTTTATAATTACTTTATAAAAGTGAAAGCTAAAGTAAGAAAATTCAAGTGAAACATAATTACTTAGAGAGTAAATTTAAAAATATTTTAAGATCTTTGAAAGTTTAAGTAAAGAATTTTTTACAGTACATAATTAATTTATCAAGCAAACCATAGAAATAGATCAAAAAGAACTAGAAGATACCAAATAAAAATTCGAAAATAGAATAAAATACTATAGTTTTCTTAAAAAATATATGTGTTTATTTATCTCTAAAAATTTATAATATTTATTTTATATCAAATTTAAACATTTAGTATAAAAAAATTTGATTTTTATTTGTTTATTTTATAGTATAAATTATTTTAAACATTTTAAATAGAAATTAAAGTTAAATTTAAACTGATACCAAAACATAATAAAGATTACAAGTTTAAATGAAGAGTTAAATTTATAATATTGAATTTAAAATTCAATCATATATCTATCATTTCAATTACTTACTTTAGTTGAAAAAGATTAAATAATTTTTCATAAAAGCTATTTTATAATACATTTTTAAAGTGTTTCTTGACTAATAGACTCATGAAAGAAGATGTGATTACTTACATAAATATTAAATCTGCTGACATTGATAAGATGAAAATCATCATGAATTCATTTGACTCACTCACAGAGTTTCCACTAGATATTGCCAATATTATGTAAAGATAAACAAAACAGAGTCCAATTTAAAAAATGACAGATATTATTTTTCCAAACTTACCTCTTTTGTATGTGAATTAAATAAAAAAAGTACTTAAACCTAGAACAAAGCTGTTAATTAAGGCAATTATTACTTACTAACTAATATGCTTGTATTAGGAAAATAGTAAGGAAATTGATAAAGTATGAATATTCTTTATATAAAACAGAGTGAATCGAGTAGGTCTTGAAATTATTTCATCATAAAGATAAAAAATACTCAAGAATTAATGAAAAATTGCTATCTTTTTGAAGAAAGAAGCTTTTTCAAAAGCAATTTATTATTTTTCTTTTAAATCGAAATATTAAATTTTTTTTGTTTCATTTTATGAAGTTGTTTAAATAGACTATTATGGATTTTCATCTTAATTTAAGGTACTTCGCTATTTAGAAATTTAAAGTTAATTATCCTATATTCGGTTTTAAGATAAGTTATTTGAACTAATCTCTGGTAATTTTTCTTATGTTTATAAATTCAAAAACTTAGTCTTTTTACATCTTGCATTAGGCATCATTTAATTTCTTTCACTTGGCTAAGTAGACTATATTTGTTTTGGAGATTTTTAAGACTGACCATTCTATAGAATTAAACTTGGGAAATGTTTATTAATTTAAGGTGGAGTAGATGGCTCTACCTTAGGTTGCTAGTCTTCATTCACTAATTATATTTTCGGGAAAGTTTATATGTCAGCTTAATCTTAAAATTCTTAATCTTTCGACTATTGACTAATTAACTTTTCTGGAAAAACCTATGAGATAATTTTTTATCTTGTTTTACGATCTAAGTTTTTTCCTAAAATAAGCAAAAAAATTTCAAGTGCAGTAAAAGTTGAGATAACCCAAAAGGATGCATACAAGTAGAACTCTTTAAATTTCTGTATGTTTTATATTCCTTATTCTCCTAATACTGTATCTAGGTTTTTATTTTTTTAAAACATGTCATCTATGTCTTCAATAATTGTTGTAGGAGATTAAGATTAACACAAGCACATGAAGTTATTATAATTTTATTTTAAGATACTGCAATCATTCTTAGACCATTTGACATCATTTTATTATAAACAAGTCATGTTATATTTTTTGCTAGAAATTGCATTATTAAATTAATATGCTACTCTGGAATTATTCATAAAATTTTAAGAATCTGTGCTGTTTATTGTAGTAGTTATTACTTTGTTCTTTGAATATTAAAAATTCGAACTAATATTCTCATATTACTTCACATATTCTTGAAAGTTAGTTGCGTTTTCATAAATATTTAATGCATATGTGTTTCTAACTATGTTGAATGTAGAATTTTAAGAATCTGAGTTATTAAATGGTAGTGCATATCTATAAATATTTTTTTGAGTTATTGTGTCAGACAGTAAAGAAGATAGATTACCTTCTAATATGAGTGACCCTTGATTAGGGAGTGTGATGTTAGAAAGTATACTTCCTATCTGGAAAGATATATTGTTATAATGTTCAAAATCCAGCATTGAGCTACTTAAATTGACAGTGGAATTTAAAATTTTAAAAGAATCAATCAGATTTTGCATATAAATATCATTATTTTATTAAAGTTGGCTTGCATTGTTATTTTATATACTTGATTATGTATGTTATATGATTTTTTGTAGTTGGTTGTAAATTGTTTCTTTCTAATTTTCTTTTGAATCTATGAGAGTTTACTGCAGTTATGCAATTACTTTATTTGCATAAGTTGATAAAAGAGAAAATTAGGGTAATTAAAATGATTTTTCCTACAAATTCGATATGAGTTAAGCTTTCAGATCATTGATTTTCTAAGATGTAAAAAGTTATTTGTTTTTGCTTAAATCTTCTCCAATAATACTCAAAGAAACTACTTAGTCATTAAATGATTGATAATTTTACTAAGCTTATTTTATAAGTTAGTACACAAGTTAATAATAATTATCTTCTGTTTCATTTTGTCCATTAACTTGAACAGTTAAAGTGCTATTAGAAATTCCAAGTTAAGAGTCCATAGCTTGGCTCATTATAATTAAGCTTCCTTAAGGTAGAGTAGTGTTCATCACATAGCTAGTTGTTTAATCTTTTATTAATCTTCTTGAAATATTCCAAGGTGAATCTAGTTCTTGTTCATAATCAGCTTGGTTATTATAGTAAAAGAACTAGTAAGTTAAAGGAGAGTCTTCATCAACACAATTTGAGAACTTGATAGAAAAAATTGTTTAGAGAGCTACTCCTTGGTTTGGACTTATAGAAAGAATGCAATTTTTAGGAGGAATGTTAATTAAAAGGGTAATTGTTGCTAAACTTGGCATGACATAAGATGGATTGTAAACTGAAAAACGTACTTAAACTGTTGGAACAGTAGGATCTATATTTTAAAAATAGCTCCATATTCTAAATTTTACCTAGTAGTAATCAAATTTTATGGCTCCAACTATTTTATTTTTATACAACAAAGCTCCAGCATATGATAAAATATCCGAAGAAATATTGGAACCGTATTGAATAACAAAGTTAAGATCTTAATTTAAATTTATTTTCTGATTTTACTGCTGTGGAGGTTATAAAACAGTTAATGGAGGAATATCTAATTCTGTAAAAATACAAGTGGCTGTAAAATTAGCTGACCTTTTTTCTTTTTATCCCTCTATTGTTAAAACTATGATGCTATAGGGCTGGAAGTTTCTTTCAGGGAAAGAGATTGAGCTTATCCCTTGATTTATTTAAACTATTTGATGATTGTAGTCATAGCAAATGCGATCTTCACTTGATAAACTCTTGCACTACCAGGTAAAAGAAACACCTAAAATGGAAGTTTGATCTTGAATTTCATAATCTCTAAATTCTGATACCAAATCAAATTATTTTTAATAACTAACAATAAAATTAGATCCTCCAACTATAGACAAATATAAGTTAGAAATGAGTACATCAATGGATATATTTTTTATAGAACTTATCCTGTTAACAGATGTAAGATTTAAAATCATCTAAATTTTTATTAAAATTCTTAATTAATTTTTAATTTTATAAGAAAAATAATAATTTCCCAAATCAAATAATACGAATTTTAAAATCATTTTTATTGTTTGAAAATTAAAATTAAAATTTATTTTAAAAAGGATGTGGAATTTAAAATATATTTTAAATAAATTGAATATTTTATTAAATTTAAATTATAAACATTTCAAATTTTTTAATTTTTTTAGATTTTCCATTTTATGTAAATTTTCGGAAAAAAAAATTTTGGTTTTAATAAAAAAGAACCTACAATAAGAAAGTATTTTAGAATTAGTAAAAATTAAAAATAAGAATAATTTGGTATAAATAAAAAGTTCATTCATATTCTAAAATAAACTTAATTTAGTATGAAAATCTCTTTTTAATTTAAATTAAAATAAAAAATGAATTACACTGATATTAAATGTTTAATTTGACGATAATGTGTAAGGAGGTATGTCTAATTAAAAACTAGATTAATTATAGTTTTTAATATTTTGCTCTATTTAAGTTAGATGAGGAGAAACTATTTTAAGATCAGTTGGCTCATTAAAATATGTACTATTTCCAAACTCACATTCTTCAATGTAAAACTAAAAGTAGAAACTCAAGCTCTTGTACCTAATTTATAAAAATAACCTTAGAATTATACTAATAATAAATACGATACCTATATATAGGTGGATAAATCGATTGCTGATAATTTATCCTGATGATTTTTTCTTTTCTGTAAAATATTTTAAACGTCTGTTAGCCAGTTCTGTTCACTTTTAGTAAAAAGCTAAATTTTATAGTAATATTTTGATTAGGAGGTAAGTTTGAGGGGTCTATGATTAATGTTCTATTCAAATTTTAACTTGCTGTTTTCATTATTTAATTGATGCTTTAGATCTACTCATCTTTTGTAATTCCAGTTATTTCCTCCAATGACCATGTTAAATTAAAAAAACCTCTACCCGCATCATTCTTTAAATCACTTAGAGTAACCATTACAGGATTACATGTGTTTTCTATAAAATTACTTTGAAATTATAGTATTGGATTATCAGTCTTATTTTAGTAAACTATATTTCTATAAAATGTGTCTATAAAAACATTATAATCCTAAAACTGCAAGATTCCAGATTTGAAATTTATAAGATTATTCTCCATAATACTAGAAGAGTTGGCTAAATATTTTAAATTAAATAAATACATTAAAATTTATTTTGGAAAAATATATAAATAATTACTCAAAGTAACAATAAATTAGCTATCAGTAATTGAGCATGTACAATCTGATCCTAACAAAGCAAATGTTTAATCTTCAAACACCTACTTGCAGAGTTAATTTGGTGAACTTATTATTGACTTTAATGGTGAGCCAAAATCAATAATTAACTAAGGAATACTTTCACTTAAACTGGCATATAAGACGGCTATATTTTAATAACTGCATTAGTAAAATAAATTTCTTTTGTCTTTTGGATTTAAGCAAGCGCAGTTATTATTTGGATCTAATCTTCTTGTTTCGGTATAACATGTGTTGCATTTCTGAGTTTAAATTTATGCTAAAGTACATAATTAGCAAGTGTTATAGCAGTTATTACAGCTTAATTTATCTTAGCAAGGTTCACAAGCAAGAGTGTTAGTATTTTGCGAGTAGCCGTTTGGACATACAGGAACACAGCTTTTATTATAAAGGTAAAAATTTGAATAGCAACTTTTGCAATTGCTTGATGAGGAGCTATCACAAGTTTTACAAGAGTTATCACATTTTTAGCATTACGATAGTGCATTCAAAAATTCATTTGAATCACATGCTTCAACACATAAACTTGTACTGAGTTACCAGTGTAAACCAGATCTACAAATTATACATTTTGTATTTTATGGACCACTACAAGTTTGGCATGATGAGTCACAAGGCTAACATTAGTTAGAAGAATCTAAAAAGTTTTTGTCAAAGCATGTACTGCAACTATTTCCATTTGAGCAAGTTTTGCATGATAAGAGGCACTTTCTACAGTACTACTGTGAAGGATTAGTTAATTTATCAATATAATAGCCATTATTTTGATCACAAGATTGAACACATGTATTGTTATTATCAGGTTAAATAAAATATCCAGATTATCTACAGATAGTACATTAATTAACCCCAGGCCCTAAACACTACTTACAAGAATTGTCACAAGGAGAGCAAGTATTTTCAGAAACATAATAATTATCTATACATGTCGTACAGCTAGTATTATTATTACAACTCTTACAATTACTAATACAATTTTTACAATATTTTTGATCAGGGTTTGAATAATCTATAAATTAGCCTGAAGTTAAGTCGCAATTTGGGTCACAATAATTATTTAATTTCTCAGAAATATAATAATTATTTTAGCATTTAATGCATTAGTTTTTTGCAGGACCTGAGCAGCTATAGCAAGTGTTATCGCAAGGGAAACAAAAACGACCAGTATAGTAGTAGCTAGTTAAGCATTTTTAACAGCTATTTGATTTGATGCAAGTTTAACAATTACTTATGCAAGATCTACAATATTTTTGTGGAGAAATTGAATTAACATATTAATCTGAATCACAGGATTAAACACAATAATTATTTTTATCAGATATATAATAATTATTTTTACATGTAATACATTAATTTTTTCCAGATCCTGAGCAAGTTAAACAAGTACCATCACAGGCATTACAAATAGCATTAGATAAATAATAGCCTGATGAGCATTTAAAGCATCCGTTATTATCGCATGAATCACAAAAATCAGGACACTTTAAAATATAAAAATATGATTAGAATAATTAAAAACTTATTTGCTATTAGAAGTATAATTTATTTTATAAATATATTAAAATCTTTTAATGTAAAATATTAAAGAAAGTGAGGATAAAAGTTTATACTAAGAAAATCATAAACATCTATTTAAATAAATTTAATTTAAGTATGCTTATTTATTCTTTAATTTATTTAATAGATGGGGAAGGTATTTATTATTTTTAAAAACTATCAATTTAATTAAAAGGTTCATTTTTTATGAGATTCCCCTTTAATCAATTAATTAAAAGCATTAAATTAAATAATAGTTTTTTTAAATGATTATTACATATTATATTACAAGAATAATGCCAATAATGGAAGTTCCATAACTGCCGCTTGGGTAAGGCTAAAATGAAATGTCAATACTATATTCGCCAACAACTTAATATATATATGAACTTTAGAAGTAATATTAATTACATTATTAATAAACATTGGCCTTAATTTTGTATTCAAGAGAGTTAATATTATAAATAGCACTGCCATCTAATTTATCATATTCTATCAAATACTGTGTTGCTAGATAAAACTTTTGTATTATCTTGCTCCTTTTAATTTTAAAATAAATAAATTCATAAAATTCTAAAAGAGTAGGAGTCTTATTTCAAAAAATTTTATTGTTTTCATTAATTTTTAACAAATTTATTACGATGTTTTTTTTATCACAAAAATAGTATCTGATTTGCAATTATCAGTTGAAAGTGCTGTAAAGCTAAAGAATGAGTTGCATTCTATTTATTTTGTTCCTACGCAATTTTTATTTAAGAGACCCTACAAATTCTATGCAAATTCTACATCATTGTTTGATAGACTGCTTGGATTACCTTAATTTATTAGGCATTCACTTCCTGAATTAAAAAAAAAAAACATATTTTAAATAATAAAACTACGCTTTTTAAGTTTTACTGCTAGGATCAAATGAATGTAAGGATTAAAAAGTAGAACAATCTTAAAAAGTTTTAGTTATAACGTAACTTAATACTATTTTATTTATTTATTCTTAAATTTAAAATATTTTTATTTTTAATTTTACGTTTTAAGAGGAGAAGAAGTATGAAAAATGGGATTTTATCTTTTACCATATTCTTAATTTCAGATTATCTAATTTTCTAAATTATTTGATTTTTTATTTTTTATCAATTTTAGTTTATAACTAACATTAGTCATTTAAATAAAAATAGTGACAAAAAATTCAATTAAATTGATAGAAAAAGCAGTATAAACATCTTAATTATTTGCTTTTGTTAAATTTGAGTGAAATATATGATCATTTTAAGGTAACTGTATGCAAATCTATCAATTAACTCTGACCAATTTTTAAAAATATTGTAAAAGAAATAAAAAATACCTTTAAAACACCTAAATGTTATTTATGACTATTTAGTGTATTTTTGTAAAATAGCGAATAGGTAAATAATGTAATTGAATAAGCATAAGTTTATTGACATGTAGTTAAATTAACTTTAAGATAAAAATATATGTTTGTATATACAAAGGGAGGCCAAATTCAAGTTTATGGACTTTTGAAAACATTTTCTTTTAATATAGATAAGAGAAAATTGAAGTCTTTTGAGATAAAATAAATAGAACAAGCCCCATCCATTTAAACAGTAAATAATTCATATTGATGTCCCTGGTATTTAAGGTATTTTTAAAATATTTGTTTTTTAAAATTTTGTAAAATCTTAGTTAAAAAAAAACATTTTCTCCACTTCTTGGCCCAACCTCTAAATAAATTGACAAACTATAGTCTCTATATTTGTTCTTCAATTATTAATTATACACTTTTGTATGTTTTCTAAAATCAATGTTTTTCTTGTCATTATATTTTATGTTATTTACCTTCAAATGCTTTTACTAATTTAATTAATACCTTTATTTCAATGATAGGAAAAACTTAATTTGGTACGAAAATAAAAGGCTTGTAAGCATAAAGGATCAAAGCTAACTCAAGTCAAAATAAAGCGAAATTAAAACTAGCGATGAAAGAAACAGAAAATACCTTTATTTCAATAATAGGAAAAACTTAATTTGGTTCGGGTTATATAGTGGATAAGATTACCTGATTACTCTTTCGCAATCAAATTATCAAAGTATGAGGGTTATTTGTACTATATAAATGGAATAAAATTATAAATTTATTAAAAGTTAATCCAAATTTAAATAAAGAAATATCTATTCTATTTAACTTATTCCCCAAAGGCCATATTTCATTAGCTTAATTAAAGACAATTTCTTACCTGACTAACTTATAAATTAACAAGTACCTAACATAGACGAGTGGATTTAAGTCTTCGAAAATTTTCTAAGCAACATAAACTACTAAAAATATGAAAAGAATATAAATGACGAATTTGTTAAGCTTTCTGGAATAACATCACCTTCGATCAATAAAGCAACATCCATGAGAATTTTAGGTATTTTGATGAAGGTAATTTATATTTACCATGTATTTATTAACTCCTCTTCTAGTTAATTTTGGGGAGTATTATTAATCATAAATTTACAAATAATTTTTAGAAAGAAATAAGATAGAAAAATAAATAAATAAGTAAATAGATATACCTTAATCAAAGGATTTATATATATTTTTTTTTCTTTTGAGTTTGCATTCAATCTATCAGCCAATCAATAAATAAGTTTATTTACATTTTTGTTTGAAATAGGTAAAGAAAGGCAATGTGAGAGACTAAATGATAGAAATAGCATAACTATTTTCATAAACTGTTATTTACAATAATAGGAAAAACTTAATTTGGTTCGGGTTATATAGTGGATTAGATTAACTGATTACACTTTCGCAATCAAATTATCAAAGTATAAGGGTTATTTGTACTATATAAATGGAATAAAATTATAAATTTATTAAAAGTTAATCCAAACTTAAAAAACGAAATATCTATTCTATTTAACTTATTCCCCAAAGGGCATATTTCATTAGCTTAATTAAAGACAATTCTTATCTGACTAACTTATTAATTCCTTAAACTATATGCAATAATCGAATCCTAAATTTAGTTAAGATATAAAAATGGTTGGAACTTCAATTGCTTAAAAACTGTTCCAAAAGAAAATGAAAAAACCAAAAATTTCTTGCTTCTTTAAATCCAAAAAAAGCCAATTCTTGTTTTAAGTTAAAATAATTTCCATCGAGACTAATTTTTAATGGGCTAATCTCTGATTTTTAAGTAATTGTTTAATCAACACCATATATTTTTATATCCTAGTTTTGAAGAATATATTCATTAGAATTTTTTGAAATTTATTAAGAACAAGCTTTTAAAAAAGTTGAGAATCTTTAATGTTCACTTTTAAGAAAAATTTATAACTTAAATGTGATGAACTATGGATCTTCTGTGTACTAGGAAGATTCTTATAGAATAAAATATACTCTAAAATAAAATGCAATGATTTTATATAGAACCCTAAATTACAAGATTTGGAAACCTTTATATTTAGAATTTATGATAACACAAATTTTATTATTAGATAATTTGAAGTAGAAATACTAAAATCAAATGAACCTTTTCCTTAATCATTATGTAAATTTTAAAACCTAAAAGATGAAGGATTTTAAAAAAATGTATTAAAAACTATTTTAAAATTGCAAATCAGTTGAAAGTATTATTTGACTCTTTGAGTTGTATACAATTTATTTTGCAACTGTAAAATTTGTTTCTTTAAATAACCTACAAATACTGGTTAAATTCTGCATTGTTGTTTGACAGACTTCTTTACTACCTTAATTTATTAAGCATTCATTTCTTACATAAAAAAATGTATTTAAATAGGATACTGAGTTTATGTAGCTTTATTGCTGCAAATAATTGGCTTAGAGGCTAAAAAGTTATTAGTAATCTGTTTAAAGATTCGTTCTAACATAGTTCAATACTATTTTCATTTAATATATTTTTTAAATTGAAATATTTTTATTTTAAAGTTTGCATTTTATGATATGAAAAAGAATGAAAAACCTGATTTTATTTTTTACCATATTCTTAAATTATGTTAATTTTGTAAGTTTTTTTATTAGTTAATTTTTATCAATTTTAATTTTAGTCTAACATTAGCTATTAAATTAAAAATGGTGATATTTTCATTAATAGAAAGGGCATAAATATTTTTTTAACATTAATTTTGTTTAAAAATAATTTTATTTATTCATAAAATTATGTTATTTATTTATAATTTGATTGGAAGAAAAAATTGTCTACTCAATTTAAATACTATTTTGATTATTTATTTATTTATTTATTCAATAAAAATAACATAATATATTATTATTATTATGGTTACTTAAAAAAAAAGATACTTAATACTACTTAAACATGACAAGATATATTTTGGTAGTTAAAAATTTTTAATCACCTCATGATTTAAGCATAGTATATTTTTTAATTCATATTAAAAAATTAAATAATATTGTTTGTATTTCTCTTAACAGTTTTTTATATATATTTATAAATTTTTTAAATGTTTAATCTAAATTATACTGAATTTCAGTGTAATCTTAGTAAAATAAATTAAAGATATTAGTTGCTTATAATGTTTTTTAAGTACTTAACTCATTTTTATTTTTAATTTATCAATGATAATACCTTATTATGTTATTCAAATTTCAAGAAGAAACAAAATATTACAATATAAACGAAAGAAATTACTTTTATATTTTTGCTTTTTCTTAATTTATATGAACTAATTAAAAAACTAAATATATTTACTTTCAATTTATTATACTATTAGTATATACTCTATTGAAAACACAATCAGTAGCTTGTTATTTGTATTTAATTTGGTCTACTTTTTTAGCTTATAGTTAACATGGTATCTCTATTTTTGATTAAATTTCCTTTAAGCTTCTACTATATGTTTAGGATAAAGGTGAAATTGATTTATTATCAATTGCCAATGATGAATAATATTTATTTTTATAATATCAAGGTTGAAATTCTATGCTTAGTTTAATACCTATCCTAGTTACATATATATTATAGATCATTTTTATTTTGTTTTATTTACTAATATTTTTTATAATTATAACAAATAAGAGATAATTTAAAATAAAAATTGTATTTTTTTTATAGATTACCAGTTTATAAAATAGGCGGAGCGAAAAACTATCATAAAATATTAATTAATAATGAAACAAATTATAAATTTGTTAAAAAATTTAAAAAATGAATGAAACAAATTGAATAAAAATAAAGAAAGTACTTAATTTTTTATTTCTGCTAAAAATTACTAAAAATTTATATTCTTTAAAAATATTAAGTAAGATTTTTCCTAAAATTTTAAAGTATGTATTAAAGATTACATTTGTTATATTCTTCATTTTATGTATCCTTAATTTTATTTAATTTTTCAAGGTTTATCTGGTTACAAATTTTTAGAGGATCTTAAGACAGGAATAGAATTAAAATCTTTCTTATTTTTACCTTTTAGTGGGGAATTTTGTGAAATAGAGTATTATTTGTAATTTATAAATGACAAAAAAATCCAAAATCTAATTTTTTTAAAAAATCATTGAAATCATATTAAGTATTCTTTAAAAAATGTTTAATTAAAACCTGGCTAATATTTATTCACCTGCTTTTTTATAAGATAATTAGCATAGCTTACTAATTCCTATCAAAATCAAGTATATTATGTTCAACTTCAAAAAAAATCTAGCAATAAGCAAAATAATTGTGTGATTAAATATTTAATATATATCAATATAATATAAAAAAATAATTTAAATTACAAGTTAAAAAAAGTAAAAATATAGTAATAAATCAAAAATTACGTTTTTCTATAAATTATTACATAATTAATATTTGTAAATATTAACAAGTTTTTGCTTAACGTCTGAAGCATTACTTGTTATCTTTAATGTATTTAATTTTATATCTTTATTTCTTTCAAAGAACATTTTATTTTCTATGGCTAAATAATTTGAATTTAGCAAATAAAATCATATGAGCCTAAGTATAAATAATTTAATTATTGATAACAGCAAATATCATTAGTAATTTTATGTTCTAGAATAATAATTTAAAAAGTTAGCCATTGATTACTGAAGTTAAAAGTAATCAAAATCAAAATAAGTTAACTATTAAACATAATAAAAAATACATGAAAAAAAACAAACACTTATAGTTTACTAATTGATGATTTTACTGATGAAAAAAATAGTTCAATGACTATTAACTTATTGAAAATTTTATATTTCTATCAAAACAAATAATAAAAATACCTTATTAATCTTAATGCTAAATAGATAAAATTAAAAATGAGTTTATTTATAAAAAGCAAATAATCTTTCTTTTACTTCTTTTACAAAACAAGTGATCAATCAAAAACATAAAATAAACTAAAAAATTAATATTTATTTTGTTTTAGACCTTTAAAAAATTTTATATTTTAAATTATTTTTATGCTTTACTGTAAGATTTTTGTGCTTTCAATTAGGCTATAGATGATCTAAAATCTATTTGTTAATTTTTAATAGGAACAAAAATTATCAAAAAGAAAGATCATAAATATATACTAGAAAGAAAGAAACAAACAAATGAAATTAATCAGCTTTGTTTTTCTATTTTTTCCTTGTTTGTATTTGAGCTAAAATATAAACTAAATTTTCTCACCTTCACCCTACTATGTTAGTAGTATTTAATCTATTGAAAATACAATCCAGTAGCTTGTTGTTTGTGATTAACTAGGTTTACTCTTTTTAGCTAATGGTTAAGATGGTATCTCTATTATTGATCAAACTTCCTTTAAGCTTCTACTTTAAGTTAAGGATAAAGGCGAAGTCGATTTATTATCTGTCACTAGCGATGGACAATATTTATTTTTCTAATACTAAGGTTTGATTTCTATGTTTTAGTTAAACACTTTTCCAAGTTATGCTATCAGCTATATTTGCTCTGACAATTCTAATTTTGGCTAAAGTATAAACTCTCTTTTCTTATTTAACAATGATAAATGGGCAGCTGGTACTTCCAATAGTATCTTAGTTGTCTATGATGTATCCTCTAGAAGATAAATGAAAATTATAGGATAGATTGATGTGTAAATGGTTCCTTTTTATATTGTAAATGCTAAAAATTCCTATTTATTTTTAGCAAACATAAACTTAATTGTTGTTAGATTTTAACTCTAATAGAATAATATGCTAAGTCTTGAAATTGTTTTTACAACTCCTGCAGATTATGGGTTTTCTAATCTTGTTTTAACAAATGATTAATATATTTATGCGATAGACTCATGGGGTGGCCTATATTTTGGAAAATTCATCAACTTAGATTCTATAAAAGATGGCACAACAATTTCGTAATTTAACTTTGATGTTAAAGCTTGGTGGCCGTTAAATCAATCTCCTACTTTAAATGAAATAAGAGTTACTAATGATTAAAATTTTATCTTGATTGGAGCTTAATAATTAGGAATATTTATTTTCGACATCAGCAAAAGAAGTCAAAGTATATATCCTAATTTATTTTAGTGGATAAGATCATCTGGTTACTCTTTTTCTATCAGATTATCAAAGGATGAGGGTTATTTGTACTATATAAATGGAATTTAATTGTAAATCTATTAAAAAGTTACTCCAAATTTAAACAACGAATATCCTAATCTATTTAACACTATTCAAGCAAATTAAACTGTAATAGGAACAGCCATCTATCGTTGGCGCTGTTACATAACTCAGAATGATAAATTCTTTATTGGAAGTTTTGATAAAGATGGATTGTTTATTTTTGATTTGAAAGGTAATCCAAATAATATGTAACTTTTATAATAGGTAGTACCACAAAACATCTATTATACAGAATCAGCAATTATAGATGAAGAGAGCGGATATATTATTACGCCTGGAGATAATACAGGAATCCTACTTTTTGTATATTAAATGAATTAGATTTCTTCAAGTTAATAATTATAACCAGTGTTTTCTCTCAATGGAAATAATCCAAATATTGTAATGGAAGGGATCAGATATAATCACAATAAAAAATTAATAGGAATCGCAGCCTACACAACTGTTTTTTTAGTTGATTCTTCAAATGGTCTTCTAAATTTATAAGTCCTTTCTAGTCTTCAAATAAGCAATTAAGTTGTAGAGCTTATCTTTTCATAAGACAACAAGTTTATTTTGTGCGCATCAAGAAATGATGGGTTTTTAACTCTTTCAATAGGAAATAAATATGAATTATAGATTGTTAAGTATCTAAAAACAAATGGTGGATTTTGTATCATACAATCCAAAGATTTAAAATATGCATTTGTTTGTGAAGGACCTAAAGGCATAGGTATAATCGATTTGAGTTATTTGCCAGAAATAAAATTCATAAGTAGAATTCAGTTAGATGGAACAACAATGCAAATAACACCCTTATAATCTGATAAATTTTTACTAGTTTCTAGTAATGTTGTAGGTTTTTTAACATTAGTAGATATTAGAGACCTAAAGAATTTAAAAATAATTTCTAAATTTATGATTGGAGACTAAAATGGGTTGGCTAGCTGCGTTAATTAAAATGAGCAATTCGCTATGCTGGTAAATACAGTGGGTGTAACTAGTATTCCTATTAGCAATTAGATTTAAGTGCATACAGAAATATTTTTGGTCTAGGGATAATAAACAAATTAAATTTCTTACTTAAAACAGTAATATAACTAAACGTTTTTGATAGGTTAGACTTTTTAACTTTAATTTTATCAAATATATCCTAAGAATGGTGCAAAATTGACCAATGTCTTCTATTATTAAAATTATGAAATAGTCGTTATGCCTTTTTGGATAAGTTTTAACTCCTAATTAGCTACTGTTAATATCTAAGCTGTAAAAGATGCTCTTGGTAACGATGTTACAATTCCCTAATAAAATACAATCATTTTATAATACTAAACTCCAATTACAAGCAGTTCCTTTTCTACATAAACATAAGATGACAATATTTAGATTTCTTCAGATATGAGCTTAAAAATTTATAAACAGCTGCGTGTGATGGGTATCATAAATTATCAAAACTTTTTGGTGACAAGTAATTTTGATAGCAATTAAGATTTTAGATTTTAAGATAACACCATGAATGATAATTAGGCTATTTTAGACAAAGTAAAGAGAATACTAAAATAATCAGTGTGCTATAATCCTATTTTATTTAATGTTGCTAATTCTTTGAGGTTCTTTAAAACTCCTTAAGAAGTTCCAGAATACTCATAATAAAATTAGAATGTATAAAAGTAGAAATATTTTGTATTTTCTATTTAAAACTATATTCAAATCTATTTTGAAGTAGCAAAAGAATACGGTTAATTTGTAGATATATACTACGAAGGAGTTATAGCTTAAATATCTAATTTTTAAACTAGATTAAAGCTAGAAGGAGATGTCAAAAACTTAAATAACGCTCTTTAGAATCGCATTTTATTTTTTAAATAAAACAATAATGTAAAAGATGATCAGATAGAGTTTTAGGTAACAATAAGTGATGGTGTAAATTACGATATCCAAACCTCATTTTTACTAAGTGAGGCTTAATCGTTTATTGTTCTAAAATAACCTATAAAATTGAACTAAAATAATACTTTGCAATAGTAATTTAATTAAATGTATCAATATGGAAATGTTGGAATTTCTGATAATTTAGCATTTGAATTTAGTTAAGATACATTTATTAATCCTGATACTAATATAATTAAATATTCTGCAAAATTTAAATGTGGAGATGATTATTGTGATTCAATTTCTGGAGCTTGGATTTAGCAATCAAGCAACTCTCTAAGATTTTTTGGCAGTGTTCCAGTGGGTGAGTACAGATAAGTAATCATTATAAAAATAGAAGCAACAGATGGCTATACTTCTGTATCTGATACATTCAAAATCTATGTCTACAATATTCCTTTTGAATTTGTTCTAAGCTTGCTCATTAAAGTATTCGGACCTATTTTGACTATTTTTGGTTTGTATAAATATCGCAGTTACTTCTTTAACTTTATACTGAATAAGAATAACCTATATTCAAGAGAAAAAGTAGAAGTTCTTCAATAGTATTACAAAAAAATTACCATAATGTCTGATGAAAATATTAAGGCTATTCTTTTTTACAAAGAATTATTTAAAAAAATTAATTCAGATAAAAAACTTAAAGAAAGAATATAAGATAATTTGTTAAATTAAATGGATTTAAACTCAGAAAATTCATAATAAAAAGCTTAATAGCAGAAAAATATAACTTCATAAATTTAAGAAAGTATCTTAAATGGCTAATCAAAAGAAGATTTATTCAAAGAGGATTCTATTAGCTCAATATTCACATAAAATCACTTATAGAAAGATGGAGAAAACGAACCTAATTCTATCTAAAAAATATTACTTTTAAAGGATTAAAAAATCATTTAAATCCTAAAAAGCATCAAAAAAATTATATTAAATCACAAAGCCAAAGAAGATAAAACTATAATCTAGAAAAATTTAGTAAAACAGACAGATCTAGAATAACAAAGTTCAATTTCAAAAAATTAAAAAAGTTAAAACAGAAAACAATAAAAATAAATTTTTATTTAAAGTAATTTTATAAATTAAAATTTTATTAATGAACAAGGATAAATAAAAATGAAATTTATTATTAAACTGATGATTGATATGGATATTACTATAAAACATTTAAATAAGGTTATTTCTATAAAGTCTGTAATACCTGAATTAGTTGATTCTAGTTCAAGATTATATCAATGCCTCAAAGGTCTGTTTTCAAGAGCTTTAATAAAGAACCATCCTCTACTTGACAAAATTTATTAATTCCTTAAGCAATCTGCTATAATCGAAACATAATTTAGTTAAGAAGTAAAAAATGGCTGGTATCTCAAGTATTTAAAAACTGTACCTGAAGAACATGAAAACGATTAAAAACTTCTTAGCTTTCCTAGCATTCAAATTTAAACTGAAAATATAAAATCTTAAATCAAATTGATGAAAAAGCTGCTTTAAAATTTTTCTAAATTGGAAAAAAATTAGCTCTAAGTTTTGAATTAGAATACATTTCCATATAGATTAATTTTTAATGTTTTAATCGCAGATTGTTATGGAATTGCTGAATCAGCACCTTCTATTTTTAACCCAAGTTTAGGAGAATCAATACATTAGAACTTTTTTGACATTCATTCAGTTCAAGCTTTTAAAAAAGTTGAGAATCTTTAATGCTCGCTCATAAGAAGATTTTTTAATTTGGATGTTATGAACTATGGATCTTCTGTGAACCAACAACTTCCATCTTGGATGAAATTTACTCTAAAGTCTAATGCTATACTTTTATATGGAACTCCAAAATTACAAGATGTAGAGACCTTTATCATTAGAATTTACGATAACACCAATTTTATCATAAGATAATTTGAGGTAGAAATATCAAAACCAATTGAACCTTTTCCTAAAACATTGTGTAAACTAGAAAATCTAGATGAATAAGAAGAATTTACTTCTGAAAAGAAGAGAGTTTTGCATGACGTATTATACTTAACTGAATAAAAATCAGAAATATAAAGAAGTTAAAGAACTATTTAAAATCAAGTATCATCTTTTAGTTCTATGAACATAGAGAACACTCCGTAATCAAATGTATTAGTATAAGCAGGATACTACTATGAAAATATTACTTCAAAAGTTAATTTAAAAGATCATCAAGATTCACCTATTATAAATTTAATTAAAACTAATGAGTTTTAACTAAAATAAAAATGATATTAAAAATATAAAACCAAAGAGCATATAAAAACAAACAAACATTAAATCAAAGGAAAAAAAATAATTATGGTCTATATTTTATGTTAAGTTTTTTTAAATAAAATTTCTCTATTTTAATTAAAATAATTATTTTTAAATGAAACTTAAAATAAATGAAAATAAAAAATTTATTATAATTCATTAATTCAAATTTTTGAGTTTTCATGGTTTATTGAAATTTAAAAATTTAAACATTTGTATTTGTTAAATTTTCATAAAATATAAAAATTTTTACCTTTTTTAGACCTTAACTAAATTTTTATATAATAGCATCATTATATGAAGAATATTCTAATTTAGACTAACTAATTTTTAACATAAAAATTTTTATGAGAAAAAAAAAAATCAATCAAGATAATTAAATAATTTTAATTTATTTAGTTTATTGTGTGGTATGTTAAGAAAATTAAACTAAACTAAAATTTGTTAATTTGTTTAAATTAAAATAAGAAATAAGATACAAATAAAAATACATAGATAAATTTGATGGTAGATACATTTTATGGTTTAATCATAATTAATTTAAGATTAAATTAAATAATATTCTTTTTATTATTTAATAAGTAAATCAAAAAAAATAAAATTTCTGTGGACATATTGATAATTTTTCCTTAAAATATTTTATTTCAGTAGTTAGGTTACTGTTACTAAGGTTGCTATTATTAGTTAACCTAGGCTTGATTACTTGGATTTTATCTCTGATTCATACCTCCAGGGTATTATTAATTTGGAGGATTTCCTGATGGTGGTTGTTGTTGTTGTTGTTATTATTATTATTGCTAAAGAGGCTTTTATGAATTTTGTTAATTCTATTGCTGATTGATGTAGTTAGGATGCTACTACATATTTTAATTTGGATTTCCTCCCATTCCACCTTACTAACCTATAGGTGGAGCATTTATTTACTTATTAATAGGATAATTGGGATTTTAGCCTTAGTTAATATGCTACTATTACTACTATTGTTAAGGATGATGCTATCCTTATTAAGGAGGCATAGGTTATTTTACTGGTAAAGGACCTTGTTACTAAGGCTACATACCTCCAGCACTATTTGGTTATCCGCTGTATTATCTATTTTGAGGCAATTATCCTATATATTATTAAGGTCTCTATTAATTTTATGGCTGTTGTCCGCCTGCTTAAAGAGGTTGTTGCTATGGAATTTATTACTGTTAGTTTGGATTTGGAGGAGGAGCCAAAGGAGCTTAATTTGGATTTTATTTCATGCCCATCATCTAAGGGTTTTACTATTGCATATTTGGGTGACCTCCTTGGTTGATTTAGCTATTTGGGTTTTAATTATTTATTGGTGGCATTTATTACATAGGTCTAGGGTGTGGGTTCTAAGGATTGCTTCCTTGATAGTTTTAATGGCCCTAGTTTGGTATAGGAGGGTTGTTGGTTTACTACTAGGGTTAATTTAGTTGCTATTACTAAATATAAGGGGGCATGTTTGGCCTATTTTAAGGATTCTGTGAGTTTGGTGGCATTTACTGTTGATTAATTGCATTTGGTTTATTCTGGTTAGTATGATCACTTGAATAAATTCTTGGTGGTTGCTATTGTTGAAGGTTTTGCTAATTATTTTACTAATTAGAAGTAGAAGATGTTTACTATTTAGCTAAATGGAATTCATAGTAAATCAGCTTCAAAATATCGAACTCTTTCACTTATTTAGTATTTGTTAATTTTATTTCTGAAGTGGTTTTACTCACGCTTTCTTACTATTTCTTTTTCTTTTTTTCTTCAAACATATCAAAACAGCTTATTATTGAAAAAGAGTTCTTTAAACTTCCCAACTCATCTTTAAGACTTTAAGTGTCAAGTTTTTACTTTTTATCCAAAGTAGTTTCTAAATTTGAAAAGGGGCATTTCCTTTTATCAGAAAAATGTCTTTCTTACTACAACTTTTAAACAATTTTGTTGAAAGATTTCTTCAGACTTTCCTGTTTAAGCAGGTATGTTTCATCATGGTCCAATTTAAACCATTTATCATCATCTTACAATAAATTGGAAGCCTTAATTTAACTGTCGTACTTATCCATTTCTTATTTTTAAGATTAATGGTGAGGGTGGTGAAGAGGAGGAGGGTGATTTGGATGTCCAATTTAACCACTTGACTAAGGTCCATTCATTGGGGGATTCATATAAGGTTTTTTCTAATTTTGATTTTATACATTAGGAGGAATTTATTAAGGTCCCATCTAATTATAAGGAGGGTTTTATGTTTAAGGATTTTATTAAGATGATGATCTTCCATTATTGTGTGGAGGCATATTTTAAATAGGTACCTACTATGGCTTTAATTGAGGATTATGCTATTATTATCCTGGAATTTAAGCTCCTCCTTGTTGAGGATTTTGGTTAGGAGGATAATTGCCTTGAGCTTTGTAAGGCATTTGATTTGGTGGAGGTGGTTATTGGCCTTGAGGTTTAGGTTATTAGAGGGGAATATTTGAAGGAGCTCCTTAATTCTATCCCATCATAGGTTTATTATATCCTGCTTAGTTAGGAGGTCCCTAATATTAGGGTTAGTTTTACATATTGTGATGGGTGCTTGGATTTAGTTATGGATTAATTGGAGGTTAACCTGGTTATTGCTATTAAGGCTATTAGGGAATATTCTTTTGACCAGGTTGTTGAGGAGGTAAATTTTAAGGGTAAGGGGGTTTCTAGCCATAATTATTGTTTTGTGGATTGAATGGTGCTTGAGGGTTTTATCCGTTTTGTTAAGGAGGTTAATTAGTCTATGGAGTTTAATTTATAGGTTAATTTGGGTAGTGTCCTTATTGATTTTAATTAAATTATCCTCCACTATGAGGAGGATTAGGATATTATCCGCTTCCATGAGGAGTGATTGGAGGAGGGGCTGTTGTATTTGCTTACCCTGCTGGTAGTTATTAGGGTTACTACTAATTTTGATAATAACCTTATGCTTATGGACGTTAGTTGGAAGGATAAGGGGGACCTTATATGCTAGTGTTCGAAGTAGGCTATGAAGGGATCTAATGAGATGGCTAAGAAGCTTACCTCGGTATATACTATTAGTTTGGAGGGGCTTATGGCTGTTGAGGGTTTGGACCTAGAGGAGGTGTTTACTATTAGATATTTTAAGGGGGTTGCTATGCTTAGCTTTGCTACTGGAGCTACTACGAGTTAGATAGCATTTATCCTTATTATTAAGGTTTCAGATTATATTATGGATTTATAGGTTGAGGAGGAGGTCCTTATGGAGGTTGCTTCATCTATTATAAGAAAATAAGTAATAATTAATAATATTTGAATGCAATCAGCTAATTTTTTTAGGCGCAAACAAAGTTTAAGTAGCTGATGAAAAATTTATATTGAAAAGATAGAGAAAAAAGTAAAAAAAGAAAATTTTTGATTGTTTTGATTTTTGAATGAAAGTATATGATTTTATTGATAAAATATATAGAGTTAGTTATTTATTACTGCTATCTCAAAAGAAGAAGTAATTAGTGGATAGTAATAGGATAGAACTAATAAAAAGATATTGGAAAATAATTCTTTTCAAAAAATTTACATTTTAATTATATCCCTATTATTAAGCTAATTGTTGCGAAGCTGATAAATTATTACCTCCCATTTACATTTACTAATAACCCTAAACTTATCCCTTTGCTTAACCCTATTATTACTAAATTTTTCGCAATAAAAACAAAATTTTCATTTATTCAATATTTAATACCAACTCGCGTTTAAATTGAAAAATGTACAAAAAATTCAGAATATTATGAAATTTAAAATATTTATTGATAAAATTATCATTAAATAAAGTGCGAGTTATCAATTTTTTTTGTGTTAATGTGTTTAATTACATTTGTATTGTTGTATGGGATATTTCCTTGCTAAAGATTTTTTTAGTATTATCCGCCTGGTGGTAAATGTCCCATTTAATGCTAAGACTATTGTTGTTACTATTGTTAAACCTGACCCTGTTGTTAAGATTAGTGATTCATACCATAAACTTAATTATTGGAGGGAGGAGGAGCGTTTCCTGGAATATTTTAGTTTGAATTGGCTTGCTAATGAGAATATTAGTGCTATTATGGACGATAATTCATTCCCGATTAATCTTGTTAAGATCCACTATGATTTAATTATGGTGTTTGTGACTAAGGCTAACCGTTAGGTTGAGGTTACTACCCAGATGATGGGCCATACATACCTTAATAGCCACCGCTTTGATTTGAAGACGGCATTCCACTCATATGACCTGAAGAATTCATAACAGTTTAGGGTGCTCCCTAAGAACCCTAAGAATTTTGCATATTTTGATTTGCAGGTGCATTGTTTTAACCAGAATGATAACTGTGAATTTAAGAATTGTAATGCTAAGGTTGAGTAGCAGGAGGCTATGAACTCGAACTGTGATGATCCATACCCTCTTAATATTGGTTGCTGATGGGATAGTCCTAGCTAAGATTATTTCTGCTATGATTAATATTAGATGCTAATTAATTATGCTATGAAGTAGATTGATTGTAATAATTATCCTAACTCATTCTTTCTTTATTTATTTATTACAAAATCTTATTTTTGAATGTATAGATTTTTCAGTGTGTTATATTTTTGATATTTCAATCTATTAGTAATTTAGATAAACAGCAATTTAAGAAAAAAAAAATTAAAAAATATATTAAGCGAGCGAGAGAGAGAGAGACAGACATAAAGAAAGACACAAAAACTTGCAGATTTTAATTAAATTTAATGCAATTTAATTGCTAAATATTAAAATTCATGAGAATCAAAGAGCTATTTGATGAGTTGAGAGACAGAAAATTTAAGTTATTATAAACTTTTTAAAAGAATGAATATATTTATTTATTATCAATAGTTCATCAATGATTTAGCAAACAATAAAAATTTAAAATTTTACAAGAGTATAATAGATTTCAGCTTATATATTTATTATTAATAAAAGAAGAATACAAATTTTAATAATTAATTACTTATATCACATTTCAAAAGTAATGAATGCGTGATAGTGAGCAATCATACATAATTCAAGTTTAAATGAATATGAATTTTATTTAATTAATAAAGAATTAATTTGCGAACAATAAAATAAAATCCTTATTATCACTGATTTTATTTTGTTATCAATTTTTAAATTTTCTTCGTTTTGAGAAAAATAAAATTAAACTCCTTTAGTAAAATACAAGAGATAACTATCAAAAAAATTCTTTTTATTTGCTTTATTTTTCTAAAATTTGATAAAGAGCGAAGAATTTTTAACTTAGACACCACACCTTTCACAATCTTCGTTTAACATTTTTTTTATTTAAAGCTTACAATTTACAATTTTATTTTTATGTGTTTTTTCCGCACTTTTTCATTTGTAATTTTAATTTAATTTGATCATTTTTAGGTGTTAAATTAACCTAAAGTGGTTTATCAATCATATCTTTACCAATTAGGTATATTTTTATCAGCTTATTTTACCCATAAATTAAATTTTACTTATTTGAAGATTCTAATTTAAAATATAAATTAGATGTTTACTCATACATTTTGTTCTTTCGAAATGTAATCAATATACAATAATAAAATTGCATCTTTCAATAAAAAATAGATTACGTCATTCATAAAAGAAATTAATTAAAATATGAATCTATTAATGAGTAAATTAATAAACTAATGAATCTATTTTTCTAAAGCTTTAGTTTTCAACCAGAGTTAAGAAATGCAGTTTGATAATAAACCAAGTCTAATATAAGTAACCTTATTACTTGTCTTAATCTTAATAATTAAATAGTAATTATTTGGATATTTGTTTTATTTTAAAAATTCTTCTTGCAGGACAAAGAAATTAAATGTAAATAATTCACAAATTTACTTTTAATAAAATCAAAATTTAAAGCGAAAAAAAAATTTAATGAAATAATTTATTTTTTATAATATTAATCATAAAAAACCCAAAAATCATTTAAATTTGAATTATCAGAAGTCATTATTAATATTTCAGTTAATTTTTTTGATAACATGAGATAGAAACTTTTGCAATAAAAAAATATAAATTATAAAATCAATAGAGATTAATACGGCTACAAAATAATTTAAGTTCAAGTGAAAAATTAAAAAATTTATTTTTTTAAAGTAGATTAATTATTTTAATTATTTCTTCTAGAAATACAATCAATTTTTAAATAACTTTTAAAAACTATATCCAAAAAACAATTAGCAAATTAATAATTTAATTTAATATTAATCTCTAAGTTTATTAAAATATAATTTTTTAAAAATATTATTTTTGATGCATTTCTTATTTTTAATTAATTAATTTAAAAATTTTATCAACTTTTTTTTTACATAATAATTACAAATAAAATACGACATTTCAATCATTAGGATTGCACAAAAACAAGCATGAAGGTTTAATTTTTTTAAATAAATTATTTTCAAATATATAAACAACTCTTTTATTAATAAAACACTAACACAATTATGAAAGGAATTTATTTATTTAATCCTAAAATCATTTTATAAACAGAATTTTTTGATATTTTAAAATATTAAAATTGAATATCAAATTGATTTTATAGTAACTATTAAGATAAATGAGAAATTATGGGTAAGATAAATGTAAAATCTTAACAAGAAAAATACAGTGCAACACATATTTTAGATTGCTTAACTGATTTATTAAGTTTTTGAAATAAGCATTCAAATTAACAATCAAAGAAGTTAATTTATTTCTGATAACTCACTAAAAGATATGGTCAGCAGTTGCTTGTGAGAAAGGAACGAAGGTATCGTTTTCTTCATCGTATCTAGGCAAAGCAACAATTCTAATATTGTTTAATTCTTTTTTGATTGCATAATTCAAAGCATACTATTGATTTATTTAAAATTATCAGTGAGTTAAAATGTATTTAATGCGATAGAAAATATTTTAATAAATAGTAATTATTTTATTTTATAGCTAATTATGATTGACAACTGAAGATATAAGGAATATTTTCTTTGATTTATTTCTTGTTTTTTGCTTTTATTATTAGTTATGACAATATCTTTGATAATTTGGGTTCAGAAAAGAGTGATAGAGTCAAATCCAAAACAAGAAATAAATAGGTTATTTTAATTTTTAACTAAAACCTATTTAAATAATATGTTTTCAAATGAATATTATCACCATATTTTTCAGCTTTAGCTAAGTAACAGAGACTTTTTCAGTAAATTTTCTCAAATTTTAAACATTCTTATTGATTGATGTAGCTATAAATAATCTTAAATGTGATTATCATGATAAAAACATTTTTATAATTTTCTCTATTGCAACATATATTAAAAACAATATTCCCTACTCTTAAATGAAATTATCTGATACATTTATATATTATGCTTTTTTATTGTTTCTAAATAATTTCTTTAAACTAAAAATTTTAAACATTTTCAAACTATTCTAATTCTATTTGGTAAAAAATACATGATAATTATAAATCTAATTACTTATTTCTTTCTGTGATGACATTCAAGATAATCTTCAGTTTATGCGGTACACATTTTAATTGGAAGAGCTTCGCTCTTTGCACATTATAACATTCTTTCATAGAAAGGTAAACAAGGGTGGACACCACCATTTAAACTATAACCTGAGTAAGACATTAGGAATTAATTTATTCTTATTTTTCTTTACTTCAAAGACCTAACTTTTTATTATTCTTTATAATTAATATAAAAGCTATAAGTAAATAAATATATATTGAGGACTTTTAGTCATTCTATTTATCTATCTATCTATTAATACATACATGAATTTCTAATTAAATAGCAAATACAATCTTAAAATTTTCGTTTATTAAAATACAAACAAATATTTTAATTGAGTATTATAACCAAGTAAAACAAATTAGATAAATAATTTTTTTTTTTTATCATAAAAATACATTTCCCAAAAAAAGATATTTTATAAAAAAAATTAAATTATGTAAATTTTATATTTTAAATCAACTACTCCTTTTTTATTTAAACAATTATAAATTTTATTATTGTTCTTTGATAATATTATTTACTTAAAAAAAAAAATTTAAAGCCCTGGAAATAATTAATTTTGAGAATATGATTAAATTTAAAATTTCGAAGAATGATAAAGAAAATAAATATTAAATTAGAATAATTTCCAAATAAGTAATCTGAAACTTATTTAATAAAAAATTACATAAATAAAATAATAATGAAATCTAATGTATTATCTATTTAAATATTATCAGAATTTTACACTAAAAGTGAGGTAAACCATTAATAGGCTTAAAATTTAAATTATTTATTTATTTATAGCTAATTCAAACAAAAAATTTATTTATTTAAAACCTTTGGATTAAGAAATTAAAAAAAAAGAAAATAATTTCACTACAAATAGTGCTATTACATTAAAAAGTATCATAAATGTAAAATAAGAATAATTTCCAAATAAATGACCTTAAATAAATTTAATAAAAAATTGCATAAAAAAGGAAATCTAATTTATTCTTTATTTAAATATTATCATAATTTATATTGAAAATGAGATAGACCATAAATAGGCTTAAAATTTAAATTATTTATTTATAGTTTATTCAAACAAAAAAATAAATTTATTTAAAACCTTTGGATTAAAAAAAAAAACAAAATAATTTGACTACAATTATTACATTAAAAAGTACCATAAAAAAAATTAAATTTCATGATAATAACCTGATGACCTACTTTTAATAGAAATTTATATCCTAATATTATAATTATATACTCTTCATCAAATAATTTAAAATAAACAAAAATTTTATAAATATGAGTAAATTATTTTGAATTTTTTCTAGAAGCAATAACAGATCAACAAATTACTGAATTTCATTACACTTTATCTATATAAATAGTTTAGAATTTTATATTAAAATTTAATGCAAAACCTTATGTTATTGCTTTGCCATTATCAAACATTTTTAAGATTAAATTTAAAAAAATTTTTTAGAGATTTATTTAAATTTATTTATATGTAACAAATAGTTATGAAGCAAATATATAAATTTCTGATAAGATATTAAGAGATTATTTTTTAAAAATGATGGATAGATGATAATAATTTTACTAATTAATAATATTTATGAGTGAAGTGACAAAAGATTTTATTAGTTTTTAAGGATTTATTGATATTTAGTTAGTTAATTTTTTTCATTTAAATAGGTGGATTAGATTGATTATCAAAATTATAATTATAACAATTAGAATGTTTTTAAATTGATTATTTTGATGATCTATTATACCTTGCATGTCGTGTAGTCTTTTATTTAATGATTTGAAACGCTCTTCATTAAGTTTATATAATGAAGTTATTTAATTTTGTTATTCTATTATTATATCTCTTTTACTTTTTTTAATTGGAGGTGATTTTTTATTGGTATTTTGATTTTATATAGATGAATCTTCGCTTTTTAAGCTTTGTACTGCTGATAATCTAATTGATTATAATAGTTGCTCTTATATTTATTTTCTCTTTTCACCATTTTTTTAGATATATTGTTACATTACCTGTAATATTTAAGGTGAAAAAGCATTTTTCCACACATCAGTGTTTTCAGAAAGGGAACCTGATTCTATTCTGCCCTTAAAAGTGGTGCTCTTCATAAAATTAACATAAATTCTGCATATAATCTTTGTACCTTAATTTTCGTTTTTAGTGAATGAATATTAGAATCTAACTGTAAAGTAATCGCAATAAGGAATTTTGCTTAAATAAACTTCTTTTTCCATTATAAATTCATCTTCACTTATCCAATAATATTTTTCTTTGTTTTAGCAGTGACTCACTTTTGGTCCGAAAGGTATTTTTTCTCTAACTGGATGCACATATTTATATTCACGGAGGGAATAATCTTCACTGTTTAAGACGGAATTACAATCTACAGATTCTAAATTTGCATACCATTCTGGAGGTGGTGGTGAAAATTTACCGAAATGCATATCAACATCCTTCTAAAACTCTTCCATAAAGTAATATAAATAATGAGGATAAGTTTTATCACTGTTTTCTGGTTTGTATTTGCTATCAAAGAAGATCAAGTTAAAAATCTCTCTTGGATGAGCTTCAGGCACTAGCAATTCAAAGTCAGATGTTTTCTCAGCATTTGTAAAAAGACTCTGTTCTTTAAAGCGTTTTCTTCTTTCTTCTATTTTTTACTAATTTTAAATTAATTAAGAGTTTTATCTTTCTATAAAATCCATTTGTTATGATTCTCCAAAAGATGCAGTTAATGTTTGAGATTATTTAAATGTTAATTATTAAGAATTCTACTCAGCTTCTTACTTTAATCTTTGTAAACGTTAAACTTTCTCAAACTTTTAATAATTTTGAATAGCGATTTGAGCTTGAGGAGTAAAAACAGTATTTATAACTTCAGTATTCTCAGATAATGAACCATTTTCTATTCTCCCTTTAAAAGTAGTGCTCTTCATAAAATGAACATATAGTTTAATAAGGATCCTTGTCTAATCCTACACTTAACTTATGTTGTATTAGAATCTTATTGTGAAATAATCGCAATAAGGTATTTTGCTAAGGAAAATTTCTCTTTCAATAATAAATTCTTCAGCACTTATCCAAAAATATTTTTCTTTATTTTAGCAGTAACTGACTTTAGGACCAAAGGGAATTTTCTCACGAACTGGGTGAACAACTTTGAATTCCAAATTAGAAATTTCTGGAGAACTCTTCACTGTATCTTTGTCAGAGCAGTCTAAGTTGGTGTACCATTCTGGAGGAGGAGGATTAAAAGTTTGAAATTGTATGTCAGTATCCTTCTAAAATTCTTAGAAAATGTAAAATCTAAAATTAGGAAATTCTTAGCTTCCTTCAGGTTATGGCTTGTAAGGTTTTAGTCCAAATAAAATGTTAAAAATTTCTCTTGGGGTAGCATTAGGAAATTTTATTTCGAATTCAGAGACATTTTATGCCTTTTCAAATATACTCTGCTACTTGAATATATTTTTTCTTTGTTATATCCATGAATCATCCTCAATCACTGTTGATTATACAATAGGCAATCCTAAAGTTTATTGAGATGTAAAATCTCTAATTACCCCAGAAGAAAGAGGATCTATTTATTGTGAAAAATTACTGACAGATTTTTGGCTTTTTGGAGAATTAGCAGCGCTTACATTAAGAGAAGGTGCTTTACTATTAGAAGCTGCTGACTTATTTAAATTATTACTTATTTCTTTTTCAATAACTGGGGGTATTTTATCAACTCCAGAGCGTGGTTGCTCAACTAGAGAGGCTACTTTATTCACTTCTGATATTTCTTTTTCTGTATTACTTTACTTTCTTTCAACATTTTAGGAAGTAACTTTACTTTCAACAGCAGCAACATTTTTATCTTCAACAGAATTTTCTTCTAAGTTAGATTATTCTATTGTACCAGCATTAGCAGACAATTCTGTTGGTTCTATAACTTTTTGGTTGCTATTAAGAACAATTTCTTACACCTCATCAACTTCTTTATTTATTGTGAACTGAGTAGGACTGCTTTAAGTTTACTATCCACCATTTGAAGAAACATCAGAGAGTTTTCTATTTTCTTCTATTTGCTCATTACTAGCACCACTGTTTTCGAGGACTCTCTTGGCTGAAAGAACCATACTAGTTCTTCCTTCTTTAACTGCTTGCATGAGATAAGTAATGAGCTTGTAACAATTATCTCTCTAGACATATGAAGTAAAGAAAAGTTCACCTCTTTAAGTAATAACAGCAATACTGTTGTCGAAAATGAGAGCATTCTTTCTCTTATCGATTCTTATAATATCAATATAGGGAATAGAAAGTGCTGTGTCTCCAACAAATGACTAACTGTTAAAGTAAGAATGGAAACCAATCCTATCTGCAAATATATACATCTTGCCTTGCAGTAAAATCTTATGAGAGAATGCGCAGTTGAAGGTATCAATAGGCTATTCATTTTCTGTTAGCCCAAATAATAATGTGAATTTTGTTTCTTTTTTAGAGCTTCCACTCACGCTAGCATTCATGCTATTGGTAAGATCATCCTTGCCTTCTTTTGTATTGCTGTTCGTTACATTTTAGCTATCAGAACTTCCTTTGCTAGATTTAGGAGAGTTGTCTCCTCCGTTTTGAGTAGTTTCTTTATCTTATGAAGAAACATTGGAAGATGTTAATTAGTCAATTTAATTGTAAATATACTATTTGTTGCTGATTTCATCTAATTATTTTTGTAGCTAACTTGATATTTTGAATTATTTTTAGTATTCATAAACTATTCCATCTTAATTTATCACAGGGTTTTCGAAAATCTTACTATATGAAGTAAACACTTGTAAAATTTCTTCATCCAAGTGTTCCTTTTTCTAATTAAGCTCATTTTATTGCTCTTAGGATTGCTTTGTGCTATTTTCTAAGAAAGAACCAATTTGCTTTAAAAGTTATTAGATTTGCTCTTTAATTAGAACTATTCTCTTTTTCTCATGCTAATTTAAGGTGTCAAGAGAAATACCTAAAAACGAGCTAGTATCAACTACCCACTTTTTTTTGTTGGTAGCCTTTCCAAAATCATTAAAAAGCTTCTTTGTCATATTAAAGAATCCATTACTTTAAGATTGTTAATCACTGATACATGAAGTGATTGTCTTATTGCTAGCTTTTAGCAAGTTAAAAATAGTTTTGATATGATCTAAGTTCTTCTACTATTAATCAATTAGATCCTGGAGGATAGCATATAGCAGATCAATAATAGAATCTCCTTTAGAACCAGTAAGTACTTTCTTGATTTCCTTGCTCTAATTTTCTATTTATGAATATAAATTTCCATATAAATCAACCATATCTCCAAAGAAGTCCTTAACTTGCTTCATTAAATCTTTTCTTTCTTACATCATTACTTCAAAAACTTCTAAATACTAAAAGGCAGCTTCTGGATAAGCTCTAATTGAATTTTCATTTACCTTTTTGAATTATTTGAATAATTAGTGAATTTAATTAATAGGGATTTTCTTTTCTTGATTTATCAAAATATTTTATTTGTAAATCCTTCAATTTTGAATATTTTAAATTAAAGCTAAATAAAAGTCATTTTGATAAAAAAATATTTTTATTTTGTGTTTATTCATAAAGAATTTAAAGGAAATTCAAAAAAATAATTGTTGAAATTAAGCAATGATTTTTAAAAATGTAAACAGTAAATTTGGTAAGTAACTTTATAAGATAAACTTGCAAAAAGAATAAGGTAAAAATAGAAAAAATTAATTAATTTGAAGAGGGAAATTGTTTCTTGATGGAAAATGTTAATGAAAATGGTTATTTGAGATAAATCCATAGTAAATAAGAAAGTAATTATGTTAATTACATCTTCCTTACGAGCAAGAGCTGACTGGATTGGCATAAAGTTGACTCCTGGGGGGATAGTATCAGGATCTAATTAATAAAAAAAAAGGAAATTTAATAATTAAATAAATGAGTAATAAATTTAATATTTCGAAAGAATTCTGATGTAAAATTCATTTAAATAATATTATATAAAACTAAATGACGTGTTAAAACACCTTTGTTTCACAAATTAGTTGTAATCTATTCTTTATCAAAATTTTTCATCATATATGATCAATATTCGACAAATTTGCTTTTCGAACAAATAATCACTTTTATTTTTTAGAAAGATATTCATACATTCATTCATTCGATCAACTTTATCATGCATAAATATTCTTACGTAAAATACTAACATTAAAAAAAAATTCTAATTACTCTTTTTAAATAGCCTCTCCTGGATTACCTTTTAATCATCATCAACTATAGCAATTAGATCATCATTCAGCTTTTTATCAACAATGTACTAATTAAATGTCTAAAAAAGGTTGTTTTGTTAGCTATGTATAGCAACAACAGAGTCTATGATTTTGTGTAAAGTTTACTTGAAAATTTCTTTCACCTATTTGTAATTTTCCTAAATAAGCTTGGGTAAATTTTCAATTTGAAAGTTGCCTTCTTCAATAGCTTACTACACTTTTTACTCTTCTTTTTCTGCTTCTTTTGCAAGTTCTTTTATTTTCATGTCTTATTTCATTGTATATGCTACGTTGTAATAAAGACGGATATCTTCTTAGGCATTCTTTTATTCTTAAATAGCACTTTCTACTTCTTTGCAGCATTTTACATATTTCACGTATTACTTAACGTATTTTTCTTACATGTAAGAAATGTTCTTCACAATTAGCTAGGACTTTTCTTACATTTGCTTCTTCTATTGAGAAATCTATTCTGTATATTCTCCTAAACTTTTACTGAGAGTTAATTAGTTTAACTGTGATATCTCCAAACTCTTTGTTGCTAATTCCTGTATTGCGCCTCCAAACTAAATTGTCATTTTTGCAAACTCCTTTCCCTAGCTCCAAGTTATCCCTCCAACAAGAGATTTAGAGCTCTTTAATAAATTTTTAGAAAATTATTCAGTCTCATTTTCTATGGATCCTAAGTAGTTATTAATATTCCTAGATGCCTTTCTTGATAGCTCAACAAGACCTTCTAAACTACTACATTTATCTGACCAATTTTATTGTATCCTCTTTATTTTCTATTTAATTTCGTTTTGCTGCTGATTACTATCTTGCTAAGATATCTATTATGATAGTGTATTGCTTGAAACCATATTATTCAGATTGTTTCCTGATGAAAAAGTCAAAATGTCATCATCATTATTTTGTAGGTTAGATGACTATCCTTAAGGTTAGCTTGACATTAATTGGTTCAACTTACAAAATTATTGGTTAATAATTCAGGTGTTTTGATTTTTAAATATAACGCTTTGGGTAGTTAATTCAGATTGAATGTCTATTTATGATACTTGTTTGTATTTACTTTGTTTTTTTATTTATTACAGTAAATTTCCTTAATTTTTGATAGTAATCTTAAAATTAATTATTAGTTTTTCATGTAGTGTCTTTAAATAAAATAAGTATTTCTTATTAAAATCATACAATTGCTATCTTTCCATGTAATCAATTCATTTATTAATTTGCTCTCATACACTTAAAAATTGAATGAATAACGATTCTTTCAATGATCAAATAATAAGTGAATGAGTGAGTGAGTCAATCAAAGTCTCGTCTCCAATTCAATTATTTGCAAAAATATATCAGTATCAATAATTAATTGAAAAAAAACAATATTTCTGCTATTTAATCATTAAGAAATGAAGACATTTGCTTTGTTTTTGAAGTAAAAAATACTGAAATTTAAATTGTAAATGATTTATAAAAACTTTACTCCTGTTAAATTATAAAAAAAATATTAGCACAATATGCAAACAAATTTTTATGATTGTAATTGATTCAAATTTTGTGTTAATGAATTGATATTAGAACTATGCAAAGACTTTCATCACCAAACAAAGTAATTTTTTGAAAATTAATTAATATCAATTTAGACAAAAATTTATGGTTAAGATTTAGTTTTTTCCTCTCTCTTTCGATTAATAATATTATTAATTTCCTCTCAAAGTTAAAAATCTTACTCAAACCTAATTCTTTTAATTTCGTCTTTCTCTTTTTATCCTTCTACTTCTTTTTATTTAGTAGTTCATTTTCTAGTCCTTAAAATTTTCTCTATTTTTAACGCATTAGGTGTTAAGAATGACGTTTTAAATTATTAATAGAAATTAATTCTTATTAAAAATTTTTTTAATGCTGTAACAAGTTTAAAATTCTATAAAGTAAATACAAAAAGAAAATACATGAATAATAAATACAAAGATATTAAGTAATGTAAAATAATTTAAAAATTTTCATAACAATATTTTTTTATGTTAAATCATAATTTTTGTTAAAAAAAACAGATTTATAATATGAAAAAAGTAGAATTTTAATATAATTTTCAAAATTTTTACTTTTTAGGTTAAATTTAAAAGTTATTCTAAAAATTTAAAAATATAAAAAGAAATATTTAAATATTAATAAAGCAAATAATAAATATTTTTAATGTATCAATTATTCACTATCTTATAAAATTAATTAATAATATAAAATAAAAAATAATTTATAAATATTAATTTTACAGTAGATTAATAAATTTTAATTTATAACTCTCAAATAAAATTAATTAGCAAATATTAGGGAAAAGTAATATATTTTACTTTTGTAGATTAAAAAGTAACTCATTATTTGCTCTAATAATTTAAAAATATATTTTAATTAAAATAAAGCTAATAAAAAAATTATTTTAAAAATAAATATTTTTAATGAAAAATATAAAATTAATTAATAAATATTAGGTCAAATAAAATACCTAAGTATTTATTTATTTATTGTAAATTTGGAAATGAGTTTTAAAAGGAAAAAAATTAATTGCTTTTGAGAATGAATACAAAAAGAAATACAAATAATTATTAATTTGTTATTTTTTTTGCATAAAAAGTTAAATTCAAATATAGACTTACTAACTAGCTAACTAACTAACTAATTAACTAAATAATAAAGTAAAAACTAATAAAATAATTAGTAAAATAAAGTAGTTGTTAAATTATTATGGCTCTAGATTTGATTTGAAAAATAACATCAAGGGCAAATTAGTCGTTCAATCAAATATTTAATTATCTTTGTGATTGATGAAGAGTTTTTGATTAATAAACTCATTTAATTTATAATTTCATTCTACTCATGTTAATATTTATCAAAATACGAATAGAAAAAATTTTACATAGATTTTATTGAAATTCTGAACTTAAATTTTAGTTAGAAAAATTTCATAATTTTTATCAAACAATTAAAAATCAAACTAAATATTAGGTAATAGCAAAATGGAATTAAATAGTATCATTTTTCCTGCACCAAAGTGTTCATACACGAAAGAATCGAGAAATATCATTTGGGTAGAATCTCATGCTATTAACACCCCCATTTATCATTAGTAAAATATAAACAAAGAGTAAAATTTATGCAATGAAAGCGAAATATAGGCAAAAAGAAGCGGCCCTTTTTCTTCTTGTATGACTGGCCTAATCGATAAAGAAAATGAGATTGAAGTCTTATAGAATCAAAGAAATGCCAATCGTTCTCTGTCATGCATCTAAGGAGAATCAAAAAACTCAAACTAACAATTTCATAAAACTCTCACAGACAGAAATATTTTATGCGACTCTCAATAGAATTAACAATCACCTATTATATAGGAGTTTACACCTTCTCATTAACATTCGAATAAAAAATTTTAATATTTTAGTGATAATTTTAATGAGTAAGAAAACAAACCTTAGTATCAACAATTTCCATAAACGGCCAGAGAATCTAAATAAAAATTTGATGAAGGAGTAATTCATTTAAATTCACCAATTAGAAATAACAAGAAACATAGTTCTATGAAAGAAATGTACATAAGCTCGCCACTGCGTAAGGCAGCTGAATTTGGACCTACTTTAAAAAACGCGACTTCTACTAGCATTCCATGTCTTTATTTGCCTTATTTCGAAGGCAGTGATAAATTATTGATATATTTTCATGGAAATGCTGAGGATTTAGGCTATAGCTATGATTTTGTTTCTAATTTAAGAAGATATATTAGAGTTAATGTCCTTGCTGTTGAATATCCAGGTTACGGCCTTTACAAAGGTAGTCCTAATTCAGACTAAATCTTATAAGATGCTGATTCTATTTATGAATTCGTTAGAACTCATTTAAAAGTTTAAAGCTAAAATATCATTATATTTGGTAGATCAATTGGTAGCGGACCTGCATGCTATTTAGCAGGTACTAGAAACATAGGTAAATAACTAACTTTTTATTTAAAAACAAACCAAATTCTTATTTTCTATTTAACATTATTGTTTGTTTCACCATCAAATTAATATCATACATAAATTTCAAAATTAATACTAAATCTTATTCAAACAAACGAGTAGCTAACAACATCAAATTAAAATTTTAACCTTCCTCAAAATTAAATGAATGAGAAAATAAATAAATGAATGAATGAATGAAAAAATATATTTTTAGTTGTTGAATTTTAAAAAAATAGATAAATCTGAAAGAAAATATATTTAACAAAAAGAGTATACTTATGCTTTCATTCATTTATTTTTAAAAACCCAAAAAACAAAATTAGCTAAATAAATTATTTTTTATTTGTTTTTAAATTAAAATATTAATAAATAAATAAATTTATTTCAAATAAAATATTTGCTAAATTGATATGATTTTTTTAGATATTTTTGATATAAAATTGAATATTTTCTTAATTAAATAATAATAATAATAGGTGGATTAATATTAATGTGCCCTTACACTTCAATTAGGAATGTAGTTAAGCATCTAGCTGGTAACTTAATTTAATACTTGGTAGCTGAAAGATTTAGAAATATCGATTATATAAAACACTCTAAATGTCCAATATTGTTCATTCATGGAAAAATGGATAAATTAATTCCTTATACACATTCGTTAGAACTTATGGAATAAGTAAAAGATAGAGCTTTGATTCATTTATCTCCACAAATGACACATAACGAATTTAGCATGTCAAATGACCTAATACTTCCTATTAAAACATTTTTTTGTTAAGCAAAATTGACTATTTAAAAGTAAAAATTAGTTATTCCTCCTTAGTTTTTCAATGCTCCTAACGAGCAACCATAATAATCATAACAAAAATAATCAAACATCTCTGCTGCTTCAATTACAAAAATTAGATAATGAATAAATAAATATACTCAATCAATATTTACCAAAATAATTTATCTGGTAGGAGTTTTTACATTTTACTCAATAAAATTTAATTTATTACTTTCATATATTAAAAATTTTAATTATAGATTTATATAAAATTGTATGTATAATAATAGTTTTATTACTTTAATAATATCAATTTTTTTCTATATAAAATTGCAAGTTTTAACTCTTCTTAAATTTTCTTGTAAACTTATTTTCACAAATAATAATTTAAAACAAAATTTAAATATTTTGTAATTTATTCAAAACATAATTGCAAATTAAAATAAATTTTCTAACAATTTACTTTTACATATTTTAATACAAATATAAATTTGATTTAGTTGAGTTGAATAATATAAATAAATTTAAACATTTTTTCAAAGTAAATGTATAAAAAACTGAGATTTATAATTTTTTTATTCAAATAATACTCCTTTTTAATTACTTAATAGTTGAATAAATTGTAATTTATTTTTTTTTTAAATGACTAAAATAAATAAAACAATAAAAAAGTATGAATTTTTTATATTAATAAATAATTAGATTTATTTAATATAAATAATAAAAGAATTAATGATAATTATAATTAAACAATATATAAATATATATTTATTATTATTAATAATGAGTGAATTAAAATAAATGATTACAAAATATAGTTTATTTATTTTTTGAAGGTGATTGATTCATTAATTGATTTCATTTATCGACTATTAGTTTTATTTTATTTGTATGGGTTACATATTTATTATATTTGATGTCTGAATTTAGCTTGGAGGTATTGAGTTGTGTTTATCTTCAGTTTTTATTTCATGAACTTCACCGTTACTGCTTTGCTAATTGCTTTTCATACTGCTTTTAGAGGCAGATCTTAGGTAAAGTATTTTTGGTGGCATATGTTATTTTTTTTGTGCTAAATTATCAGTACTATTTTTATTAGTATTGCTTTGCTTATCAGGAGAATCAGATTTTTAAGTTAAGTTTACACTTATTATGTCTAAACCTGATTTAGATTGCTTTAAATTGTTTTTTTTGTTAAAGTTAAATTTCTTATTCTTGTTATTAGTGGTACTGCTATTGCTATTATTTTCAAAGTCAGGATTAGATTAATTACCTTCTTCCTGAGGCAATTACTTCAAGCTTAACTCTTCAGTAGCAACTCTTTCCAATTATATTTTATTAATTTAGTATTAATTTTCGTTATTTAAGGCATTTTCATTAATGTTAATGCTTTTGTTAACTATCTTTGTATTACTTTGAAGGACATGAGCTGCTTTATTTAAATACAATTCATTATTATTGATTTCAAAATGCATTTGTCTTTCTGAATATTAATTTTTCATTTTTTATATGTCATCCATGATATCTACTGTTTGACAAATTCCCCTTTGATGCATTTCCTAATAAAAATGTTAATTAATAAAAACAAAGATTTATTAATTAAATTACATCAATAATTGCAAAATTTTCATTTTTTTAATCTTCTTTTTCTTCCATAAATTCTGATTACTCATCAATTTTTGTTAATCCAATTGCTCCAATTTTAGCTTCATTTTTTTGAGATTTAAAGCAGCAACAAATTTAAGCCCTTTTAGCCAAATAATATTTAAATTATAAGCAATAAATAATAAAATGCTTACCAAAATCCTTATTTATTTAGCTTTTTTTAGCTGAATTATGAGTTAATAGTATTTCCTTTGAGGTTAAATCCTCTTTTTTAATCTGCAAATTCAAATGGATTTGTTCTCTAAGAATGAGTTTCCATACTGTCTTATCTACTTACTGCAGCATTTAGATTTTTATCTTCGTTAACATTAATATTTTAGTTTTAATTCTAGAAGTTAATACTGTTATTGTTATTGTTAGTGTTGTACTATGGAGTATAAATGTAAGATGATTGAGTAACTTATTTTTGGTTTGCTGATTGTAAATTTTTTTAATTATTATTATTTGTTTGTGTTTATTAAATAGGTAAATTATTATTTTAGTTTAACTAATCCTTTTATTTCTTTTCTTCTTTAAGCTTTTTTTACTCTTCTTTCTCTCTTTATCTCAATTCTAAAAGGTCTTTCTTTCTGTTTTCCTCCATTTATTTCTATTAAAAGTTAAATATTTGTTAATATATAATTGTAAACCATTTTATTTTAACAAAATTTTATCAAAATAAATATATGTTTTCGCTTTCTAAATATTTAAATTACCTTTTCACGAGAGGATAATATGTATTAATAAGTAGATAGATTCATTTTTTGGAGGTAAATATGGAAAAAAACTAAATTGCCATCAAAAAATCCAACTAATATTCCTACAACTACAAAGATCCATAACAAAATTTCAAATATATTCACAGTTATATAGGAATCATTTGAAAATAAAAAGAAGAGTTCTGCTTAAATTTAATTATCATCATCATTTCCAAAATAATATATGAATAAAGAAATGCAAGCAAATACAGTGAAGATTATGATATGAATTAGCACACTTGTTATAAGCTTAAAGAAAAGGGAGTAATTAACTTATCCAACACAATTATTTAGCCACTTGCAGTGATGATCAAAATTTTCTACGCATCTTTTATAAACAAATAGAATTATATATGCGTAAATCAATAAATATATATTATTTTATATTGCTTTAATTAGCTGAATAAAAAACAAATAGTTCTAACTCTTTATTTTTTTAAATTTTTTTGAAATATGGAAATATTTTAAAGCAATTTATCTACCTATTACAAGCTTTGCAGTGTTTGCTATTACTAGAAACATGTGTGTTGCAGTTAACACAATAAAAATCTAAAGCGGAAACATCATAGTCAATGCTTTATACAAAGAAAAAAAGTTAGTTAATATACTAATAAGATTATTTTTGCAGTATATTTAAAAGAATATTTGATAAATAAATAATTTGAGAGCTATCAAATAAATTTGCAAGAAAAATATTAATAAATAAACTTGAATTTTCTAAAATTAAATTAATCTAATTAGTTATTTAAAGACGAGAAATAAATTAATAGAATAGTAATTAATTACTTATTGAGTCTTGCAGTCTTTTCTTTTATAACATTTTAGTCAGTAGGATCAAAGTCTGTGCAGATATATCCTAAAATAAACATGATTACAAATGATCCATAATATAGAATTCCTGAAATAATCTAAATATTAATTAAATTAAAACTTTAATTCGAGTGTATGAAGAGCAATCAATATCTTTTTAATGGATAGCAGTCAAAGCAAGTAATGAAAAAAGGCATATTAAGGTCAAATAATAAATTAATTATTTGATATTAAATTTTTTAAAACTTAGTTAATAAACAATACGTAATAGTCTTGTAGATAATTAGATTATTCACTTTGTTAATTAAGAAAGAACTTAAAAACTTACCTAAACAGCTAAAGAAAGAGTGGGTAAAATGCAAAATGTGAACACAAAAAAGAGACATGCCAGCACGACATATGACAGAATTTATTGGATATTTATTTTTTGGGTAAATCCATTTATTTTTTTTACTTTCTACATCTGTTTTTTCACAGAGCCGCTGTTCATTATATCAGAATTTTAATTCAAATTCATTTTTACTTTTTAAAAGAAATAAATAATAAATTTTTGCTTTACTTTTGTTTATAATTAAATAAATATCAATTATAAATAAATAAATAGTTATTAATTAAAAAAAATTCATTCAAGCACTAGCTATCAATCAATCAATCAATCATACATTAAACAAACAAACACACTCAAAAATATTGTAAAATAGCTTTTCAAAGTATAAAAAAGCTGAATAGATTAGATTTGCTACCCTAAAAAGCTCAATCGAGCACTTAGAAAAATAAATAATCTGAAGGATAAATTAAATTTTTGATCTATTTGATCTATTAAGTAAATGTATATCTGCTTACACATGAATTAATCTTCAGCTAAATAACATTAATTAGCTTCTTTTTCTATATTTTTTCTTTCGAAATATTTCTTTAAAAATCAAACTTCCATCAATTTTCCTTTTTGCTTTAAAAAACAGCCCGAATTTATTTAAACAGTTGTTCAATCAAAAAACAATCATTTACACTGAAAAATACATTTCTTCAAATTAGTTTAATTTTATTAAATATCCAAATAATAAATATAGTAAATATCTTTTTTCTATTCGTATTTTCCCAAAGAGATTATCTTAATAGTTTATTTCTATATAAATCATTCAAAACATTTCACCTCTTTTTTTGAAAATCAGATTTTTAAAAGATTGATTTTCATTTTCTAATAACTAAGTATTTATTTATTTATCTAATTATCTTTCAGAATAACAAAGAAAAGAAAAAATAAAAATGAAGAATAATTTATTTTTATTTGTCATTCAATTTTAACAAATAAATATTTCAATTTGTAGAAGAATTAATTTATTTTTTCTCCAACAAGAAAGCAAGCAAAATTAATGAATCTACTTCAAATTAAAAATCTCAATAGTTTTTTATTTATAATAAAGGAAAAGATAATTCAAAATGCTTAAATTTTTTAATCACAATTATAATAAATCTTTTTAATTAAATAATCTAAATAGTTTATCAAATCTGCTAAGATTGACATTTATTGAGATAAATTAAAAAGTATTTATTTTTTAATGGTATAATTAATTAATTATTCATCTTATGGATAAACAACTAATGAACTTATTTTTATTTGCTTACTGAATAATAAAAATTATTAAAACAAACTTTAATATTAATTTAGAAATAATTTATTAGAGATTTTATCAAACAAAGTTGTTTGTCTATTGGTTTAATTTTTATAAAGTATTTAAAATAAAATCAATATTTATAATTAGCAAATTATAATTTTTATTTTTTGATAATTACATTTAGTTTTATTTAACTTATCAAAATTATTTATAAATAAAAATTATTCATATTCTCACATGGTATTATTTTATGTGATTTATCTTAGAACTTTAAAGATAAATATAAAAATATAAGTTATAAAAGTATTTTTTATATCTATGATTTACTAATTACTTGGGAGCCGAAAATGTACCATTTTTTCTTTTCTCCAAATACTGAAATATAAATTAGCAGTAAATTAAAAGCTGAATCATAAAAATAAAAATTATTTGACCTAACATCCACTTCCACTGGATATATATCTTATTTTAAAAGTGTTAAATCTCTCTTCCTGGGTTTATTTTATAAAAATTATATAATTAAAATTTAAAAAATATAAAGTTACATAAAATTTTTAGTATTTTATTTAGTAAATACAAAATCATATTAAAACCCTCTCACATCAAATTAAAGGAAATTAGTCAGGCTATTCTTATTTTGAAATAATAATATTCTTTAAAGATTTTAAATTAAATAATTTACCAATTGTTGATTTTATATTCCAATTAAAACTTAAAATTTGATTTTTTCCCTATTATTAAGAATAAAATTTTTATTTTGATATGAATAAATTGCTAACTTATATAATTATTATCAATATTTAAAGAAAATTTAATTATATTTATTTTATTTTAAAGTAATTTTGCTTATTTATTTTATTTAGCTTTCTTGTAATTCTAATTATTGTAATATATTAAATAATTTTGTTATGAATTTAATATCAAATTATTTCAATAAAGATTTCGAAACATTAAATACTTAAAGAGTATTATTTTTAATAAGTTAGAATTTAACAAATAGTAATTAAAAATAAGTAAAATTTGATAATCAAAAAATATTATAATTGATTATTTAATTATTTAGCATATCAATAGTGTTCACTTTTAGATTGATTTAGATACCATACATATATATACATTTATATATTTATTTGGTACATAATGAATTTAATTAAAGTAAATACTATAGAAGTTAGTTAGTTAGTGTATTATACAAACAAACAAATTAATAAATGCAAACCAGAAAATATTTCATTATTTCATTAAGTATTTTGATTTTATTATAAATCACTTTAGCCTCATCATGCACTAAACTTAATGAAGGATCTTTATATGATTTCTCTCCGCTTTAAAACTCATAGTAAAATTTATCAATAAAACAAATTTTAATTTTCTTTTAATGATAGACCAAACTAATATTAAGATGGTAGTAGCAAAGGTACTATTTACTGGAGTATCTGCAATGATAACTATTTAAGTTCTCAATAATGTAGTTAAAGCAAAACATACGCAACCTTCTATGTTTAGTAGGGATGCTCTTATTTGACAGGAAGTGATGAATTTAACACCTCTGAATTTGATTTTATAGGTAAATATTTAATTAAACAATTAATTATGGCAAAATATTTGATCTTAAAATGATAGAGATTCTCTATAATTAGGATTATCATTAAAAACAATTTAATAATTAATAGATGATGATAATCATTCTAAAGGTATAATCGTTAAATTTCAAGGTGGGTAGCAAGTGAATAATGTTCAATAGCAATTTGTTTTGAAAGTTTTATGTGATGATTCTATCAATACTTATAATACCTAAAGTTTAGAAATACAAAATGGAGTTTATACCTTAAGTATTTCTTCAAAAGCAGGTTAAATTTAATTTTAGCTGTTATTATTTTGTTAAAATTTATATTTTGTTAAAGGTTGCCCTTCTATAGATTTATCTAGCATATGGAATTTCATGAATGATAATAAATGGGTAGGAACAATATTTTTAATAGTTGTAGGCTTTTTCTTATGCTTCTTTGGTCTTAAGTTAATTAAGTTAACTCTATTTCTGACCGGGTTCACATTAGGATTTTTGTTGTCCTTTGTAATAGATATTTTTTATAATTTCAAATTGATAATAAATATTTCATTTTAAATAAAAATAAAAGTTCATATTTGAAGCACTTATGAAGCCAGATTCATCAACTGGCTTAAATTGGACTGCAATTATTGTTAGCGTTCTCGTAGGTATAGTAGGTGCTATTCTTGCATTTAAAGTTGAAAAGGCTGGACTCTTCTGTCTTGGAGCTCTTGCAGGAACATTTTTAGCTTTTATTATTTTTAACGCATTCCACTTTGCTAGTTCAAATAAAGTAACCAACTTAAAATTAAAGAGACAAATCATTAAATAATTATAAATCTATGCATATATTATAAACATCTAATAATTATAACACTAGCTTGTATTATGGTTAGAAGTAGGATTGTGTTCATTCATTTTTGGCTGCTTATGCGTTTATATTAAAAGGTAAAATAATTAATTCATTTTTGTGTAAATGAAAACAATTTATTTATTATTAAATTAAATTATTAGTTATATCTTGATTTTAGCCTCTTCTTTGGTCGGAGCATATATGATAGTAAGAGGAATTTCTCTTTATCCAGGTTAGAATTTATTTTTAAAACAAAATCCAAATCAATTTTAATAAAACTAAATATATAGGTGGATTTCCAAATGAGCTCACAGTTTCTTAACAAATTAAAAATGGTGATTGGACTTTCGTAATTATTTATTAAAATGAAAGTAAAATTCAAATAATTCTTTTTTTAAATAAATAGCCTTGGTACTACTATCTGTACTTAGTAGCAATCATTGTTTTGAAAGTTTGTGGAGGTATCTATCAATACAGAAGATATAAAAATAAAGGACAAAGTAGAGAAAGCAATACTTCTGATGATTACAGAAAGATGAAGCAGTGAAAATAGAATTTAGAATCCTAAAAAAATAATGAATTTAGTATTCATTTCAAAAATTATTCTAAAAAAAAAGAAAAAAAAGTTTAGGTTTATGTAACAAATTTTATATAATTAAAGATAAATTAAATATATAAAAATAAATATTAAATATTTATTGAAAATTTATATAATTTTTTATAAAAATTATTATGTGGTAAATGATTGGCTAGTTGGTCTTAAAATATTTAAAAAGATTTAACATTTAATTGCAAATAAAATAATGAATACATTCATTCATTTTTTGAAAATTTAACTTTTTAAGTTTTAAATAATAATTCCAATACAAAAATCTATGCTTAATACTACTAAGCACCATATTAACTACAATATCTCCTTAGTAAGAAATTGAAAAAAAATAAAAAAAGTTTAGGTTTATGTAACACATTTTAAATAATTAAAAAATGATAAATTAAATATATAAAAATAAATATTAAATATTTATTGAAAATTGATATAATTTTTAATAAAAATTATTATTTGGTGAATAATTGACTAATCAGTCTTAAAATATTTATAAAGATTAAACATTTAATTACAAATAAAATAATTAATACATTCATTCATTTATTTTTTGAAGTTTTAACTTTTTAAGTTTTAAATAATAAATTCAATACAAAATTCTATGCTTAATACTACTAGGCACCATATTAACTACAATATCTCCTTAGTAGGAAATTGAAGCAAATATCCAAGAGGATAGATTGGACCATGAAACACTGTATACTGTATTTTCATGTTGATCATATGTTTTAATAAGTCCATCAGGCTCCCTAATTAATTTACAATTATTGAATAAATTAAAATTTAATTATAAAAATATCAAAATTATTAATTAAAACAAACTAATTTAAAAATCTAAATTTTATAAAATTAAACTTTTTTAGTCTTTTGTGAATAAACATTTTTTTCTAGAGAATATATCATAAAAAGTAAAGAAAAAACTTTGAATTTATTTTTACTTTTAAGCAGTTTAGTCAGGATATGAGCTCATTGACATAACTCTGTAAAGTCCAAGAGTTCCATCATTAACTTAAATTAAATTAAATAATAAATTTAAACTAAGATTTGTAAATTAAAAGTTTATTTTACAGGCAGTTATCAAAAGTTAGTCGTGGACTTTGTTATACTTGCATGAAAGAGGACTATTTATTGGAATAAATTAAATGAGTTAAATTAAAACTATTTATTTTAGATATTAATTCAATGTATATAATTACATATTGTTTAATTTATCAATAACTTTCATAGGTAAGTTAGGTTTTCTTAACTCCCAGAATTTAATAGTGTTATCTTCGCCAACACTTTAGAAGTAATATAATTTAAGAGGGTTAAAGTCAAGATCATGAACTCTTAATCTATGTGCATTTTTTATTACATATTCAGGCCTATTTTATATAAAAATACCTTATAATAAATATTTTATAATAATAAAACCAATATTTATTTACTTTTAAGTTCTTATATCATGAATTAAAATTGATCCATTGTTTTAAGCACTTGCAACATAATCGTTGTGGTGAGGGTCTACATCACAAAGATTAGAACCAGATTCACCTTCATTTAACTTAAGAGAGACTTATTACTTCTAAATATCAAAAACATTTAAATGATGAGTTTCACCAAAATACAATTTATTTTAATCTTTAAGTCTATTAACTAAGCTATAAAAAAATAAGTAAGATAAAGACGGTATTTTTCAAATCGTTATTTTACCTATGAATATATGTATCAAAATTTTAGCTAAATATAGGTTACTAAACGCTATTAATATCCTCTCCGCTTCCTTTTACTGACGAGCCCTTTAAATTAAATCCAGTTTTTTCGTTTCCTGCTTAATCAACTAATTTATTTGATTTAAATAATAATTAAATTAATTTACAAATGGTATTTTATAATAATTATTGTCTAACTAAATACTTACATGTAGAGTAAATGGTGTAAAATCTTTCTTCATTACGCGAATCTGGTACTACTTATCTAATAATACCTTCGTTTTCATATGACTCTAAATTATATATCTTATTTTCGTCTTCTTTGAATTCAATCAAATGGGTCTAATTGATAAATGAAGTAAATAATCAAACAAACAAACAGATAGTAAAAAGAATTAAATTTACCTTATTTTGCCCCTTTAATGAGCAAGTACTGGCATAAAATAAATTTCTTGTAGTGCAAGGATGCGCAATAATATGCTTGGACTTTATTAGAAATAAATAGGTTCATATTATGATATTAAATAAAAATTGATGATTAATATCATTTAAATTGTATTTCTACTCTGCATTTGCCCAAATTAAACTGAGCTGATTAAGTAGTGGCATCTAAAATCTAGGTAGCGTTCATTTGCTTAAATATGAATACTGAATTTGTCTTTTTTCAAATATTAATTTTAAAAATGAATGATATGAATCTACTTTATTTATGTCAATTAATTATTCAGAAAATATATACAATTTATATCAAAAATCTAAAGATAATTATTTATTTGAAATATCTATCTTCCAACAGAATTAATTATAAAACAAACAGCACATGCAAGTAATAGAATAAATTAAAATAAACTAAACTTTTATTTTCATGAAAAGGATTTTTAAAATAGTAAAATTGTCAGTAAATAAAAAAATTTTTAAATCAATTTAAATATAAAAACCATAATATTTTATCAGAACGAACACGATGTTTTCCTCTTTAAAGATAAAAAGCTGATTATATTTTTTTACTAAAAACATTTTAAAACAAAAAGATAAAATTTTTAAATTTTTAACAAGTTTAAACAAGCTTTGCAATTGTTATAAATATTTTTATTTTTATGTTTTTTGATTATTTGTGTGAAATGCTTTTCAAATGAACTAATTAGAATATCATTTAATATTCTATTTTCTGCTTTAAATTTAAATTATAGAATTTATTAAAAAAATTAGCTAAAGTTTTATCATGTGTTCTTATAAAGCTAATTTTTTTTATAATTATTTAAAGATATTTATTGAATTATATTTATTTGTGCTTCCTTGAATGATATCAAGATTTATCATTATATAAAATTTGATTTATTTTAAGAAAAGAAAAAATAATTTTAACCATAAAAAAATTACCCATTTATACTTACAATTTAAAATCATGCTTAGATAAAATCTTTTTTGCCAATAAAGCTAAAAAATAGAAGAATCAATTCTATTAATCTTTAATCATATTTATTGGCTATTGAATTTATTTTTGATTATTAGAAAAATAGAGTCATAATTAAATCCTAGTAACTTAATTTTATAAACTTTAAGTCACTTAAATAATAAACAAAGTCAATTCAAAAAAGAATATCTAAAAAAATGATTAAATACAAAAATATTTAATAATCAGAATGATTTATTAAAAGAAGAAAAAAATGAATGAATAGTAAGTAATTTATAGAAATTTATTTAATTCTTAATTATGATGACAAATGAAATAATACACCATCTGAATACAGTCATTACCATATAAATGTAAATAAAGATACTCAAAAAATTGCTTCCTAATTTACTTTAATATTTATAATAAAATAAAAGGTCATTCATTCATTTAGGTCTAATTATAGATTTGAAAATATTGAATTTTTTACCCTTATAAGTATCAATCAATACATTCCATTACCGAAAAATCAAAATTAAATAGTTTGTTTTAATTAGATTTGAATGATTATTCACTTTTTTCTATTTATAATATCTATCATAATAATAGAAACTGCTATATGCATACCCATTTAAGCTAACATAGAGCTAATTATACCGCTTTTTTCACCAATAATTTAAAAAACTTCATTAGCTAAGAAGAAAAACAAAGTTAAACAATAAGTAATAATTTGTGATGATGATAATGAATAAATCAAAACTCCATATGCTGCAGCATAATGCAGAGAAATATATAAATTTTTGTATTCTCTTTCTTGTCTATTCCATATCTTTCTCACAAATATTCTCCAAAACCATTCCTCAAAAATGGGGTTCACTAAACTGTAAACCATACACGAAGTCATTATAAATAACTCACTTTTGTCATTTTGGACTTTGAGAAGCTTTTAGTAATTTTGAGATAGGAAGAGATATCCAAGGATAATGCTGAAAAAAATAGAAAGAAAAAAGATGAATCCATTATGAATTTGCTTTGTAACATGCTCTAGCTCATTATAAAGAAAATAAATTAAAGGACAGTTAAGTATTTTCATTGCTAGCCAAGGAAGACCAATCAAAACTACACCCAGCTAGATTAACAAAGTGACCAAAATATTTAAATTATAGAAATTAGAGAGTAAGATGATAACTGTAGGACTCAGCATAACAATTTCAAGTAAAACAATATGGTACCATCTTATGTCGATTACATCAGATAGACGTAAAAATTCTTCGCTTTACTGAGGCATTTTTAAAGCCAAATTCTTAAGTTCCATTTTTATTTACTCTTTAAATTATACCTTATTCAATTTACCTTCTAATGTTTACCTTTACACAAATAATATTCAATCAAATTATAAGTAATTTTAATAATTATCAAATAATTCTAAATCAACCAACAATTATTTTTAAAGCTCAGTCATTCATACATATTTACATACATTTGCAGATTAATATTCAAAGTATTTTCTTAATTTGATTTTTGTTTTTTGTTTTTATATTATTTTAGAAACATTTAAATTAAAAATATAATTTTAAGAAAAATCATTCTTCAGAGTAGAAAACTGATATGGTTGATTTATTTATTAGTTAAATATCATTTAAAGAAGGACAAAATAAATAGATAAAATTTTAAATTTCTTGATTTAAATTAAAATAATTGTTTTGAATAATTTAGTTTGAAAAACTCTAAAGTTAATAAATTTATATAAAAATTTATATGTTTTTTACAATAGATTAGTATTAGATAATTTAAATTATTTAATATTATGTATAGAAGTAGAAAGATTTATTGATTGAATAAGCTAACTTTTATAGTAAAAGTTTTTTTATATTTTTTTTGGTTAGTTACATGAGCAATGATTTCAAAAAGATTGTGATTTATTCAGTCTTCTAAGAGTATATCCATTAGAGTGTATTCTTTGAGGTAGTTTATGTAAGGGTGTATGTTTTAATTGAAGATTTTTATATAAAGTATTAGAGTTAGAAATGATCTAGTGTAATTTTAAAATTCATTTTATGAATTAAAAATTAAAATATTATCTGGCATTTACAAATTAAGATTATTAGAATTTATTATATAGGATTGATTTTATACCATTAATGCTTGTGTGTATTTTAAGTTAGAGCTTTTTTCAAATTCAAATGCCTAAAAGTTATAATTATAAAGTTATATAAATTGCACAAAAAGCTATTAGTGAATGTAAATTGCTGGTAATTTGTGTTTAGTTAACTTTTCCTTTTGCTCATTTTAAGTCTACTCATCTTCTGCAGATATTTATTATATTTATTGCTATTATATTTAATATTATTAATTGTTATTGTCTGTTTTTACAAATTAATCATAGTTATTCTGAAAAGTATAATATGTTTCTAATCTCTCATCAAACAAATAATCAATTTCAAGATGCTAGATATTTAATATAATTTGTTCTTTATCTAGAATCTCATTTAAATATTCGAATTCGCTAAATAATTGATGATATTGTCCATTTTCTTGCTCTTACAAAATAGTCTTAAACATCATTTTATCATAATAAAGTGAACACTTTTGCTTATTCAGATGTCGAGTTTTCAATTATTAAATATCTTTGATTATTTTTACTAGATCTGACTAGGAGCATAAGTTAAAATTTAGGGTATCTTTTATTTAATTAAACCTATTTTCTATTGCATGATTGCTACTTTGGCAAGACTATTTGCTAAAAGTTTTTTGTTTATAATCTGAATAGAATTTTATTATATTGATTTCAATTTTGCTAAAAATACTCCTAAATAAAGAGTTTTTTGCTTTATATTGAGTTACTATTAATCTAAGTGCTAATATAAATATCGACCAACTCAGTAAAATGTTAAAGATGCTCTTTATTGTATTAACTATTCCAGCTATTATGCTGTTATTAAAATTTATACTTATCATTTCTTCTTTACTAAAAATTTTATTAAAAAATATGTTTGATTATTTATAAAATTTGTATCGCTAAATTATCATTCAAATTTAATAAAAAAGAAATACAACCATTCGAGAGAAATTTATCTATTTATATATAAATTAACAACTAATATTTAAAAGTATCAAAAGACTTTTTCATATATAATTTCATTATAACCCCAAAAAAAAATAAATAAATAGTCTTTTTTGAGATAAACTGTCTATATTAAATATGTTATCTTACTTTTAATAGCTATTTCCAACACTAATTATCTTATTATCAAACATTTCCTTAGAATAAAATAGAATAAAAAGTAATATTTACTAATTTATTCCTCCTTATAAACTCCAAAAAAGATCTTTAACTACTTCCTTTTTCTTAATAGAAAAAGTATTATAAAATTTATTTCACGTTTATTTAAAAGCTATTTTTAAATATTTGGAGAAATTTTGCAATTTTAAAAGAAAAAAAAATATGAATGAAACTATTTCACAATTGAATTCTTTTAGGTTGTAGGGATTTAATTGGAAAAACAATAGATAATTATGAAAAAAAAAAAATTAAGAGTCTTTTCATTGGTTTCATGCTTTACAAAAATCTTAATTTTAACACGCAATTTATTTTGTGTTATTAGTTTATGAAAAGAAAACATATTTTTTTAATTAATAATGAAATTTAATATCCTTTTTAATTTTAACCATTAAAAACAGAAAACACAAAAAAATTTATTAATCTTATTCTGAAAATTTATAATTTCTTATAAGAATTTAATAATTAAATAAAAGCAATGAAGTCTTCTTCTTCTCAGTTTTACAAATCTAAGTAGATTCCAGATTTAAATTTAGAAACTATTAAAAATTAGAATGGATTTTAAAAGATGCAGAAGCCTTCAAAATATGGAACTACTCACTAGAAAATAGAAATATCTAAAGAATAGTTTTATGCCAACTACTCTCCATCTCCTCGATAAATAAATAAAAGCATTATTGTATCAAAAGTGATTGGAAGTAATAATAATAATAATGAGAAATTATTAAATAATTCTTAAGCATTTTCACCGAGCAGTGCGAAGTCTTTTGGAACTTAGCCGCTAGTTTTTTCAGATAGCTCTAGGATAATTACAAAGGTAAGCAAAATATCAAATTTTTCTGACTCTCTTTCCTAATATGGTGCTTCTACTAACTCTAGAGCATCAAGTCCAAATACTTCTACTTTATCACTTACCAGTGAAATGAAGAGTAAATCAGTTCAATCTAGCCCTAAGTAAAGCAAACAATCAGAATTCTTCAAAAATAATGAACTTTATATTAGAGAAATACTATCTTTAGTAAGTAATGAACTTGACTCTCATCATTCTGAGTTAAAGCAATATTTACATGCTTATGGGATGTCAGGAGAAATTTTTACATTTTATCTAAACCGCTTTTTGGAAAATTCTTGTGGAAAAGACGGCAACTCTTAGATATTCTTTAAAATAAATGACATGATTTACTACAAGACAGTTAGTCTGCTCTAAACAAACGCCAACTTCGCACCTATTTTAGAAAAGTTAGAATTTAATAAGGTATATAAAATAAAATTCTGATCCAGAATGATTTTAATTTAATTTGTGTGGTTTGCTTTGCATAAAAAGAAAAATTTAATATTAAATTTACAAATAAAATGAAAAATAGAATTAATCTAGTACGAATATCCAAATTAATTAAAATATTTATTAATTCATTAAACTTATTTTTGTAAAAAGCATAAAATTCTACCTCAGACTCTCATGGAATAGATTTGCACAAGAGATTTACTAAAATAAATAATACAAAAGGTATATGAAGAAGCAAAGAATTCCACTTTTATGAGTGAATATTTTACTTACGATAAAATGATAAATACTGAAAGTGCTATACAAATCTTAGAAGATGCTTTTGTTGGAAATGTAAATGAACTCTAATCATTAGTCAATACAGTCTTTGGAAAAAATAAATTCACACACACTTACTTCTACTTCTTCAAAAACTAGATTAATAATGCTCTCAAAAAGCAATAAATTCCTAAAATATTAATATTCAAAATATTAGAGAAGATCGAAAGTTTGAGGTAAAGACAATTAATTAATTATTAATCTTTATAAAAATCAACTAATACATTTTATAGGTACTTAATAGTAGAAGATCATGAATGTCTATCATTTAAATCTGAAATAGAAAAAATAGTCTTTCAAACCATCTAGCAGAGCCACATAACATAAAAGATACCAATTTTTGCTTAACTTTAAGTAAAATTGTTTAATTATTTTATTCAATTTATTTGAATAAATAAGCATTTATTTTTGAGTATTTTTTATTTACCAAAAGTTTAATTTTTTATTTTATCTAAAATATTTAGCTTAAAGCATAAATTATTTATGTTTTAAATTAAAAAAAAGTTTAATATTGCTTTTTTTCATCATTGAAATATTTTAAGATAATTTTTGTCATTTTAAAAATAAAAAAATATAAAAGGCTGAATAATTATTAGGGTTTGCATCTGTCTTTACTAAGAATTTGATTTTCTATCCTGAAATACAAATCATTAGGAGGCATATCAAAGCTTTAGTTAACGAGTAGAATTTACAAGTCTTTTTGATAGAATAGATTTGCTAAGCTATTACTTAGTTTTTGCTAAAGAAAGAAGGTTTTGATGAATCGATTCATGAAATTTCAATCAGAAAAGAAAAATTACTTCTCTCTCTCGAATTATAGACTCATCTAATATCTAATCAAAATATAATAAAAGAACTTATTGACATGATCAAAAAAGGAGTAAAAAAGGAAAAACATATGATCGATGATTTAAAAATATTAGAAAATCCTACTTTAATTCAAAGCTATCTAGAACAGCTTAATTCACCATATAATTGCACATGCATAAAAGATTGGTTTGGGAGTGTATAATTACTGTAAGTAACCTCTTGGTAAATAGGGATCTGGTTTCGTATTTTAAAGACCTCAATAGCGAAGCTAAAACTAAATCATCAGACTCAGTTTTTAATAGAATAAGAATTAAATTACATATCAAACTATCAATGAATAAATAAAAAATATATTAAAATACAAAAAATTAAAATAATTTTACTGCATCAAATTTTTATTTTTTTACAAAATTTTTTAATTTTTGAGTTCTATTCATTAATTAATTAATTATAGATTATTTATTTATTTATTTATTTATTTATTTATTTATTTAAGTAATTGAATAATAAAATTGCCTTTATAAGAAATTTCTATTTGATAGAAAAGTTTTAAATAAATTAATAAGCAATAAGATACATACATTCACATAAACACACAAATTTATTTTTTTGTTATTATTTAGTATTGCTTCAAACAATTTATCTAAATACATACCAAAAAGTTTTATAGATAAAGAAAGAACATCTTTCACACAAAGTAATAAAATAATTAAAAAAATAAAAGCTTCTGTTTAAATTAAATGTAGAGTATGGAAATTGCTTTGAACGATATGTTCGCTCGTTAAATATATTTAACTTGCTATAAAGCTGTAATTATTTAAAAGCAAAATGATGAAGATTAAAATTTGAACCAAAATGATCTAAAGGCATTTAATAATTGTATCAATTTATATTAAGTATCTAAAGAAATATCTTATCGCTCTTTTTTAGCTTTTGCAAGAGAAGAAGGATTAAAAAGGAAAGCAAGACAATAACAACAATAACAATGATTTTTTTATTTAATTTAAAATGATTTATCATCTTTGGAGAGTATACATAAATCTCTAAGATTTGTTAATAGTAATAAAAAAATAATTAATAGTAAATTTATCTTTATATTCTTAACTTATACATTTTAACTTAAAATATTTGATGTTTAATAAAATATAATACAAATAATAATAAAATTCATCCTATTACATGTTCTACTTGAATTTTGTTGTAATGATAGTAAAATTTATAATAATTAATATTTATAGCTTTTTAATTTGAGTTTTATCAATTGGAAAATATTAGGTTAATTGATGTAATAGCTACTATTTAAAATAATTTTATATTAATATAACTAGTTGTTTAACTTGTTACATTTTTTTACATCATTTTAAAGCTTATTAAATATGTATTATAATACTATATCTTTTAATAGTAAATTTTTAACTCTTAAATTATTGATGAATGAATGGATGTATATATATATGTATGGATATTAAGGAAAAATATAATTTGTTGCCAGCATAAAAATCCAAAATATAATCTTTGCATACGATTAATGATATTTTTTATATAATTACGGGTGTAACATAAATTAATTAATTTTGAAATTATTAAAAGCATAAATCTTCTTTCTTTTGCGTGTAGATTACTATTAAATGAGTAGAGAAAGAAATCAACTAAAAAGCGATAACCTTCCTGCTTTAAACGAGTCAAAATCCAAACATTACTTTTTTTCTCCTGTAAAAGACTTTAAGCAGTAAAAGATATAGCAAATAAAGTAGAATCAATTGTCTTTGAGTACTGATAAAACTGAATTTTAGAGCTATCTCAAAGCAAAATATGAGAAATAAATTATTAAGGAACAGAGTATGTAAAATAAGAATAATAACCATATAAACACGATGAATACAACTATGGCTTAAAAGATTATAGATAAAATTTTTATAAATAGTCCATCTAAGAAAATTACTTCCTAGCAAATGAGCTAGAGCATGCTTGACGTCCAAGTTTTAAGTCAGTCTACTCAAAATTTAGGTTAAAAGTTCACTCTTAAAAACATGCTTTTTAACCACCAAATTTGCTAGATCTAAAATAAAAATAATTTCGTAAGCTAGCTTGGAGTTCAATCACCTTTTAAAAGTTTGAAAATATAAATAAAAAGCGGAGGAGAAGAAGAATTAATGAAGACCAAATTAAAAAATGGTCAATGGACTTCAACTGTCGAACTTCAAAATCTTAGGTCACACGGAAATCTTCCTAGCGAGAATGTTAATAAATATGTTTCACCTACAAAATTAAAAGTTTCTATGCCTCTGATGGAAGAAATATAACAGATAAACGAAGAAGATAGAATAAATAAGTAGAAGAGAAACGCAGCTACAAAATTATAAAAGAAATAGATTTTGGAGCTCTCTAAAGTGAACAAAAAACTTGAAAAAATAAAGCATTAAAAAACAAACAGTCTTAACTTTTTGCCTTAGAATTCATATATCCAATTAGCTATAAATTCTTGCTAAAATATTTGCTTGAATTCTTAAACTAATACAGCTCAAACAAAACCATAGCCACAAAAATAATAGCTAATACACTAGAAGGAGAGTTAAATAAATCGAAATGATAACGCAAACAGCAACAATAATGATTTTTCAAATTGTTCATCAATTACAAATATCCCCATAAGCAATGCCAACAATACTGGCTTTAATAAAATAAATAAATAGCCTTCTCTAGATGATATTCATTTTAATTGCAACAACAATTCATAGAAAAATGAAGGCAAAAGTTTTAATATTTTTACTAATTCTAATACAAACACTGCTACCAATTTTTTACCAGGCTCAGATAAAAATATAACAAATCTCATATCGTTTGAAAACCAATCTAATTTAGAATTAAATAATTTTAATTTAGACGATAACTAGCATTCTAAATAAAATAATGGTCATCATCAAATTTTGTAACGTTTTGCAAGCTTACAATAGAGTAGTATTAATAGCTCTCTCAACCATTTCAACCTTAAAAATAATTTAAGACAAAATATCATCAACAAAGAATATTCAAATTTACCATAATAAAGTGAGACAATTAAATTTAATCTTAAAAATTAAAAAGAAATTTAAAGATAATCAAAAGAAGATGAATAAAAATAAAATGATTAGCAAAAATAAAATTCTTTTAATAATTGCTTGAATATATCAAAGGAAGATTTTTATAATGCTTAAAAGTAAGAAAGTAGCAAATAGATTTAAATAAATTCTTTAATTCAAATAGAACCTAATTCTAAGTCAGAAACTCTAATAGAGCCTCTTTTCTAAGGGAAATCAAATTTGAATTCTATAATTTTAGAAATTCCTAAAAAGGCAGGATATTCATCAATGATTTAATTGGAAGTCCATGAAGAAGAAATTGAAGAAACCATAGAGCCAAAAATTTAACCTAAATCTATGATAATAAATAATTTAAAAAATGAGTTTTTACAAGAAAACTCATAAATTTCCAATAGGAGCTATTTAAATCAAAGCAAAGATGAAATAGATACCAATAAATTTAAGAAGTCGACTGATAATAATCATTAGCACCTTTAAAAATCTAAAAGCAACTTTATATTTTTTGGAAAAAATAATAATAGTATGCAGCTATAATTAAATAGCTAGTAATCCTCCCAATCCAATAATCCATCTAATGCAAACACAAATATATAAGAATAAATTAGAAGAAATCTCAAATAGCAGCTTAACGTTTCATCTCCTCTAAATAATAGAAAAGATATACTTATTTAACAAATATTTTTATAAAACCAAAAAAATAAAACTCATTAATCACATCATGCTTCTCATTTATAATCCCCCAACAGTCTTTAACACCACTAAAGCAGGCCTAGTCCTTTAAGAAATCATGAGAATCTTACTCCTCTTAATCTCAACAGTATTACACCTAATAGCACAATAAAATAAAACTCAAATTAATAGTAATAAAATCCTCTTTCGCCTTTGAATCTAAGTCCTCATTCTGAATTAATGCCTACAATAAACAATCAATAAAATTTATAAGAAAAATATAAAATTAATTTAGATTTAATTAAATAAAATAACTAATCAAATAATTTATTAAATCAAAGTGATTCTGTATGTAGTTTAGATACTCCAAAAATAATTAACACTCCATTGCTAACTTCAAATAAACAGTTGCTTTAAACTAGCACTCCTACTGCTTTTAATCGCAAACGACAAGCTTCTAACATAGAAATTACACATAATGGAGGACACCACTCCTCTAACCAAGCACTGCTTAGCTAAATTTTGAAGAAAAACACTAAAAACTTCAGCCTAACAAGAAACAACTCAACTAATAATCAGTAAATAGTTAATAATATTTCATCAAATTCTAATAATGTAAATACGAATTTAAGAACTTTAAATTCATCATTAAACTCACAATTTTCTCTTAGTTCTGCTAATGTGACTCCATAAAATTAGCAAACACGTAAGAACAGCATCAAAACTAAGTTCAACCAAGAACAACAAAATGAATACAGCAAGCAAAGCTTTTCTAATTTCCTACAAGCAAGCTCACAATAAGAACAATAAATATAAAATAACATAGAATAATAAGAATCATCTGCTCATAAATAGAGGAGCTCATTTTAAAATAATTAAAATTAACTACGCTTTACAATAGATGAACTTTGCCAAGGACTCGAAAGTTACATTTTAAAAGATGTTGATTTTATGAAAGAGTTAAAGTAGAGTGAAATAGACAGCTCTTCATTCACATTTTACATCAGCAAATATTTGCAACTTTCTTAGCTTGATGTATAAAATAGCTAGAATTAAAAACAAAAAGATAAGTTAGTCCTTTTCAAAATAAATTCATAACTGTTTGAGAAATCCAGAGCCATTTTGTAAAAAAAAATGGAAGATATGAATTTAGATAAACCTTTACAGGAAAAAATAATTAAATTATTTGAAGACAGTAAACAAAGTATTTTGGCTAGCAATGTGTTTGAAGAAATAGGAGGTAAAAAATAAATTAGATAATTTATTTAACTAATTGTGTCAGATATCAAAGAAAACACAAATATCCCAATTTTAAACTAATTCACAGATCAAAAAGAGTTACTTGACAGTTCAACTTAATTCTTTTCCCATCTCTTTAAAGGAGAGTATGAATAAGTCAATATTTTAAGCTAGCAATTTTTAAGTAAAAGCTTTAATGTTACTTTGATAGAATACTTTTTACTTAAAAATTACGCTTACAACTCTTTAAGAAAGGATTAAACACTCATCAAAGAAGTTATTTTGCGTATTTTAGAAAAAATAGAATCAGTAAGATCTTGCCTTGTATAAAATTATGATGATAATTTGGTACTCAATTCAGACTCTAGAATTTAATCCTTGCTTTTTGATCTAGGAATCCACTCCAATCCTGTCCATAAATTTATAAAACCACTAAAAAATAAAATTCTACCTGAATCGTAATATGATCCCTTCAGCTACTACTTAAAATAAGAAGTAAAATATTTAATAACGAATCCTAAATTGAGAAAAATGGCAAGAATGGTTGAAGCTAATTTAAAATCTAAAGATGACTTTTATATAGTTTCTTAAAATTTTTTAGAAATATTGAAGAAGTAAAAATCAATAAAATTTACAGCAAATCAATTACTAAACATTGAAATAAGAATCCTTAAAGTTGCAATACTTCTAGGAATAGAAGAAAGTTATTTAGGTTTATTTAAAGACATAAGCGAATTAGAGAGTTAGTTGATTGAAGAAATCGATTAATATAACCAATTAGGTAACAAAAAATAATCAGTTTAAGACATGAAATAAAGCCTTGATATTAAATTTCTCTGTTTTGTTATAGAATTTACATTCAACTAATACTGTGTTTTCAATGCTTACGATATTTCTATTGCTAAAAAATTCTATTCCCTTAATGAAGAGATCATTACGATATAAATATCTTCACTAGAAAACTTACTACTCAAAAGAAAAAAGGAAAGTAAAATGTTCATTTAGATTTAATAAAAAATTCCTTAATTTATATCTCTGTTAAAAAAAATTTTAATTCACACCTGAAAATATATATAAAATGTTGTATAAAATTTAAACAATTTTATTTTCTAATTCGCTTCAATAAATTAATACTAAAAAAAATAAAAAATTATGTCTCAATCAAACTAGCAATTTGATATAATAATATTTATAAACTAATATTAATAATATTCTCACTAATAGATATATATATATATCAAGTACATATAATTTAATTAATATCTTAATAGTGGTGATATTGTTAATATTATCAATATAGCTCCTGCAAGGATAAAATTTATCTTTACATTTATATAATATAAAAACTAATCTTTTATTTTATTATTTTTACATAAATATTATTTTCTATTTCCCTTCAATAAATGAAAACAAATAAAAAATTATATTTTTATGAAATAGAAATTAGTTATAATTATATTTAAATTCATAGGATATATTAATAATATTCCAAATAATATAATTAATCTCTTAATAGTGATGACATTGTTAATATTATTATGAAAGGATAAAATTTATCTTTTCTAATCATATTTATATTTTTACACAATAATACAATTATGGTATTTTGCATCTAGAATTAGACATTAATATAATATTAAAACTACTCTTTTATTTTATCATTTTTACTCCATAAATAGAAATAATTTAACAATATTTGAAATTAAATAAATATTTTATTTAAGGCTATACAAAATTAAAATTCCTTTAACTATTTAACAAAATAATTTTATAAAAATCATTAAAATATAGTATTTAGTTATACTAATCTTCTTATCTTCATAGCTTATCTTTTGTGGTTTATCTACTCTCTGTTAAAAGGGCAAAAGCTTTTATGAAAAAAGAAAATGATGAATTTGAAATATCCTTAAATTATTTGAGTTAACAAAGAAAAGTTTATAAATATTTTTATTAGTTTATTACCTAACGTTTATTGTTAGTTTCTTAATATTATTACAAAAAAGAAGCTCCTTGGATTTAAAGTATTTTTCATTTTTACTAATAATTATAAAATTAAAATGTTTAATATAAAAAGTAAATAGTTCATTAATATACTAAAATATCAGTGTTAAAGTCAATAATTTGGGTAAATTGCTCAAAGCTATCCCAGTGTTTTCTTCTTCTTAATCAGTTATTTTATTGTAGCTTATATTTTATTTTAATATATTTAAATTTTATATCATGTTTTATTTAATGTATTTATTACATCAAATTAAGTTTTAAATTAGTCAGATTTTTGCAACAACTTAATCCTGTATACAAATTTTGAGCACCTAAATCTCCAATTTGATTATCCCTATATAAGAATAATATGAAATTTCAAACATTAAATTTTATTTATTTTTAAATAAATAGTTTATCATAAAAATCCTCAAAATATTTTTATTTCTTTCTTAATATATAAAATAAGACTCTATACCATAAAATTAATTCTAAAGTAGCAAGTTGAGTACAATTAATAAGCCCTTTTCCTAAAGAAATTATACCTTCATCTCCTATTAAATTTTAGCTTAAAAAATTCAAAATAAAATTAGAATTAAAAAAACTGAAACAAAAAATAATTTTTAAAAGTTTGAAAAATGTTAATAAAATAATTTATTTTTATTTTAAATCAATATTTACTAAATGTAGATGCTTAAATTTAGAAGGTTATAACAATTGCTTATCCATTAACCAATAATCTCTAGTCCTTCACTCTTGATTTAATTATTTCTATAAATTAAAAAAATGATTTAGGAAATAAGAATTCTTATTAATGTTTGAGCAATTAACTTAATAAAAATGGAACATATATATATTATCATATTTACGAAAAATGAAATATTAAAGTTGAAAGATTAGTGCATTTACTAAAGTCTGTTCCTATATTAGTAATTTCCTCTTTTATACTTTAATCTTGTCTTATGTTTTTTAAAAAAATATTAAACTCATTATATATAATATTTTTTTAGATTTAGATTTTATATAAATTTTAAATACAAAAGAAATTATTTTTAATTACAAATATAATTGCAAATCTAACATATTTTAACATTTAGCCAACCCTTAACCAATATTTTAAATTCCTTTATCGCCTATTTAATTTTTCCTTATTTTTTAAATTTTATAAGGATTTATTAAAAACAAAATACATTCATTAAAACTAATTAAAAATTACAATAATTTATTAAAACAAAAAATAAAAAATTTTAATTGATGTTTAAATAATTGTTACGATAAAATCAATTCTAAAATTTAAAGTCTTGAGCATTTACTCAAACCTTATCCAATAGCACAAGCCCCTTCATTTCCAACTCTATTTTGGCTTTTCATATTTTAAATAAGATATAATTTCCAGACATTATGGATAAATCCTGAATACAAAATAAGCACAAAAAAACAACAATAATTTGATTATAAAATACTTAAATAAAATAAACAAGTTAAAAAATAAATAAATTAAAAACTTACTACAAATTAAGATATAAATTAACTAGGTGTTGTGATATATCGCTTAATAAATTTCCAATAAATATAGCTCCTTTGTTTCCAATATTATTTTCGCTTTTATTATAAAACATACATATATTTTAATAAACTAAAAAAAACAAAAATTAAAATTATAATAAACAATCAAATATAAAAAAATTCATAATTTATTTTATTATGAAAGAATTTAAAGCTTATATTTTTTTCTTTAAAAATTACCAAAAGCAAAATTTTAAATTTATCAGATTTTAATGATTGCTTAAACTTTTGCACAAAGCTATAATACCTCCATCTCCAATTTTATTTTATCTAATTTAATTAATTAATAAATAAAAATGATATATTCGATAGAATTTAGGGATTTGTAAATGAAATCAAATATTTAAATTTTAAAGGATAATAAATCTCATTTACAGTAAGTATTAAAGAAAATAATGCTAAAGAAATTTAAATCAATCTAATCGATTATTATATATAAATAATTTAATTTAAATAAGTAAAGTATCTTAATTAATTTACTATATAAATATTTCTAAGCTAATAAGTTGCTTACAATATTTCAAACTTCTACTTAACCCTCTGGCCCCAGTTTCTAAAATTTTATTTTCACTAATTCATTTATAAAATCTAAATTAACTAAATAAAATATGGTTTTATAAATATTTTCAAAAATATTTAATATACGCCAAAACTACATCTAAGTTTTCAAGTTAGGTACATTTACTAACTCCATTCCCAATAGCAATCGCTCCTTAAATGCCAATAATATTTTAGCTTAAAAAAATTAGATAGAGAATATTGATATACAAACATTCAAATAAAAAAATAATTTAAATTTTAGAAATTTAATTTGAATCAATAGCAGAGTTTAAGTAAATAAAAATTAAGTAAATTTACTATAAATTCAGTTCTAAACATACCAAATTGCAAGATTTACCTAGCCCTTAGCCTAAAAAAACAGCTCCTTTATCTCCAATTAAATTTTAACTATTATACGAATTATATAATAAGTTAAAATTAAAAATAATTAATAAAAAAATATTAAATAATAATAAAATAACAAACAAAATAAATAAAAGATTAAAATTATTTAAAATTTTACTATAACTAAATTTACAGCTAAGTCAAATTTGTAAAATTGCTTAGTAATTCACCTAAAGCTATTGCTCCTATATCATTAATTTTATTTGATCTTATAAAATTAAAATTATCTCATCATCATTATTAGTACAAAGTTATAAACATCATATAATATAAAATCTAATTAAAATTAAATATTTTATACCCTAATTCAAATTCGAATATCTTGATTTTCGAGAGGTTTTTCATTGTATTTTTAAATTAAGTTAAATCTTATATTTAGATGCAGTTTTCCCTTTAAGATAAAAAATTTTTTAAAAATAATTAATTAATATATTTTATTCTTACGACAGTTAAAGTTTAAGCTCTGTTAAATCATCATAATATTATAGATATTATTGAATACTTTTTATGCCTTATTGATTAACTTTATTGCAACTAATTAAATTTTAAATAAACTTCATCAATAAAGATAAATTTTGCAAAATTTTTAAAAATATATCTTTTCTGTTCAAACTAAATTCAAATATTTTACTTTAAATTAATATAGAGGCATTTTAAATTATTAAATTTATGCATTTTAATGAATATTTAGTAGACCTAGTCATCACTTAAGTTATTATTTCTAATAAAAAAAATAGTTTTAAGTTCATATTATTTGATAAAAAAAGTTTGGTCAAAAAATATTAAAAAATACTCAAATTAAAGACTCATAGTTTGAATTTATTTGCAATTATTTAAAGATGAGATGATTAAATCTATATCTTTTACTTCTATTTTATGATCACTATTTGGTTTAAAGAAAATAATTTTTAATTTAATATAATTTTAAATAAATTAAAAGACAGTTTTTAATAAAGCTAATATTAAAAAAAAGTGATTACTTGAATTATAAAGTGAGATGAATATGAGCATTTAAGTTAGACTAAACAAACTTTTGATATATTAAATTTAAAATTGAAAAATAAATAAAATATAAATAAATTACATTTTATATGGTAAAATAAGTGTTATTCTATTATTGCATAACTTTTTTTTAACCTTATTTTATCTCAAATTTTTATTTTATTTTTATTTAATAAAATAATATAAATTATATTTATCTTAATTAATTTTTAAATGTCCATCCATCCTCTTTATTATTTATTTATTATCAATAAATATCTAAATGAAAATTTAAAATTTTATTAGATCATAAATTCATAAATAAGGCTTAACCTTTATATTAATTTAACAAAACTCAATTTTAGTGAGATTATCAAAGTTCAATCAAACTTGGGAAAAAAATTTTTTCTCACTTTTCAACAATATTTAAAATTTAAAAATAGTAATTCACTACTTATTAAATTTCATAATCTCATAAAATCCCTACAAAAATCAAATAAAATGTTAAATTTTTGATTTGGGTTTAAATCCTTTGGATATTTCATAGAATATCTTCAAAAAAAATGTTTTTTTGTAAGAGTTGAAATCACAGATAACGAAAATAAATTAAATTAAAACTATTTTTATTATGTGTTATGTGATATTCTTATTTAAATCACTAAGTCTTCTAAGAATCAAGTTTAATTGAAACTCAAGTTATTTGTAATCAAAAATTTAATAATAAGCTATTTGTATTATCTATCCTTGATTAGAGTTTAAAGTATTTCTTCTTTCTTTAAATCAGAATATAAATCTTTAGCAAATTAATAATCAATATTCAGATATTTGATTAAGTTAAATTTGACAAAAAATCTATGAGCAGGAAATTCAGTTTCTAATAATTTTTCATAATTATCTAAATATGAATAAGGAAAAATATACTTACTTGTTTATTAATTATAATCAACATTATAAATAGTTTAAATGATTTATTTCTGATTAATTTCTTTTGTAAAAGCATAATGTTATCAATATTGAATTTGTTAGTTAAATTGAATACTAAATATTATTGTTTATCAGAGAGAAGCTTATTCAAGTAATAACTAACTTTTAATGCTAAGATGCTATTAATAGAAAACACGCACAACTATTTCTATTTAAATTTAATAAAAATCAGGAAAGAGATTGCAAATTTCATTAAATATGTAAACCTAATCTAATATTTATAAATATGTAAAATTATTTTCAGTTTAATGCTGTTGAATTAATATTTAATTCTCATAGCTTAGAAATTCTTTTAAATTATTTTATAAGAATTAATAGATTTTTAAGATATCTAACTATTGATTACAATTAAATAAGATTTGATATAAATTTAAGTTATTTGTAAATTGTATTTTTATATCTTACTATTTACGTTAACAAACTTTTTTTAAACGGATTTACAATTAAATAAATGTTAACACTTTTGTTTAATTTCGAATTATAGAAAAAAATTAAATAATTTTATAATCTTGTAGATAGAATTGATACAAAAATAATTAAATTATAAAACTTACATATAATATTTATTTATAATTAAAGACAATAATTAAATTAGTAGAAAAGTACATTCAAATTTGTTTAATTTATTATAATAATTTGATTTTTTTATATCCTTTATGTTGTATAAATATATCGACTTTAATAATTTCATTGAATAGTTTCTAACCAAACTTATTTAGATATCAATTGTCTTTTGTTTTGTAATCAAACAATTATTCGAGTTATTTGTTCATTTGATTTTTTTTTGTTGGATTTAAAAATAATTTTTGCTAAATTTATTTTGATGATAAATGAAATAGGTCTAATTTATTTATGAGCCATGAATGATAACATCTATTAAAATTTGGATTAGAATTGAGTTAGATTTTCTTTCATATACTACTTGATCATTATTATAAAAATAAGGCTTGAATATTTAGTCTATGAAAAGCATATATTTTTGATATCTTTATGGTTTAAAAATCAGTAATAAGTATTGAATGGAAAAAATTCAGGTCTCAAAGAGATTTTAAATTTGCGTTTTAAGTAGAAAGGATATTTGCATTATTATGATTGATCCTGAATGATCTATAAATTATATATTTACTTAAACAAGGTTGGTTTACTTCACTTTCAATAGCAAGAATTGCAGATATCAAAATTTTAATATTAGTTTTACTAACTCAATAAATATTGGTCAATTAATTAATTAAATAGTTAATTATTCAGCAAAGAGTTATAATAAATATTTCATAGTTATGATGAAAGTGCTTATAAAAATTCTTTATTTATTAGTATCGCTCTTAGGTTTTAGTTTTAGCTAGCCTTTCACCTCTGCGTTATAATTAACAGGATTTACACCATTCAATGTTTAGATAAAATATTAAATTAACTAAATGATTGACAATTAATTATTCTATTTTTCATCTACTAATAATGATACAAATGGACTGCAATATCTGGTCATTGAAATTCTATTTAGCCAAATGGATAACTTTAATATTATCTAAAATCTTTAATTGCCACCATTATTGTGCTATTCTTTCGATTAAGATCCAAACATTATTAACTCTAACAACTAGATAGACATTACTAAATGCAACGGATTTAACTTTAATTAATTTACTAGAGTTAATGGAATGTATTCATTAACAATCAATACGTAGAATCAATCATTTAAAGATATAAGACTTCTTTTCTTTATCTCAGGAGCTTAAGTGAGTTATTCTTTGACAGCTAGAGCACAATACAGTGGAGCTGTATAACAACAGTGTGCCTTTGATTGTTAAAACCCTTATACTTAAATTTCTAGAGGCACTTGCTCAAATGCTGTTTGTACTTGTAATGTCGGATTTGTTGACGAAGATTGTTCGACTGAAGCTATTTTGATAACAGATAAATCGTAAAAAAAACCCATCGATGGTAAATAAATGTATTATTATTACTATCTTCCAAGTTAACCTATTTAAAGCTTAAATAGCGCTTCAGACCTAACTATTTAAATTAATTTATTAAGTAACAATCCTCCTATTGATATGTTTGTCAGTATATAAGGAGTAGATCCTAAAAAAATAATTCCTACGTCTGATATTTATTTGATGCACACACAGATTTCTAGTTCTAGTTATACCTTAACCTTAAAAGGAAGTGGATAATATGATAACTCAGGAAACCCTAAATATACTGTATTTGGATTCACAATTATAAATCAAGGTTCCTCTCCATCAAATATCATTCAGATATCAATATCAAGCTCATCAGGAGATATTTCAAACACAAATTTATTGATTATTTATTTTTTAGTCGGTATAGTTGCTCTACTCTTCTTGATTTGGATTATACTAACTATTATAAAGATAAGGTATGCGCGGAGAAATCAAATTTTAGATCTTACAATGGCTCAAGCTTAGGTTAATGCTGCTTAACAAAGAGTGTAGCAGCGCAGAGGATAATCCAACAAACTTACTATAGAAATTATAGATGAATTCCTCCCTGCTCTAAGTTTTGAAGATATTAAAAAGAAAGCTTAAGATAAAGGTAAAACTTTAAATGACTCATGTGCTGTGTGTCTATGTGAATTTGAAAATAGTGATATTTGCCGTGAAACTATATGCAATCACTACTTCCACAAAGACTGTTTAGAGTAATGGCTAAAAAAATAGGAGAATTGTCCCTTCTGTAGAACAGACTTATAGAAAAATAGCTTGATTAAACATTTTAATTAGATTAAAATGGCTAGCGAGTAAAGTAGTGAAAGAAATCAGGGAGATAATGCGGCAAACGCAAATGTTGCTAACAACAATAATATAATAAATGAATCTTAACCTCTAAGAAATTAAGCAAATAATTAGAGTGTTTAACCTTCAAATGTTAACCTCGTAAGGAATAATGCTGTTAATCAAAGCTAATCTTATCAAGTTAATAATCAAGATATTTAATAAAATGGAATTTAGAGAAGAAACTAAAATCAGTTATCTGTTATGTAAAGAAATCCATCTTAGCGTGGGTTATAAATTTCATAACCTTAAAATAATAACCAAGGAAATAATATAAATATTGTAAATTAAAGCAATAATAACGATTTATAAATCTAAAACTTATAATGATTTTTATATAATTAATTATAAAATTTATAAGATATAAAAACCTTTCTACGTTATCAGCTGTTGAGATATTTTATTCTAAATATTATTTAACCATATTAGTTTATTTTGTTCATTTATAATTAGCATAAAAACTACATTTTAATAATCATAAAATATCACCTATCATTTAATCAATCTCTTTTCTTTATAAAGTAATAATAAATCCAATACCTATAATTACTTTAATTTAATTAATTTGCTTATTCTGATTATTGTCATTTTTATAATAGATTTTGATGAATGAATCTTATTAATTTTAAATCAATTAAAGGAATATAATACTTTGTTTTTTATTTTTTAATTATAGCTTTTCTAAAAAATTTTTTATTTCCAAATTCTGATTTTTTACTTTCAAAAATTTTCTTCCTTATTCTAAAATCATCGTAATAGATGAGTACCTAAGGTAATATCTATTTTATCACTAATTAGCAGAGATCATGCATTTTTAAAATAGTAAATTAGTATATCTTTATTTAAAAAGTATTTGCAAAAAGAAGTTTTTAGAATGAAAATATAATTTGATGTATTAAATATTGGTACTAACAATAATTGTCTCTTAAAACTTAAAAGGTTTAACAAAAAGATTTTAGAAAATGAAAAACCTTCAATTTTTGTAAAATAAGAATTTGATTATAATGTACTAAAAATAAACTAGTACCTATCTGTAAATAAATAATAATATTTCAGTTATCTTTTTTCAAAAATATTATCAATAAAATAAAACAATTTTAGATTTGCTTGCATATTTATATTATTATTATAATTAGTTTTAAAGATTTATTTAAAAACATATTTCTGAGTTTAAAAATTTAATAAAATTGTTCATTTTCTTTCTCTATTTTTTCTTAGAAATTAATCTTACTCACTTTTTGCTGTAAAATAAATAAATTTGTTTCAAAATTATTAAAAAAAGTTATTAATTTACAAATTTTATCAGAAATAATTCATAAAACATACTAATTTAGTTATCCTTTCTCTTTTTTTTGAGTAATCATTTTGTTTTTCCCAAAATTAATTAATTTTTAAATTATGATTTTCATAATTTAATTAATATTCAGGTTAAATTTTAGCTTTTATTTTATTTATTTTTGATATAACTTAAGCAAATATTAACAAAATAGGAATTTATATAAACAGAATATATAAGAAACCTAATATATAAATACTTCTATTGACTTTTAAAATTTTAAATAAAAATAAATACAAAATAAAAAATTAAATTTATTAGTTTTTTGAAATAAAAATGATAATTCTTGGATATTGGACTCATAGAGGATTTGCATAACCTATTCGCTTATTGCTAGAGTATTTAGAAGTAGGATACCAAGAGAAACTTTATGCTGAAGGCGGAGATGAATGGTATAACAAAGATAAAAGAGAACTGAAAAGTAATTTTCCTAATCTTCCATATTTGCTAGATGGGGATAATGTTATAACAGAATCTAAGGTTATACCTATCTATTTAATAAAAAAATTCAAAAGATTTGATCTTCTTGGATAGAATGAAGATGGCTCTTTTAATTTAGATGAAATCACTGTATTATAGTTGATAGAAGTAGCTAAAGATTTAATTGACTAGCTTAATACTTAGGCAAGAGTACCTTCTTTTAAAGAAGAAAAAATGAAAATTTTTAATGAGAAATTCCAAATTACTTTTGAGGTATTAAATTTAATAATCAACGTAAATAGTTTAAACTAATATTTTAAATATAAGAAATTCAAAAAATAGCTTGATGGACGAGATTTCTTGGTTGGAAAGTTTACATATGCTGATTTATATTTTTACAACATCTTAAAGTATTTCCACTTTTTCTACCCTGAGATATCTATATTTACCGAATATATTCAAAGAATCGAAAATATTCCTCAAATAAAAAAATACCTTCAAACCAAAGATAACTAAGTCTACCTTTTAGAAAGATTGAAAAAGTTATTTTATTACTGAGTTTCTTAGAAGCTTGCATTAAATTAATTATTAAAAATAATACTTATGTATAAAAAAATTTTATTTTTTTTTTTATAATTTGTGGAGATTAAATTTAAGTAAACATTAAAATTAAATTTATGATTTATTTTTTTAAAAATAAATAAATTGAAATATTCATAGCCTATAATTTTAATATTTATTATTCAATAAATATATTCGAAATACTTTAAATTTTAAATAAATAACTTTTAATAAAAATTTTGGCTTTTAAACCAATTATCCATAACATATAATTTTAGCATTTATTATTCAATAAATAGTTTATTTGTTGGAAATATTTTAAATTTTAAATAAATAATTTGAATATAATTTTTTAACTTTTTAACCTATTATTCTAGCATTTATTATTCAATAAATAGTTTATTTATTGGAAATATTTTTTATTTAAAATAAATAACTTGAATATAATTTTTTAACTTTTTAACCTATTATTATTCATAACATATAATTTTAGCATTTATAATTCAATAAATAGTGTATTTATTGGAAATATATTAAATTTTATGATTAGATTAATAATACTTTACAATTTTAAAAATAATAATTAACAATTAAGCACAACTGTAACTTTAAATATTAACACATTTTAAGAAAGACTCTTTCTACTCAGTATTTAAAATTGAATGAATTTAATAAAAAGTTATAAATGCTAAATTAATGAATCGACTATTTAAATTCTTCTTTGTTTACAAATTTCTATTCGTTATGTAGATTTATAAGGTTAACTTAATTTATAAATGAATGAAAAAATTTAATATTAGTAATTGAATTTATAAGTAGGCTTTTGTTCATTTGATTAATTAATAATAATTGAAAAAATATCATAGTTGTTTGTTTATCAAGAAATAAATTCCTCAAAAATTAGTTAAAATGTTAAAGTTTAACAAAATTTTCGTCTTTGTTTTAACCCTTTTTGCGGTTTAATGCGTCTAATATGATAAAGCTGAGTCACTGAATTATTTGTTCTATTAGAAGGCTTCATATTGTCCTAGAAATAATATCACTAATTGGGAGTGTGGTAACATTTGCAAATTTCACTCCAGTATGAAAGATATACTTGTATATTACAACGATACACATGCTGCACAAGGTTACTTAGGATTTGACAGAGGGTAAATTGTAATAACTTTTAGAGGTTCAACAAGAACATTGACAAATTGGATTTATAATTTCGACGTGAAAAAAACACCTTACTAAAAATGCTAAAACTGTTCTGTTCACTCAGGATTTTTAAAAACTTACATTGATATCAAGAAATAGCTTCTCTAAAATTTAGATAATTTGATTTCTAAATACCCTGCAGCACCCATTATTATTTCTGGTCATTCTCTTGGGGCGGCTGTAGCAACAATAGCAGCTATTGATATATATCATTTTTTGAGTGAAAATTCTTACTAAAATATCATCAAAGAAGTACACACATTTGGATCTCCTAGAGTAGGAAATGAAGCTTTTGCTGAATATTATAACAAGTTAATACCACAAACTGTAAGAGTAGTGAACAATTAAGATATAGTTCCTCATCTTCCTCCTAACAAGATTGGATATTATCATGTAGGAACAGAAATATGGCTTGATAAAGAATTTAATCAGTAGAAAGACTGTTAACCCTTTATTGAAGATGATAACTGCTCAAAATCAGTAAAGTCAATTGTTTCATATAGCTTTTTTGATCATGTGAACTACTTAGGAAACGATACAGGCTGTAAAGCTCCTTTTAGCTAAGTTATCTGCTATTTAGAATCAGGTATAGAGGAAGGTTGTGTTGATCAAGACTTAGAAGAAGTGATTTTAAAAGCTAGAAATAATAAAATGAGATTATTGTTTTTAACAGAAGAATTTTTATAAAACTGATTTGTTTCTATTTGTAATTTTATAAAGAATTTTCAAGTCATAAAAATAATAAAATATTTTTAGAAAACTTTTTATTCCTTGCTTTTATTTTTTATAGATAAAGTTTCAAAGACAAACAATTATTTATAATAACAAATCAGAAAAATTTTTAATTACAGAATCAAAAATTAAAAATTTTCTTTTTTTCTGATTGGTAGAGGAGAAGTTTTTGATCGGTAAAGTTAAGTGGTCGAATTATTGCAGAATGAGCTTTCAATAAATCAAATACAAATTTTAATTTGTTTTAAAATAGAAAAATTAAATAAATAATTAAAACTCAAAAAAATATTTTTAAATTAGAAAGCAATTTTAACTATTAATTTTCAATAATTCAGAAATTAATTTAAGCTTTTAATAATAATAAAATTATATTTTTATAATAAATTTTCTAAATAAAAGGAGTAAGTAAAATAGAGTAATAAATAATCAAGATGTAAATTAATTATCATGCAGGTAAGTTATTTATTTTTATTACTATCAAAATAAAAAATGTTCTTAAATATTTCTTTAATGATTTTATAATGATACATATTAAGATTATAAACTAAATAATATAAAAATTAAAAAGAAATAATTTGTATTTAATAAGTTTTTTTGCTGGCTAATTTTTTAAATGTAATTTAAATGAATATAAAAAGTAATTTATAAATTTATTTAATGACTTAATTCTCCTTAAGACAAAAACTTTTAAGATTCCTCTGCTCAATTAAATTACATAACAAAATTTTTAAAGTAAGATTTTATGTAAATAACTCTACATTAACTATAAAAATTAAATGAATCTATTAAATTTGAGTTAAATATCTTGATATTTTTATTAATTTAACTAAAAAATATAAAACTAGAACTAAGTAAGTTAGAAAGTAATTCATCAACTATTTTTAGTCACATATTTTGTAATTGGAAATTAGCAACAAATAATATGATTTTTTTAAGTATATCACTATTATTAAAATTCATTTACATAAATTATTTAATTCATTCATTTAATAAAATTATTTTAATAATATTAATATTTCAATTATTTAGCTTTTGATACATTAAACATATTAAGCATGCTAATTAATAAAGTTAACTAATATTAAAAATAAGTTTTTACAAAAATTGAATCGAGAAATATCACTTCCTAAATCAAATAATATAAATCCTCACTAATTAAGACCTATTTATTGAAGAATATTTTTTTGATATTAAGAATTATTTAGCTACTCAACCTACAACCACTGGAGAGCCATATAAACAAAAACGAAGGAAGTAGGGTCTTTAGATTTTTTACAACTAAAAAATATTTTTTTCAATGTTAGAAAATTCATTTATGATAACGATTAAATTGGCATTAAACTAATTTATTAATTTATTATATCACTTAATAAAAAGTTTTATATAGAATAAATATTACTGAAGGTTTTTAACAAACGCAAAATATTATAAAAGAAATAATTTAACAATAAATAATATAGAAAGAATTATTATATTAGAAAGATCAGGATAAGATTTTTAGTAAGAAGTTGATTTTATTATTATTTTTAGTGTAAATATCTTTAAAGTCTTCTTTGATCAATAAAGTGTGTCTTATGTTAAAAATGAACATTTGAAAGTATTTGCAGAGCTTGATTGTGAAAAACTTTATTCATTTTCCTCTTTTGGGCATTTGGATTAAATAAATTACATGAATTTTTTGTATTCAATATTTTCTTGATATTTAAAGAAATTGATATAAGTTGACTCATAAAGCATTATAATTTCTAAGAGGATTTTCTTATTTGACTAGTTAAGAGTATTGTTTTAGTTAAAATCTAATAGCATTTATGAAGCTTTATTAATTGATTCTTTCATTTAAGTTAAAATCAATCTGAATTTACATTCAATTATTTTTATTTCACATTCACTCAAAAATTCATTTTCTCTTAACTTCTACAATATTTTACATGGCTCTAAATTAGCGTAGTGCTCAGGGATTTTTTAGTTTTTATTTATAATATTAGTATATATATTTTGTAGCTTAATCACTAATTATTAAATAGATATTATTATTTGATTTACTGTTTAAGAAGATTATAATTTATCATTTTAAGATAGTTGTATTGTTTTTCTATCATTTCTCATTTATTTATCAGAAATACAGCCCATTTTGTTTGCTTTTTTAAGATTATATTATATTATATTATGTATATCTTATGTATTGTTAAGTTTTTAATTTATATTTAAACAATTTATTATTAGATTAATTATAATTTCCTAAACATAAACAGCAAGGACAGTAATAGTTAAATAAAATTTTAAATAAGTAGTTTGTAAGTCAAATAATTAGTTTTCTAAAATAAAGTGTGATCCTTGAATTTATTTGATTTTGTGGTATTTTATTTTAGCTTACTTTGATATTTAAATAAATACAGTAGAATTTGTCTACATTAGTTAAATTTACATTGGAAACATGTAAGTAAGTCCTTAGGTTTCAGACTCTTTTAAGTAAATCATAATAGTTGGATATAGCTGTACTTTTAGAATTATTCTAGCCAACTTATTAAGAGAGCTTTCGATTTAACTTAATATGGTTTGGGTGGAAAAGAATAAAAATTTACATTTTTTCAGATAATTGATTTTAGAAAAGCTAGTCTTTTTAACGCAGTAGCTATTATTAAATTGTACCAATTTATTTTTTTACTTTTAACAAAAATTTACTGGCTTATTAACATTCTTTACTCTAAAAATTAAATCAGTTTATATCAATCTTTATTGTTGAGTGGCTATTAGAAATGCTTTTTAAAAAAATAACATATGTGTATTTTTTTTAATTTTATTCCAAATACATTTAAAAATATTATTTTAATGCCTTTGAAATTATCATTTCTATTTTTTAGTTTTTATGGAAAATAAATAGGTTTTTGTTTGAAGTTATTTAATCGAAAAAGAATAAAACTAATCGATATAATGTAGATCTTGAATAATAATTTAGCTTAATTTTCATAGTTCACAAAGTATTCTTTTGTTTTTAAAATTATTTATAAAATGTAATTATTGGTTTAATATGCTAATATTTAACTTTTTCTAATAGAAATTCTAATATAATTTATATCTATAAATTACTATCTAAAATGATTATCTTAATATTTATGTATTTTTAGCGTTATACTCCAAAATGAGAAATTTTTTATATTTACATTTTGCAAATAAAAATTTTAAGAAGTTTAAAAAAAGACGAAATATAAAAAATAATTAATATCCCTCTAATACTAATGAATGTGGTTTTAAGATAATAACTTTATTTCCTTACTAGAAACCTATTAAAATCTATTTATTTTGTTTGTGATTAAAGGATAAATCCCTTTTAATAAATTATTTACTTTGTGGATTAGTTAGTCGATAAAAAACTAGAACTAAATGCTTTACCACAAGAATTAATTAAAATGTAAAGCTGATTATAATCTCCATAGTTATTATTTTTACTGAAGACTTATTTTCAAATTAATTAAAATCAATAATTTACAAGATTCTAAATATAGAATGAATTTTTTAAGCAATACATGCAAAACAAAAAATTTAGAAATTAATTTGCCTAATATGAAAGTCAAGTAAGGGTAAAAGAAAATTAGAAATCCAGTAAGAATGAATTAAAGTAATAACAAAAGTAATGTAGATAGTTTCACAAAAGTTTAATTTATATATTTTAATAAGTTAATAATTTTTTTTTTCGGTTAGTTTTATTAAATTTCAAATAAGATTTATAATTTGATATCATAATCAAAGCTTTATACTTGTGGCTTTATAATGCTCAAAAAATTTAACACTAGTAGTATCGTAAAGCATGATTATCTCGAATAATATGAATTTTTTTTATTTAGGGATAATATTATTTTAATTATCATAGAATAAGATAAATGATATTTCATCTATTAGAATTCTCATTTTTTAAAATATTACTCTAAATTTAAATACTATTTATTCAATTTCATCATCACTTAAAAGATTATTTTATTTAATAGCTTTTAAGAATAAGACTGGCTCTAAGCACGCATAATCTGCAGGAATTTAATTATTTTGAATTATCACGGTTGCATAGATATTTTAAATTTTAATAGCGAGCTTTTAGACAGTAGAGATTATTTAATTTATTCTTTTAGACTTTGTTAAAAGTTCATTTTAGATCTAACCCTTTAATTCGCAGGTACTTTTGTGTTATTTAGCAGAAGTGCACCCCATTTTACTTTATCAAATTAGTTTATTTAATTATTTTTATTACTAGGTTTGTTTGTTTGTTTTATTTTAAAAGTTATTAAATAATTAAGTAATTTGTTTGAACTTTTAAATTAATAATTATATTATTCAGTAATTGTTAAAAGATTTAATTAGTTAGTAAATTTAATTAATTTTACTGATCTATTCAAAAGAAACTATTTAAATCAATTACACTTTCTATTTATTAATTATACTTTTTTATTTGTTTGAAAATAGTTTAACAAAATAATTTTGAATTGTCAGAAATATTTATAGTAATGAGATAAACATTAATTTTAATATGTTTTTACTAAGTAACTTTATTTTATGTTGAATTTTAAATGTATTACTCTTCTTTTCATACTTTCTATTATCAATTTTATATTATAATTTATTACTGGTTTATAATAATTAATTATTTTATACAGTAACATTTATTATTTTTTGTGATAACCTAAAAAGGTTGCTATTGTAAAAGTAGAATTCACTCAATTCAGTCAATTTTATCAGATTTTAACCAAATATTTTGGCTATTTTTTAAATAAATAAAATAGATAACAGCATTATAAAAATAATTAGCTCATTAGTTAAAATACGTTTTTTCAATAAAAAATTTATGCTTAAGAGCTTTACTAACTTCTTTTAAAAAAGACACCAATGGAACTATTTTTGCTTTTAAAATAATTTAACTTAGAATATATTTTTACTTTGAAATATTTTATTTTGCTTATTTTTTGAATAAAAATAATGCCAATTATTATAACAAAGTAGAACTATAACAAGTATAATATATATTTTTGTAGTTACTTTCTAAAAGAAAATTATAAAAAAGATAAGTAAATAGAGCAGTCGGTATAATTAGAATATCATTTTAATAATTATTAAAATATTAAATTATCTAAAATATTTGCATGAAATTATGTCAAATACCTTAAAAATTTTGTAAAAAACAAAAAGCATTCACAATTAAAAAGTTAATTTATAAAACTAAGTAAGTATATCATGCAAATTAAAAGTATTAATGATTTGATTGAAATACATATTTTTAAAATTTATTCATTTTATTATTTATTTTAAATGGAATGATAAAAAAATAATAAATGCTAACAAAATAAAGTTTTAAAAAATATTTTTCAGATTTTTTTAGGAGATTAAAAAGACACAGACTATTCGAGGTTCATATAAGTAAAGTACTAAAAATTTTTTAATATCCAATATTAATATAAATTTCAAAGAATCAGAATTATTAAAAATATATGGAATTAAGTGTTGATTTTACATCTAACTATATTTGCCACATGATAAATTTTTAAGGATATAATTAATAATGGTAGCAAAAAATATAAATCAAAACTAAAAACATAATTTATAAATAATTAGTGTACTCAAAATAATTTAATAATATAAAATTTATTGTTTTCAATTTAATGTATTATATCATATCTTCCATCATAAAGCGTTTTTATCATACCCTAAGATATACAGAGTAAATGGTTAATTAAAAGTTTGCCTTAAAATTAATTTACAGGGGATTATGAAATAAAATACATAGTATTTATGTAGGTTGTCTAATAATTATATTTTTTTAAGAGTTAAAAAAATAGCTCTAAATTATAAAAATTATTTTTAAGAATTTATCATATAAACAGTTTTTTTTGTCATGCTAAATTTTACTCACAATTAATGCTATTTAATAATTTTATTTATTTTAATTTAACACATTATTTTTCAATTTTAAAAAAGCTTTTAATTTAATTAAATTTGAGAATGTTAATATTTTATATTCCTTTTATAGAGCAATGTAATATAAATATTATAGATTTATGTATGTATAAAAGAATATAAAAATGTTAAGTCAAAATTAATTATTGATATATTCAGAAACGAAAAATATATTAATTATTACTTAATATAATCTTGATATTAGAAAATTATCTAAAAATAAGCATTAAGAAATTTATCAAATTACATTTTGTAAGAATAGTTATTGCTTTTTTACCTTTTTTTATATAATGTTATATTTTTTAAAATGAGCCATTAAAAATATATGCAAAATAATATAGGATAATATCAAAAACAAAGGATAAGAAGAGTTATTCAACAATTCATGTGATTAAAATATTGCTTTCAATATTTCTAATTAATTATCACTTACTTAATATTTTACTATTCAAGATAGTGCTTCCTGATAATTAAATTGTTGTAGAGGTAATTATTTAATTTTGAAAAAGAGTAAAAGAATATAAAAAATTTTTGTCAAAATTTTTTGTTCAGAAATTAATAATACAGAATAAATTTTATTTTTTAGAATTTTTATTTAAAATCATATGTCATTTATCAGCAATAAATGCTACATTAATATATCAGCATATTAAGAAATATTGATTTTAAGTAACAACAGCTTTATTTTTTCCCCCTATTCTTTTCCAAAAGATATCATAAAAATTATCAAATGAGCTATCCAACAACTTTGTGATTCAACTTATTGCATTAAACATTTTTAATTTATTATTAATTATTTAACATTTATAAATCTGAAAACAATTTCTAAAAATTAAATTGTAGTAGAGACAAACATATAAATTTAGAAAAGATATAAAAGAATATAAAAAACTATAGATAATATATTTATCGACTCATTCAGAAATTAATAATACCTATTAATTTTATTTTACAATATAAAAACACGCACATTAAATTAGCAATAAACATTAAAATACAACTTAATAGCACTTTTATTTCTGTAAATAAAATTCAAGTAGACGTTGAAATAAATAAACTAGATTAAAAAGCTTAAAACAGGAACACTGAAGAATAAAGTTATAAATAAATATAAATAAATAAATAAATAGAAAAATAAAGAAAATATATTTAGATAAAAAATGTTCTATAATTAATAAAATAAAGATTTTAGTTATTAACTTTATTCTTTCAAAAGCTAAAATAATGAATTAGTTCCTATTACACTTAAAGGTATTTAATATTAGTGTTAAATTGTAAATAACATTCTAAAGACAAATCTAACTTAAAGATTTATCAATGAGTCTAATTCATACTATTCTGATTCTATCTACTATTTTCCAATTGAATAGGATACATGCTTACAGTCATTTCAAGCTAAATATGATAATAAGATTGTAAACGCTGTTGTAAAGGAAAAAATGGATGCTTTAGATGAATATCAACAAAATAAAAACTCTGGAAATTTGGTTTTGTATGCTGAAAATTAAAAAATCTAAAATGAATAATACTGTAAAATCTAACTTGGTAATCTACAACCAAATCAGCAAGTTGAAATAATAATTACTTTTAGCTCACAAATAAATTGTATGTTAAATAAATATTATGTTGCTAGAATTCCTTTACAATATTGTGAGGATGAAATTTCAGTTAAAACGAGTAAAAATCTTTTGACACTTGATTTATTTTGCACAGGTAGAATTACTTATGCAGAATCTAGAGGACTTTAAACAGAAAAATTGATAATTGATGAAAATATAACAAAATTTAATCTAAAATAAGCTAGTGCTTCAAAGGATATAGATTTCTTTGAGCTGGTTTTCTAATTCGAAGGAATGTTTGAACCATAAATAATTTTTGGAAATACAAGATTATTTAACGAAGAGTAAGTTAAAAAGGAAATTTTAGGTGAAAGACATTCTGTTTTGATTTCATTTATTCCAAATTTTAACAAAGATATTTCATGTGAAATTGATGATTCTATTAAAGCTGCTATTAGTAGCGAAAAAGATATTTTTAGCGACGAATTCTAAGAGACAGTGAATTAAGAATTGGTTGATTATTTAAGCTTATCAAAAAGTGAGTTTATCTTTCTTTTAGATAGGAGTGCATCAATGGAGGGATTACCTATAAAAAGAGCTTGTGAAGCATTAATTCTATTCCTAAAAAGTCTCCCAAACGATAGCTATTTTAATGTACTTAGCTTCGGTAGTGAATTTGAAATGCTTTTCCCTTCATCACGTAAATATAATAATTAAAACTTAGAAATAGCTATTAAAATAATCAGCAATTATACTGCTAATTTACTTGGCACTGAAATTTATAATCCTCTAAGCTGTATTTATACTAAGAAAAGAATTTAGAAGTATAATAGACAAATATTTTTATTGACTGATGGACATGTATCGAACAGAGATGAAGTTTTGAATCTAATAAAAAAAAATAATTAATTTGACAGAGTTCATACTATAGGTTTTGGATCAGACGCAGATAAATATTTAGTAAATAAAAGTGCTTTCTATGGGAAGGGTATTTCCAGAATAGTAGATTTTAAATCCGATTTATCTAGAATTGTACTATAAATGCTTTGCTAAAGTCTAACTCCAATATTTATTGATTTGAAGATTATATACGATACATCTATTATAGAATCAACTTATCCTTGTAGCAATAACCTACCTTTTGTAATTAAAGATGAAATTGTAAATATTCACTTATTTTTCAAACCAGGTGTAGACATTTCAGACTTAAATGATGAATAGAAAAAAATAATAATAGAATATTATGACTCTTGCTAAGATAAAATTATATAAAAGGAGCTAAGTTTAGTAATTTAAGATAGCTTTAATAGCAACTTTGAATTATAAGAAGCTGTTTTTAAAATAGGTAAGCAATTATTTTTGAATGAAAAAATGGTTTAAAGGAAACGAATTGATAATAAACAATTATTTTTAAATGATGAAAGGACTTAAAGTAGACAAATTGATGAATATATATAACAATCAATTGATTACTAGATTTTAACCTAAGAAACTGCCTTAATCTGTGTTGTTGAAACACTAGATGATTAACAAAAAGCAAAATATTAAGATTTGTTTTACGAATAAAATGGTATTCCCCGCATTCCCCCAGCACCACCACTTTTTGCTTAAAATAATTAATTACCTGAACCTATCATATATGTAACTTCTAAAGCTCCTCCTCCACCTCCATTGCCACTCCATTTCATTTAAAATAATATTCCGCTTCCGATTATAACACAACCCTTTTAATAGAAAAATCCTCCAGTAGTTTCGCTCTACTTATCTCCTGATGCCCCAAACTCGCCTCCACTTAGCCTTCCTTTAATTAATAAAACATTACCAGTTTTTTTAAATTAAATTTTACCACCACCACCACCAGCTTTTTTAAATTAGATGTTGCCACCACCTCCACTTGGCTTACTTCTAAATAATTAACAATCGTTGGTAGCTTAATAACCCACTCATCCTTAAATCTTCATAGAAAACTATAAGTTTTAAAATTATATTCCTTAATGCCAAACTAATAGTAATAATTTCGTTTCACAGAATTGCAAAATTTAGTATATTGAAAATTAAGATTAACCTGAGGAATATCCTTGTGAAAAAGAATATAATAATTTTTAAAATATGTAATTAGAGGATTTCTTAAGATTAGCTGATTCATAAGGTGTTTGGAAATTCAATGAAATTTTAATTAACCAATCTCTAGGCTTAGAAAAAAATATTTACGAATAAATGTGTTCATAGTTTTTAACAAATGATGCTCTTATGACTCTACTTATGATTATCATACTCGAAATAAAATTCAGTGATTAAAAACCAAAATGGCTGCTAATTTCAAAAAAAGCAGTAATTTTCATAAAATCCTAAATAAAATAATAATATGATTTGTAAACATTAAAGTAGAGAATAATCTAATAAGTAGTATAATAATGAATTTAATTATTAATCTCATAATGAAATTACATTATCAATTTAATATTTCCCTGTTTATATTTTCCTAAAAATATACTAATTTTTATAAAAAATGAAAACTATAAATATTTAATTTTTAATAAAAACTTTCGAAATGTTTTATTAAATTTTATGATTTAAGAAAAATTATATTAAATATATTTTTTTTAACTGTTTAATTTTATACATTTTAATTAATCTTGATTTAATTTTACAATCATACATTACATAAATTTCTAAAATAGAAAAATATATTTGAATTTTATTTTTCAGTTATAGCATAGAGAAAGATCTTATTCACAAATACCAACTGTTACAGGAGAAGCAGGTATTCCTCTAGCAGTTAAACGGTGTTGCATAAAGACCATTCTGCTAACTAAAGCTCTAGTTTTGTAAGTTTCATTATTAGCAGCGTCAGTGTTCCAAAGTCTTTCAGCAAATGCACTATTCCTTGTCCATATTCTTTAAAATTAAGTATAATCATCATTCATTTCACTCCATAAGCATGTTTCCCCTCCAAGAACTTCACCCTTAATTCCAGGTACTCTAGGATTGAAAGAGTTTAAGACATCCCAGTTGAACATGCTACCAAAACTACCACCATATCTGTTTCCCTCTCCTAAACAATTAATTCATAAAATTTAATTAAAAGATAAAATATATTCTTGATTACCAATATCTAAGTAGGTATTATCATGAAAAGATAAAATTATTTTGTTAGGAAGATCTTTGATTGAAGAGAAATCATGAGTGGATCCCCACCAATGAATAACATCATCAGGACCATATTTCTATTGTTATAAATAAAGATTTTTATTAGCCATAGATTAATTTTTTTACCAAAGTATTTGAATTAGCCCAGAAAATAGCAGGCTTAGTAGCATTAATTGATTTCCAAATATTAACTTAGTTCTTTCTGTAATAATTCTACAAATCAGTATATGTAGAGATATTATTTTACTTCATGAATTCCTTAATTTCAGGGCGCTAATCCCAGCATTTCTCATTAACTTCATCACCACCAAAATGAACAAACTTAGCAGTGTAGAACTATTTGTTCATATCTTCCATAATACCTTTAGCAGCAGTGTAAGTTAAGTTAAGTGTTGGGTCTAACTGTCCATTATATTTATCACATAATAAAGCTATAGTGGAGAATTAAGGAGATCTATATAACCAAATTAAATAAATATTAAAATTATTTAAAAAAAGAAAATAAATTCCTAGTAATTGTTTAAATTATTAAATGCTAATATAAAATAGTAACCTTGCCCATGAAAAAGAGTGTCCTGGAGAATCGACTTCAGGAATAACTTAAATACCCTTGTTGAGAGCTTAGTCTACGATGTATTGAATGTCTTCGAAGCTGTATTGTTTCTTCTTAGAGTAGGCTCCGTATTTAGTGATATTAGGGAATGATTTAAGAGGAAAGGGAAAGGATTCAGTATCAGTGATGTGCCAATGGAGAACATTCAACTTGTTGAATAACATAGAATCAATAGTTTTTAAAATAGTTTCAACTGATAAGAAATGTCTGGCAGAATCAATCATAAGACCTCTGTAGATGTAGTCAGGTTAATCTTGAATAGAAATGGGGATGTTATTCAAATACCAATCTTCAGTGTCTTCGTCTTAAGTGAATAATTGAGAGTAAGTTTCTAAACCACGGAGTAAACCAACATATTTGTTAGCAGTCAATTTCCAATATGTGGTATTATAAATTTATAAATCATAATATTCGTCTTCGAGTGTGTCAGCAGTGGCCAAAGTAGCGTCTTAGATAAAAATATCGAAGACAATATTTTAGGAATGTTGTAATCTACGCATCTTTTCAATGGTTGTTTCATTCTTATACAATTCTCTTTGAATGGCACAAGAGTTTTCGTTAGAATTGAAAATATTCAAAGTGTAGAATCCAATAATTTGATAGACATGGTTGGGTACTTTTCCTGACCCAACAGAAGGTCTGTAAGAGATTCCGCAAGGATCAGTGACAAGTAAGCTCAAATCTCCATAAGTGTAATTCTTAGGTTTAGGCATAACCTTAGCTGAAATAGGGTCAACGCCAGGAGTAATTTGAGCAAGAGCTATTCCAAGAAGGAAAGTTATTAAAAGTATCTTTTACATAGCTACAATCAATAATTATTGTTTTTATTATTTTTTTAATTACCTTATAAAAAAAATCAGTATTTTTAAAAAATACCATTCCTACATAATAAAAAATATCTAGCTTATAGTTATTGTATAGAAGATAAAATATAAAATGTAAGGACTATCTATTTGTATGGAAAATATTTATTATGATAGTAGTAAGCTATTTATAAGAAAACAAACATTAAATATATTATATCATTTTTGCTAAAATTGATATTAATTATCACATTAATTTTAACAATCTTTTAAACTCATATTTGAAATAAATTAAAGAATTAAATACCATAATTTTTTAAAAACTTCTAATTTAAAAAAGTACATACATTTTTAAAAAAATAAAATATGTGACCATCTCTATGCTAAATTAAAAAAGGGATGAACACTTAGTAAAATTAAATTAAGATATGTTTCAGATATTAATAAAATTAATAGCTAAAATTCAATTAATAATAATATTTATATTTTTTTTATCAATTAAAATACAGTTTTTATACTAAAATATTCTTAAAAATATTTCTTAAAATATTTATTTAATTTTTATATTTAGAATCAATTGTAGCAGAGAGAAAGGTTTTATTCACAAATACCAACTGTTACAGGAGAAGCAGGGATTCCTCTAGCAGTTAAACGGTGTTGCATAAAGACCATTCTGCTAACTAAAGCTCTAGTTTTGTAAGTTTCATTATTAGCAGCGTCAGTGTTCCAAAGTCTTTCAGCAAATGCACTATTTCTTGTCCAAAGTCTTTAGAATTAAGTAGAATCATCATTCATTTCACTCCATAAGCATGTTTCGCCACCAAGAATTTCACCCTTAATTCCAGGAACTCTAGGATTGAAAGAGTTTAAGACATCCCAGTTATACATGCTGCCATAACTTCCACCATATCTATTTCCCTCACCTAAAAAATTAATTCATTAAATTTAATTTACAATATAAAATATATATTTGATTACCAACATCCAAATAAGTATTATCATAGAAAGATAAAATTATTTTGTTAGGAAGATCTTTGATTGAAGAAAAATCATGAGTAGATCCCCACCATTGAATAATATCATCAGGACCATATTTCTATATTAATAAAGTATGATATTATAGATATAAATATTTTAAATATATTTACCAAAGTATTTGAATCTGCCCAGAAAATAGCAGGCTTAGTAGCATTAATTGATTTCCAAATGTTAACTTAGTTCTTTCTGTAATAATTCTACAAATCAGTATATGTAGAGATGTTATTTTAATTCATGAATTCCTTAATTTCAGGGCGTTTATTCCAGCATTATTCTTCAACTTCATCACCACCAAAATGAACATACTTAGCAGTGTAGAATTAAGTATTCATATCTTCCATAATACCCTTAACAGCAGTGTAAGTTAAATTTAGTGTTGGGTCTAACTATCCATTATATTAATCACATAATAGACCAATACTAGAGAATTAAGGAGATCTAAAAATTATTAAAATAATTATAAGTAAATAGCTAATATTAAAATTAAATATATGATAATAATTTAAATCTTAAAAATGTTTAAAGTTTAATATTCTTTTTTGAAATAGTTACCTAGCCCATGAAAAAGCGTGTCCTGGAGAATCGACTTCAGGAATAACTTAAATACCCTTGTTGAGAGCTTAGTCTACAATGTATTAAATGTCTTCGAAGCTGTATTGTTTCTTCTTAGAGTAGGCTCCATATTTAGTAATATTAGGGAATGATTTAAGAGGGAAGGGGAAGGATTCAGTATCAGTGATGTGCCAATGGAGAACATTCAACTTGTTGAATAACATAGAATCAATAGTTTTTAAAATAGTTTCAACTGATAAGAAATGTCTGGCTGAATCTATCATAAGACCTCTGTAGATGTAGTCAGGTTAATCTTGAATAGAAATAGGGATGTTATTCAAATACCAATCTTCAGTGTCTTCGTCTTAAGTGAATAATTGAGAGTAAGTTTCTAAACCACGGAGTAAACCAACATATTTGTTAGCAGTCAATTTCCAATATGTGGTATTATAAATTTATAAATCATAATATTCGTCTTCGAGTGTGTCTGCAGTGGCCAAAGCAGCGTCTTAGATAAAAATATCGAAGACTATATTTTAGGAATGTTGTAATCTACGCATCTTTTCAATGGTTGTTTCATTCTTATACAATTCTCTTTACATAGCACAAGAGTTTTCGTTAGAATTGAAAATATTCAAAGTGTAGAATCCAATAATTTGATAGACATGGTTGGGTACTTTTCCTGACCCAACAGAAGGTCTGTAAGAGATTCCGCAAGGATCAGTGACAAGTAAGCTCAAATCTCCATAAGTGTAATTCTTAGGTTTAGGCATAACCTTAGCTGAAATAGGGTCAACGCCAGGAGTAATTTGAGCGAGAGCTATTCCAAGAAGGAAAGTAATTAAAAGTATCTTTTGCATAGCTACAATCAATATATTTAGAATTTTTTATTACTGCTAATTTATTATGTAATTAAATCAGTGTATTTTTAATATATATATTAAAATTATTAAGGGATACCCTACTTATATTTAGTGTTAAATTGGTAAATTATTGAATGCAAAACTAATCTGGATGTATGAAATATTTCTTTTATAATCAATAAAAACTATAAATAAGATATATATGATTGCATATATTTTATTTGCAATAGTAAGAATAAATTTCAGATCATTCATTCTGAAAAATTTACTTATTTAAATGCAAAAATTATGAATTTTCACTATTTTAAAAGTTTAGAATAAGTAAGTAAATTCAAAATCTAAAATTTAAAATGTATTTTTAATTTTTATTAGGTTTTTTTATTATAGAGTAACAAATTAGGAAGTAAATAGTAAAATTTGCTCTGTAATATATTTGTATTTTTGTTTGATTTTATATTAATTTATCAGTTATTCAAAATTATTCTTTTTTATTGATGTAAACTACAAATTTATTTTTTCTATGAAAATAAATACTTGAAACAATAAAATTAAAATTCATATATGATAAATTAAGTATTAAATGTAAACTACTTAACTTTAAATCAGATTAGCTTTTTGATTAAAAGCAAGTTTACTTTACACCTTTAGTTTCTCATGTAATTGGTTTTAGTTAGCAATTTTAAGGATCGTTATAAAAACCTACAATATGTAAGAGTTTTATTATACAAAAAAATAAATTATTTATAATAAAAATAAGTAAAATAAAAATTAGTGCTTTATAAAGTTTAAAAGAATTTTTAATTTTAAATGATAAAACTAAAGTTAATGTATGTAAATATATCTACTTTATTCTAAATTTGATAGAAAAGATAGAATAAAGCAAAATATTACAAAATGATTTAATTATAATAAATTGTATAATCACTCAGCTATTAATTGATTATTATTTGTCATTAAAAATAAATAATTTGCTTATATAGATAAAATCAATAGTATAATCAATTGTATCAAACTTCCAATATATTTATTATATATAAATCAATTTATAATAAATAAATTAAAAACATAATATTTACTTTTAATCTATCATTATGAATAAAATTTACCAAAAAATATTTAACAATAAATTGAATCATTTGAATTTTTAAAAATTACTTTAAAAATAATCAAATTTTGCACTATCAGCAATATTCTTCAAAGTGAAAAAATATAAAAAATTAAGATTTTTTAAAAATAAGCTTGATAAACTTTAATATTTACATTATTTGATAAAATATTATTAATTTCATTTAAATGCAATAAAATAAGTAGTATTAGCAAAAATTCACTATATAAAGCTCAATTAAAATAAAAATATAACATATAATTATGTTTTAAAAATTTGAAAGAAATTTTAGTAATTTTTGAGTAATCACAAATAAAAAAAACATTCATTAAGAAAATGATAATAGGCTCCTTAATGGAAGTAAATTGAAAATATTTAGAAGCTAATAGTATATTTTTTTAATTTGATACCAAAAGTTTCTTACATCTAATTTCTATGCTCATACAAAATTAGTTTTGAGATTTAGGTAAATTTTAATACGATTTGAAATAAATAAATAAATATTTTTCTATTAAAAAGTGGATAACAAATAGGTGATAGTGAATCTACTACAATAGGTCATGCAATAAGTCTTTGCAAAAACTTAACTGAATTATAAATGTCCTTATGGTGAATATGATTTATCTATTTATTGATTTGTTTTTATTTTAATCATTTATTTTAAAAGCAGCAACAAAATATGTGATACAGGTTTGGATGGTTTATCACAGGGTTTAGAAGAATGTGTGAAGATTGAAAGTTTGGCTATAGATTTCAGGTAACTTTTTTAAAGCAATTTATTTATCTTTTTAAAAATATTAAATAAATAGTTTCAATTCTATAAAAGACTAAGGAGCTGGATTTATTACTTCTAGACTTAATTTACATAAACATTTAAAATAGCTCTAAATATCATTTAGGTAAAAATTTATTTATCTTGGACAACTATTTATTTTTTTTTAATTTTATTGTTGTCAATTAGCCATAATCAATTAGCAGATTAATCTATAAAAGAAGTTATAAAAAATTTGGGATAGTGCGTAAATCTAGTAGATTTATCTCTTTCATTTAAGTTGTTTTTATTTTTTATTATTTTTATGTAGAAAGTATTAAAAATATTAACAAAAGCAACAACTAAATTACAGATTTAGGAGCTAAAAATTTTGGAACGATAGCAAATTATAAAAATATAACAGTTCTTTCTTTATATTTAACGTAAATATAAAATAAAAAACCTTATTTTTAAACACTTTTTAAAAATTGTAAAGTGGAAATAAAATTACTAAGAAAGGAGCATATGAGCTAGGTTCGTAATTAGGGCTATGTACTAATTTAAAATAATTAACTCTGGATTTAACGTAATAAACATTTTTGTTAGTTAAAAATATATATTATTATTTTTTTCTACTTATTTTTTATTAAAAACATTTTAACAATATATTTTTAGATTTTAATTTTATAATGAAATATAATCTCGATCATTATCAAAAAAGCTAACTTTTATTTCAATATATTATATAAATTTTAAAGTTTCAAAAGTTATATATACTATAACTATGCTTTTAATGTCTCCTTATTTTTATTCATGATATCCATTCAAATATTGTTAAATGGATGGTCCAAAAAAATTTCTATATTTAAAATAAAAAATTACTTTAATGAATTATATATGGTAAATAAAAATAAAATATAAATAATTTTAAATTTTAAATTAACAATATTTTTATACTTTCTCTTAATGTTTTATTTTTAAAAAAATATAATTTTTGATAGCGGAAATTCAATAGGTAACAAAGGTGCTTGTGGATTAGCAAATGGTTTGACAAATATAAAGTATTTAAAATCTCTTATGCTTTATCTAATGTAATTTAATATTCCTAAGATAATTTCTAGATTTTTACTTAAATAATTTAGGGGTAATAACATAGGGGATGAAGGAAGAAATGCTTTAGGAAACATCTTTAGATAGTTCTAAGATCTTATTTAACTAGTTTTGTTTTTAGGGTAAAAAATATTTGAATAAAAATTAAATTTATAATGAATTTTATAGATTTTATAAAGACAAGACGATGAGATCTAAATTAATGAAAATCAGAAAGCTAACTATACTTACATTATCAATTTAAGTTTGAAACATTAAAATAATTATAAATCTTAATCCAAAATTATTCAAGTTCATATTTTATTAATATTTAAATTTTTAGTTTTATCCAAATTATATGTTAAAATATTGTGGTATAAATGTTTAATGGCAAAGCATCATATTAAAATGTTATTTCAATAAATTTTTTAATTATTTAAGACTAATTTAATAAATAATTTATATTTTAAAAGAACAAAATGCCTATTTATTTTTCTCTTTGCTTTTCTATTTATTTATATAAATTGTATTGATAAAACATTTTTTAAATTTACTTAAATAAATATTGATATTACTAAAAATAAATAATCCTATTATTATGATAAAAAGCTGAGTAAGTAAAAAGCTTTCTATAAAAAAATTTTAGAGATATTTAATTATAAAAATAGTAATTAAAAAATATTTATTATCCTTAAATAAATTTAGTCATTATAAAATATAGACTATTGTGCTTGATTTCATAAATTTGATAGATAGAAAGCTTAACTTAGGTTACAAAGTAATTAGAAAACTAATTAAATTTCTGATCATTTAGAAAATAAGGTTTTTCTATTTTATGTAAGCGCAATTTATATAAATAAAAGAATTAGCATAACTATCTTATATAAATTAAGGTAAGATTAGGATAGTGTATTTATATTTTATTATCAATTAAAAATAAGTAAATTGAACAGATTATTTGATTTCTTAAAGAAAATATATAAAAGAAAATTAAAAGAAATTTATACTTTTATTGGTGTTACCTGTAAAAATATTATTTGATAAATTGTACTTTTTGTTTCTAAATCTATTAAATTTAGAAAATTGTTCTATTTACTCTAATGTAAAATAATGATGTAGACTAATTTATTTCATTTACATTTGTTAAAATTTATATTACATGAGAGTATTCAAGTTCAAGATGTTATAAATATAAGAGCAGCCCTAACATTTTGTGCAACCTAAATGATTGCTGCTGTGGTTAATGAAAACACTTATTAAACAAATGAGTTAATAAGCTATTACACTTGCATACTAAAAACATTTAAATATAAAACTTTTATCAATACTCATCAAAAATAAAAATCTATGCTTATTGAAGATTTATTTTTTATTTAATATGGTACGTGCATATTTTTTTATATATAATAATTTATAAATTATTAAAGAGAATAAGACAAATAAATTAAAGAAAGGAGATACTAATATGCCTTCACTTTTTGAAAAAAAAATTACTTAAATTTTCCATCTTATAAGTATAAAAAAATATTAAATCAATTTTTAAATTAAAACAATTTTTTAGTTATCATAAGTAGTGTTGTTGGAGAAACTATTGACTATGATTTTAGAGTGAAAAGTTTCATCTAAGATTCATAATTGTTTCTTGTGACTTAATTGCCAATCTAAATTCTTAATTAAGATATCTAATGCTAAGTAGTCTTATAATTCCCATCAAATTAGTAATATTTAATTAATCAATTATTTCAATCTCATACTTAGTTTAATTTATCAATAAATACTGTAGATTACCATCTAAAAACAAAAAATATAACCCTGTTTAAGTGGATAATTTAAAATTGAAAAATTTCTTCTTATTTTAAAAATATTTTTTTTAATTAAATATTAATTTTAAAAAGTATTGACTATATAATATCTTATTTTTGTGATTAATGATTTAATATATTTTGAATAATTATTTTGTAACCATAAAAGATAAATCTAAATTTTACAAAAAAATTAATAACTAAAAGCAAATTTAGCTCTTTGAACTTACTTTATTATGTTTAACTCTTTTTTTGAACATCTTTTCAAATAGATTATGATTAAAAAATTTCAATAATTGAATTTAAATTGTTAAATCATATATTGATTAAATTATTTTTAATTAGCAAGTACAATTATTAATTATTTTATAGTTAAAATAGCCATAAACTTTTAAATTTAATTTTACTTTTGATAAAACATTTCTAATTATTTTTTTTACATAATTAAAATATTTTTTTAATAAATAAATAAAAATGTAGGATTGATGTAATCTCTGATTTGATTATTTCAATTGAGAGCTAAACATTATCCTATTAAATAGAAAATAACTAAAAATATAGCATATTAAAAGTATTAGTTCCTTTACATTATGAATAAAATAATCATTTAGTACTACAAATGAAGTCTTAAACTAATAAAAATTTAAAATTCAATGGATTACTATTAAACAAGTAAAAAAAAATTAATTAGTATTATTTAATAACTTATATTTAAATTAAAGGCTTGAATGTCAGTCTTTAGATTATCAAGCATAAATGGTTTACTTATCAACATAGTAAAGAAGCACTAAAATAAAAGATCAAACTAAAAAAGTTTATAGAATCAGAGTAAGGAAATTAAAGGATAACGATAGATCCAATACTTGCAAATTCTGTGATTCCCAGTATTGTAGCGTATATGGATGCACAGTTTGCTATGATGGATATGTGTTGATATATGATTAGTTTAATAATAGATCTTGTGTTTAATGTACTTCGCCTTGTTAAACTTGCTAATATACTCCTTCAACTTGCACTTCTTGTATTTTTGGATAATATTTAACTTAAATTGGTAGTGGTTAATGTGGATTTTGTAAAAGTAATTAGTACATTGACCCAAATAATACCTGCTATAATTGTAATTCAAGTTGTTAAACATGTTCTAATGCAGATATCTGTAAAACATGTGCTCCTACTATGGTTTTCTTAAGTAATTCTTAGCTATGTGGATGCTTAGATAATCAATTTTTGAGCAGTTCAAATACTTGCTAAAGCTGTGATTCTAGTTGTGCAACTTGTTCTAACTCTAGTAGTTGCAATACTTGTGCAAATAATTTGACTCCTCTTAGCTCGAGTTAGCTTTGTGGTTGTAAAATAGGTTTTTTTCTTAATAGTCAAAATAACACATGCTAATAATGTAACAGAACTTGCAGTTCTTGCTCAGATAATACAAGCTGTAACGCTTGTGTTTCAAATTTGATAATTCTTGGACCAAATATGTTATGTGGGTGCCCAAGTAATTAATTTGTAAATGACTAAGCTACTTGCCAAAATTGTGATTTCACTTGCAGTTCATGCTCAAATGCAACATCTTGTGACTCTTGTTCAGGTAATTTAGTTATGTTAGGATCTAGGCAATTATGTGGATGTAAAAACGGGTAATATCTAAACTCTTAAACTATTTAATGTTTATCTTGTGATAAAACTTGTTCAACATGTTCAGATTCAAAAAGCTGCAATACTTGTGCTCCTACCATGACATCAATTGGTCCAAACTAACTATGTGGTTGTAGTAAAAAATAATTCTTAACAAGCAGTGGTACTTGCTAAAATTGTAATTCTACTTGTGCAACTTGTTCTAATTCTAACAGTTGTGATGCTTGTGCTGATAACCTTATTCTACTACCTAATAATCTTTGTGGGTGTAATGTTGGATATTATTTAAATAGTTAAACAAATACATGCTATATATGTAACAATACCTGTTCATAATGTTCTAGTGCTAATAGTTGTGATGCTTGTATTGATGGGCTTATTTCCTTAGGGGCAGGAAATTTGTGTGGTTGTCTAAACAATTAATTTTTGACTGATAAAATAACATGTTAAAATTGCGACTCAAGTTGCTCTACATGTAAAAACGATAAAAGTTGTAGTAGCTGTGCTTCAGGTTTTTTTTTTCTTTTAAGTTCAAATTCATTATGTGGATTGTGTGAGAGCAATTAGTTTGCTAATTAAAATAACACTTGCTAAGATTGTGACTAGACTTGCGCGGCTTGCCTAGAGTCTTCAAGTTGTAAAATTTGTGTTAATAATCTTGTTTAAATTTCTAGTAATTAATTATGTACTTGCAAAGCTGGATTTTATCTCGATTTTCAAAAAATAAAATGTCAGCCATGTGATAAGAGTTGCTCAACATGCTCAAATAATTCAAGTTGCGACACATGTTCTTCTAATTAGATTTCTTTAGGCCCTAATTTATTATGTGGATGCAAAGCAAATTAATTTTTAGACATTGATAATATTTGCTAAAATTGTGATTCAAGCTGTAATACATGCTTAAACTCAAGCAGTTGTAGTTCTTGTATTAATAATTTGATTTAAAAAGGTTAAAATAGTCTTTGTGGTTGTTAAAATAACTAATATTTGGATTTCTTATCAACTACTTGTTTTCCTTGTAATAAAAGTTGTAACACTTGTTTAAATTCTACTAGTTGTTAAACTTGTGCTTCAACTTATAAATCTCAAGGGACTAACTAATTATGTGCTTGCGATTCTAATTAGTTTATCAACAATTAATATGAATGTTAAAATTGTGATTAAAGTTGTTCAACATGCAACGACTCTACAAGCTGTTTAATTTGTGCGATTGGTTTATCCTTCCTTTCAAACTCAAATTCTATTTGTGGTAAATGTGCAAGTAATTAATACCTAAATATATAGACAAATACATGCTTACCTTGCAACACAACTTGTGGTACTTGCTTGAGCGCATAAAGTTGTAGCTCCTGCATTAATAATTTAGTTTCTCTAGGTCCTGGATAACTATGTGACTGTCCCTAAGGCTATTTCCTAAATAAAAACTCAAATACGTGCCAAATTTGCAATAAAAGTTGTAAAGCTTGTTCAGACGCTACTAGTTGCGATATTTGTCCTCCAAACTTGATTTCTTTAGGCAAAGGCTAATTATGTGGTTGTCCAAACGGATAATATTTAGATGAGCAAAATAACTGTAAAAGCTGTGATAAAAGCTGTTCTACATGCTAAAATTCAAATAGCTGTATTACTTGTTCATAAAACTTGCATTTTCTAAAAGACTCTAACTCATTATGTGGAAATTGTCTAATTAATCAATTTATTGATATATCAACAAATACTTGTAAAAATTGTAATATAACTTGTTTGACATGTTAAAATCAAACTAGTTGCTCTACTTGTGTATCAAACTTAGTTTCTTTGGGAAGTAATTAACTATGTGGATGTTTGAGTGGATAATATCTTGATGTATAAGCAAATATATGTAAAAGCTGTGATAAAAGTTGCTCAACATGTTCTAACTCAATTAGCTGTACTACATGTGCTCCTACATAAATATTGTTGGGAAAAAATTAACTCTGTGGTTGTATTGGAAATACTTTTTTAAATAGCAAAAATACTTGTTAATCTTGTGATTTAAGTTGCTTTACTTGTGTAGACTCTACAAGTTGCAATACTTGCCTAAGCGGTTTATCATTTATTTCATATTAAAATAAGCTGTGTGGAAAATGCTAAAGTAATTAATTTATTGATTAAAATACAAATACATGTTTAAATTGTAATTCAACTTGTTCTTCTTGTATGAATGAATATAGCTGCACTAAATGCGTAAACAATTTAATTTTTAATGGAAAAACCAAGCTATGTGAATGTAATAATAATTAATATTTAGATAAAAGTATAACTTGTCAAAATTGTGATAAAAGCTGTGCCACATGCAGTGGAGGTTAAGCCAATAATTGTTAATCTTGTAGTGTTCCTTTATTCTTATAACCTGATCAAACTTGTGGAGATTGCTCAAATAAGAATTATATTATAATAAGTGGTAAATGTTTAATGTGTCCATCAAATTTAGGGTATTTTTTGGATTTAAATTTGAAATGTTAATACTGCTATGGATTAAATGGTTTTACCTACAATCAATATGCAGGTGTGTGTGAAGAAATATGTGGGAAAGGGTATGTAAATGATTAAAATTATAAATAATATCAATATGCAAAATCTAGTATCTAATGCGATGATGGAAACTTATTAGAAGATGATGGTTGCTCAAGTACATGTCAAATAGAAAAGGATTATACTTGCAAGCTTATTCAAGGTAAAATTTTTTGATAAAATTAATTTTCCATATTTTATTTATTTTCTTAAAAATTGATTCCTTATAAAATAATTATTTATTCTTTAGATTTTATTATTTGGAATAATAAAATTAAATAAGTATTTTTAAGATATTAAAATAGAGTTTATTTAAAAAAATTAATGTTTATTTTATTCCTCAAAATATCAGTTTAAAAAAATTATTTTTTAAAATTAGCAAACATTTCTTAGAATAAAATTTCTTAATGTACTTACAATTACATAGGAGCTACTCCTTATTTAGTTATTTAGTAAGATATTACTGAAATAGGAAATTCTTACATGATAAAGGGTTTTATAACATTTGACAGGCAAGTTAAAATTAATGATTATAGTAATTGGCAGATAAAAGTTATTGATAAGTTTAATAACACTTTTACAAACTATACCTACTAAATTGTACCAACTAAAAGCTAACTAAAAAGTATACAAGACTAGTAGTTTTAATTAGTATTTAGAACAGATTAAAATATAACTAATATGTCAATTATACTAATTATACCTTAAGTAAAGGATGTCATAGACTCAAATAAGGCTGTTTTGAATTAACAGTAAGCTTAAAGTTATTTACCAAATATATCAAAATAAAATAAATATGCAGAAAACATTTAAGTTTATACACAATAATTATAATCTCCTGATTCTTTGAAGAGAAGTTAATTATCTGAATCTATAAGTATTGGTATATTTGTTTTAATGATATTACTTTTGGTAACTGGTCAATTATTTTACTTAGTTCATTTTTATGATTTACTATAGTTTGTTTACTATCTAGTATATCTAAATATTGATTATCCTTATCTAGTTTGCTAGATACTTCATACTTTTGGGTTTGCTAACTTTGATACATTCCCTACATTACAAAATTCAAACACTTTAGCTCCTTAGAAATTCAATTTTTATAATGTTGACACTTTTATCTTCTCAAATATAATACCTATTGTTTGTATCTGGTTTTTATCATTTGCTCTATATTTAATTTCTAAGTTAATAATAAAAAATAATACGTCTCCTTCTAATATAATTATGAGGAGAATAAAGACTTACAAAGATAACTTCTTCTTTAATATAATTATAGGATTAGGTCTGGTAACATACTAGATGTTTTTGTTATCTACTCTACTCTAAATGTATAATTATGATCTTAGCAGCTTTTTAAATATTCTAGGTTTTATCTTTTCTTTAGTTGTTGCAGGATTGTGTGGTCTATTTATCATTTGTATTTCATACAAGAATTTATTGCTTGCTAAAAATAGCTCTGGTTTATAAATATTCCTTGATTGGAAGTTAAAGACAAGAAAAGAATTTATATATTTGATCATAATAATAAGAAAAACGATAAATATCTTTGTTATCTTGTATGGTCGCTCAGGGATCTCACAATGTTTGGCACTTCATTTAATCTTAGGCATTGAAACTGTTATATTTTAATAGCAAAAACCATTCAAATAAAATTTTGAAAATAAATTTTAAGTACTAAAAAGAGTTTTGATGCTTTTAATTTTGACATTCATAGCTCTAATAGCATTTTCAATTGAAGACTCAAACTCACTTAAAACTGGATAAAAAACTCTTTCCTTCATAACCTCATTCTTACTGATTGTCTAATTACTAATTCATTTAGTATATTTCATTAGGCAATCTATTATAACTATCATTACTTATTTTAAATAAGTAAAAGCTATAAATTTAAAAGTTGCTAAGACAAAGCCTGAATTATTTTTATGAAAAAAAAATTTTAGCTATATTGTATGAATTTTTTACATTTTTTGATAAGTTTTGAATTAAATAGTAAAATAATTTTATACTTTTAACATAAAATAGTATTTTAACTTCAAATAAGATTCATATTTAAATATAATAAACATAATTACTTATCATATTTTATAATATTAAGTAGGATGAGTAATTTTATTAAAAAATTTGTTGCAAATAAAAAATAATTTCAAAAAATTATCATAAGAGAGATTATTTTTAAAGACATTTTTATTAAAGTAAATCAATAAGATATTTTGTGTAAACTAAAATTTTAAATCATTGAATATTAATAAAAATAAGGTTACTTAATTACAATTATTTAATTCTGGTGATGTCAATTTTAACAAATTCTAACTTACATTAAACTTTTTTTCTTTTATAAGAATTAATTAAAATAAGAAATTCGACTTTTATTTTACACTTAATCTCTCAAAAGTGATGGCTACTAAATTGTAATTATCAGATTATAAATATTGTATCTTTTATGACTTTTTAATATATGAAATACTTTTTTAAAATAAAAAAAAGTACTAATATACAATAATAAGTCAAATCTAAGTTCTTGCAATTTTAATCATAAAAGTATACAAAAATATTTAATCTTTCATTTTTTTAAACTTTAATCTTTATAAGATTTTGTAAAATTTAAGAATTGAAATATCTAAATTTTACAATGAAATTCTAATAATAAATAATTTATAATATTATTTTTGTTTAGTATTTAATAGAAATATTGATTATTTGAATAAATACGTCATATTTATAGCCTTTCAAAGCCTATCACTTCATTTACTTTTTATCCATAAAAAAGAAATTCAAGAATTTTTTAAATTAATTGATTTAAATAACTACTTCTTGAGTTTTTAAGGTTAAATAAATGAGTTTTTTTATATTGTTTAACAAAAGATATAAATTTGGGTACTTTTTAAGTTTTTGATATTGCTATATTAATAAATAAAAAAATAAAAAAAAATAAACTTTTAAATTAATATACCTAGATAAATGACTAAAGAATACCTCTTCAGCATATTATTTGCACTACATTTTATAAGTATTAAAATTTTTATAAAATTTTTATTAAAATCAAGTTTTTATGAATAGTCTCATAATAAAATGCATTTGGAAACATATTAAAATTAGATCTAGAGATGACCAGCTCATATTTGTCAAGCCAAAAATTTTAATTTATTTCTTAATTTCCTAAATTGATGGAAAAGTTTAATGGAGTTTGCACAGCTTCATTTTCCATTCCAAAAAATAAGTAATGATTAAAAATAAATAATTTTATCAATTGAAAATATATTTTTTTTATAAATAGAGTCAAATAAATAAATTTAACTGTATCATAAGATGATGAAAGTTTAGAATACTCTATAAAATAGTTATCTGATAGTGATTATGACTAGATTCAAGTAAAAGTACCTTTAAACATAATAAAAAGTGAATTTATTAAGATTTCATTAAATTTGATGTCAATATAATTGAGTAAAACTGAATTTAATTAAATTAACCTTCAAAGGTATATTTTTTATTTATTGGGATACATATCAATCTTATTTTTTTTTTAATTTAAGTTTTTCTTGCAGTTTGAGTGATTCTTAATTTAATCTAGATTTAAAAAAGAAAATTAATTAATTGGACGATTCTAGCCAATCGTTAATTAATTAAAATAATGAGAAAAGAATTTTAGATTTTAGCTCATATTGTAATAATTGCTTGTAAGGATATTGTTGGTAAGATGGATGCAGATAATGCAAAACAGGATATTATCTAGAAACATATAGTCACAGTGGTCATAATAGCCATGAGAGTAGCGGTTATTATTGTTAGTAGTGTGATTAATCATGTGATAGTTGTTAAGATAATCCAACAAATTGTTTGTCATGTGCTTCAGGTTATACATAATAACCAAATAGCAATTCCTGTATATGTTCTGGTAATAATTATATAGATAATAATGGTAATTGTTAACCTTGTAATAATTTATGTAACGGGTGCTCAAGTTTAAATAACTGCACAGGTTGCTAAAATGACTTAATTTTGAGTGGAGGTATTTGTGGTTGCCAAGATGGTAAATATATCAACTATTTGACTAATACCTGCTCTAATTGTGATAAAACGTGTTAGACATGTTCTAATTCAACTAGTTGTATTATATGTGCTTCTAATTTAATATCTTTAGGAGTAAATTAACTTTGTGGTTGTAAGGCAAACTAATTTTTAAACAACTAAAATACTTGTTAAAACTGTGATTAAAGCTGTACAAGTTGTTCTAACGCAATAAGTTGTACAACATGTGCTCTTAATCTATCATTACTTACAGGTTCAAACTCATTATGTGGAAAATGCTCATCAAATTAGTATATTAATATTACAACAAATACTTGTTAAGCATGCAGTAATAACTGTTCTACTTGTAGTAATGCGAATAGTTGCACTTCTTGTGTAGATGGCTTTTATTTAAGTTCTGGAATTTGTTAAAAATGTGATTCAAGATGTTAAAGCTGCTCTAATTCATCAAGTTGTATTAAATGTGCTAATAATCTCAAACTTCTTGGAAATAATCTATGTGGATGCCCATATAATTAATTTTTAAATAGTTAAAATTAATGCTAAGACTGTGATTCAACCTGTTCGCAGTGTTAAAATGCCACTAGCTGTGAGTTTTGCATAACAGGATTATAAAGTCTAGGAAATAATTAATTATGTGGATGTAATGGTAATTAATATCTTGATCCTATTACAAAGTCTTGCAAATAGTGTGATATAAGTTGTTCATCTTGTACAAATTCAACAAGTTGTGCTACGTGTGCCACAACTTTCAAATCTTTAGGAATAAATAAATTATGTGGATGTGCAAGCAACTAATTTTTAAATAGTTCATATAAATGCTAAGCATGCAACTCTCTTTGTCTAAGTTGTTCAAATGCTACTAGCTGTGATTCTTGTCCTCTTAATCTTAAATTACTTGGTGTTGGCTAACTTTGTGGATGTTAAGATGGAGAATACTTAGATTCTGTGACTAATTCATGCAAATAATGTGATTAAAGTTGTTAATCATGCTTGAATGCGACTAGCTGCATAAAATGTGCTATTACGTAGACACCAATAGGAATAAATTAATTATGTGGATGCAAAAGTAACTAATTTTTAGATAATAATAATCAGTGCTAATAATGTAACTCGAGTTGTGCAACATGTTCAAATTCAACTAGCTGTGATACATGCATCAATGCATCGTTGTAACTTGCAACAGGTAAATACTGTCAATGTCCAACTGGTCAATACTTAGATAGTTCATCAAATTCTTGTAAATCTTGTGATTTAACATGTTCTTCTTGCTCGAACTCAACAAGCTGCGATTCTTGTGTTAATAATACTATGAGTTCACTTGGTAAAAATTCAATTTGTGGATGCAAAAGTAACTAATTTTTAGTTAGTCTATTCAATTGTTAGAACTGTGATATAAGTTGTTCTACTTGTTCAAATTCTACCAGTTGCGATAAATGCAAAAATAATCTAACTTTAATTGGGCAAGGCTTGTTATGTGGATGTAAAGCTGGATATTTCCTAAATACAAATAATTATTAGTGTTAAATTTGTGATAGTAGTTGTAAGCTGTGTTCTAACGCCTCTAGTTGTGATTAATGTACTGATACTATGATTCCTTTAAATACAAGTAACTTATGTGGATGTAAAGCTAATTAATTTTTAGCAAGCAATAATACATGTTAAAATTGTGATTAAACATGCTAAACTTGTTTAAATGGTACTAGCTGTATATTGTGTTATAATGGCTTAATTCCTCTTGACAACTAGTTGTGTGGGTGTTAAATTGGTTAGTATCTTGATTCATCTTTAGCATGCAAGGCTTGTGACAAAAGCTGCAAATCTTGTTCAAACTCTTCTAGCTGCGATACCTGTATTCCTACTATGACATAAGTAAGCCCTTCTTAGCTATGTGGCTGTACTCCTAATTAATTTTTAACATCAAATAACACTTGCTAAAATTGTGATCTAACTTGTGGTTCATGTTCTAATTCTTTAAGCTGCGACTCTTGTATAGATAATCTCTAAAGTTTGGTTATAGGATAATTATGTATTTGTTAAACTGGATATTTTTTCAATTATTCTACTAGAAGGTGCCAATCTTGTGACAGAAGTTGTTTAACTTGCTCAAATTAAATAAGCTGTGATTCATGTGCTCCAAATCTGCTTTCTTTTGGAACAGGTTAGCTATGCGGATGCTAAGGTAGTTACTACTTAGATAACTAAAATAATTGCTAAAAATGTGATTCTAGTTGTTTAACTTGCTAAAATGCTTCAAGTTGTACATCATGTAAATAAGGGTTATCCCTCATATATTAGTTTAATTCTCTCTGTGGAATATGCTAACCTAATTAATTTGTTGATACCTCAAATACCTGCCAGTCTTGTAATTAAGTATGCTCATCCTGCTCTAACGCAAATAGCTGCAGTAGTTGCAAAAATAATTTAAATTTTATTGGGTAAAACTAGTTATGTGCTTGTTTAGATGGTACTTATTTAGATTTAACATCATATAAATGCACTCCTTGCGATAAAAGCTGTCTTACATGTTCAAATGCTACAAGCTGCAACTCTTGTCCTTCAAATTCAAATTTTTCAGTTTATAACAATTTATGTACCTGCAAAACTGGATATTTTATGAACAGTCAATTTTAATGCTAAATTTGTGATTTTAGCTGTTAGGAATGCTCAAACTCCTCAAGTTGTGATACTTGTAAAAATAATTTAACTTAAATAGGATAGGGCTAATTATGTGGGTGTCATATTAGTGGTTATTACTTTGATTCCTCTACCAACAGCTGTTTGAAATGTGATAAAAGCTGTAAAACTTGTTAAGATTCAGCCTCTTGTGATATTTGTGCTCCTACATTTAGCCCGATTGGAACAGGGAAATTGTGTTCATGCTAATAAAATTAATTTTTAAATTCATAAAATTTTTGTTAAAATTGTGATTCTAGCTGTTCAGAATGCCTTGAAGCAAACAGTTGTAAAACATGTTCTGGAAGTTTATCATTTTTGTCAAATACATCAAATTCTTTATGTGGAAAATGTCCAATTAATAATTATGTTGACTCATCAAATATTTGTTAACATTGCGATTAATCTTGTGCCACCTGTTCTAATTCAAATAGCTGTGATTCTTGCATTACTAATTTAGTTTAATTTTCAAAAAATTAATTATGTTCATGCAATTTAGGCTTCTATTTTAATTAATTAACAAATTCATGTCAGGCTTGTGATAAAACATGTGCATCTTGCTAAAATTAAGGAAGCTGCTAATCTTGTGCAACAGGATTAATTTAAATTCCAAATAGTTAATTATGTGGGTGCAGTAGTGGATTCTATCTTGATAATTCAAATAATTGTAAATAGTGTGATAAAAGTTGTGTAACCTGTATAAATGCAACCAGTTGTAGCACATGCACTTAAGGTTTATCTTTTCTTAGTAATATTAATTCTTTATGTGGAAATTGCTAAAGCAACTAATTCGTTGATACTTCAACCAATATCTGCCAAAATTGTGATGCAACTTGTAAATCATGCTTGAATGCTTAGAGTTGCTAATCATGTTCTGGATAGTTACTTTAACTAGGTAAAAATTAATTATGTGGTTGCACCAATGGTTATTTTGATTACTAAACAAATTAATGTAAACCTTGTGATAAGTCTTGCTCAACTTGTATTAACTCATATAGTTGTATTAATTGTGCTCCTACTTTAACTTCACTAGGTTAAAATTTATTATGCGGTTGTGCTTCTAATTAATATTTAGATAACTCTAATACTTGTTAAGCTTGTGATTTGAGTTGTGCTACATGCTCGAACAGTAATAGTTGCATTACATGCAATTAAAATCTAGCATTCTATTCAGATTCAAATAGGTTATGTGGAAAATGTCTATCACACTAATTTGTTGATTAGAAATCAAACACTTGTAAAAATTGTCACTCAAGTTGTTCTTCTTGTACAAATGAATTTAGTTGTTAAAGTTGTATCAATAATTTAATTATATCAAATAAAAGTTAATTATGTGAATGCTAAAAAAATCAATTTTTAGATACTTTTAGTACCTGCTAACCTTGTGATTCGAGTTGTCTAAGCTGTAATGGAAACTAAAATAATAATTGTCTCTCTTGCTAATCTCCTTTGTACTTGCAGCCAGATTCTTCTTGTGGTGATTGCTCATATAAAGGATATGCTATTTTAAATGGTTAATGTTTATAGTGCCCAAATAGCTATGGATATTTTTTAGACCAAAGTAATTCCTGTAAGTATTGCTATGGCTTGTAAGGATTTAAATTAAATAAAACATCTGGGTTTTGTGAAGAGAGTTGTGGTAAAGGTTTTATAAGTTAAGCTAATTTAACATAGTATACTTTTGCTAGGTCAGTTATATAATGCGATGATGGAAATCTTATTAACGGAGATGGATGTTCTTTAAATTGTTAAATAGAACAAGGTTTTAATTGTACTCTAAGTTAAAGTAATTTTTTTTATCAACTAACAATTTAATTTTTAAAAAAATTTCCTTTAATATTTAAAATATTTCTTGATCAATTGACTGAATTAATTTATATAAAAATTAGTTAATAGTGAAAATTATAAATCTAATTGCTAAAAAAGTAACATTGGAGCAATACCTTCTCTTTTGATTTCTTAAGATGTAACCAAGGTAGGAGATACTTACTTGATAAAAGTAATAGTTTAGTTTGATCGCTAAGTTAAAATCTCTGAATATAGCGATTGGCAAATTTAAGTTTATGATTCCCTTAATAATACTTTTAAAAATTATACTTACTAAATTGTTCCTATCAAAAATCAGCTATAAATTTTACAAAATTAATATTTCTAAATAGCAATTAGGACTAACCAGAATATTGCTAATATGAATATTTAATTATTAATACCAAAGCATAATGATGTGCTTGATAAAAATGAAGCGGCTTTAAGTGTAAACTAAGTTTAAGGTCCACTTCCAAATTTGCAATAGTATTAAAATTAAACTAGTGTAATTGAATATATAAATTAAATTTAATCTCCAGATTCATAATAAAAAAGTGAAATTTCTGACTCAATTAGCTTGGGAATATCATTACTAACTATCTTAATGGTTCTTACAGGGTAACTATATTAGTTAGTTCATTTTTTTGATTTGCTACAGCTAATAAATTATTTATTGTTTTTAAATATTGAATATCCTTAACTGGTTTGCTAGATTCTTCATATATTTGGATTTGCAAATTTTAGCAATTTGCCAGCTATTAAAAATATTAATTCAGAAGCTCCAACTAAATTTAATTTTTACAGTGTTGACACTCTTATATTTTCAAACATAATACCTCTAGTTTGTATTTGGTTTCTATCTTTCATTATTTTCTTAATTTCTAAGCTAATTGTTAACAGGAATTAGGGCATATAAAAATTAATAATAATACAATTTATTTTGTATAAAGAAAATTACTTTTTCAATATAATTATAGGTCTAGGTTTAATAACATTTAAATAGTTTTTGATATCAGCCTTGCTTTAATTTTATAATATAGAAAATTAAGATTTTGTTAACATATTGGGTACTATAATAGCATTAATATTTATAGGAATTTGTGGATTTTTTTTAATTATTACTATCTATTAAAATATCCTCCAAAACAAAAGTCATGTAAACTAGATTTTCTTTAGATGGAGATAAAAAACTAATTAAAATATCTTTTACATAATAATATTAATACGTAAAGCAACTACTATACTTATTATTATTTATGGAAGATAAGGCATTTCTTAATGTTTAGCATTGCATATGATAATAGGTATTGAGAGTATATTAATTAAATAGCATCAACCATTTAAGTAGAAAGCTGAATACTAATTTTAATTGCTAAAGAGAATAATTACTATATTTATATTATCACTAATTGCTCTTATATGCTTTTTAAAAAATGATTAGAATAAAGTAGGGACAAGCTCTAGTAGTCTATCTATAATAACTTCGATTGCTCTTATTATTTAATTAATACTTCATTTTATTTACTTTATCTGGCAATTTATAATAACTATTAGATTTAATATGGTTAAATCCAAAATATTTATAAAACAAAAAGTTAATAATGAAATCAATCTTTGAATCAACTACTTAATAATTTAGTGCTATTTTCTTTTATATTTATGTTTGAATATATATTTTTACCTATTTAGTTTTATTTTCAAAAAATAAACATATTTGATTTACTTAATAAATCAAAAAGCTTTTATTTTATTTTATATTTTTAAAAATTTACTTCACTTATATTCACAAAATATTTAAATTAGCTGGTACTTTATGAAAATTAAAAATAAAAAATAAAATTTATATTATTATATACAAAAAACTAGTCTAACTTAAAATATAGAAGTTATATGCAATAAAAACTTAATATTTTAAAAGCAATAAATAATTAAAAAGTTTGGTTATAGAAAGATAATAAAAAAAATAATAATATTGTTAATTTTTAATTTAAAATGTATTTTTTATGATTAAAAATTAAATTTTGAAGTATAGAGCTTGATTTTTTTTATCATACTGCTTATTATCAGATTTTAACTAAGTTTTCTAAATATTTTATCAATTTTCTCATATTTTTTTTATACAACAAAAACTAAGATTAAATAAGAATTTAGGGAATTAAAAATGAAATATTTACAAAGAATAATTAAAGATTTTTAAGTATCTGGTTTAATAAATATTATTTTAGTTATTTATGTGATTGCAAAAATATGATTGCGTATTATTTCTTAGAAAACATGAAAGAATTAGAAATTAATTAGCTTGAAATTAGTGGCTTCTTTTTTTATTGTGGTATTTTTAATAGATAGAAGAAAAAGAAATTATAATAGATATGTGATTTAAGTAACATACATTTATTTTAATTACATTCATATTCTACACAAATATCTCAAAATATTGGTAAATAAAAATTTATTTAATGTTTTCTTTATCAAAACCTTTACATCTTATTTTGAAAATTCAGGTGATTATAATATTAATTTAATATCTGATTTACTGGTGAAAATAAATAATCCACTTATTATGATAGATAATAAATATTGAGAGAAAGGTAATCTAAATTTTATTTTTTAGATTTGCTACAAATAAAATTGAAAATATTTTATTTTATATAAATTTTTTATATCTATAATGGATCAGTGGCAAACATTAACAAAAGAACTTTATAATTTTTGATAAGAAAATAATTTATAATAATTTATTTAAAATATTGATTGTGAATTTGATCATAAAGTTGTCTCATAGTGAACTTTTTAGATTACAAAATTTAATTTTAATAGATGTAAGTTATAATTAATAAACATGATTGAGATAGGACTCTCATTTAAAGCGTGAAAGTTAATCAACTTTTTTATTTGTTTTTACTTGATAATTATTATAATTAATTCAATTTTTAAATTAAAAAATAATAGAAGCAACCTCAAAAAAACAAAAAACAATTTGAGAACGATGAAGATTACTAATTTTCTAAAAACTTTAAACACTTTGTATTTTATAAGTATAGTTAACCATTTATAACTCAAATTTACTATTATTTTTCTATTATAAAGCAATCTTCTAAATAGTTGACTGCAAATTAAATTCGTTTGACTTAAAGATTTCTGAAAATCCTTTAGAAAAACACTAATTACTACTATCCGCAACAATAATAAATCAAATAGGTATTGGAGATTTTGAATGTAAAGGAATTTTAGTAATTCCTAATCTTTAGTAAATTTTTTCATTTTTATAAATTTAAAGTAGTTAAATTATTATTATTTTATTTTATAGGATAAATGAATCTGATTTTATGATTTCATTTAATAGCTAAAGTCTAAGTTATAAGGTTGGCTTTAATAAAGATAATAGATTTTTAAAAATCTATTTTTAGCTTTCTTTGAAGTCATATAACTAAGAAGAAATTGTCCTATTAGTACAATCTAAATCCTTTCTAAATTAAAATGAATTTATTCATAGACAGTAAATTTATCTATACTAATCTAAATTTTATATCAAAAAATTTAATATTAATTCTTATTTACTATAAAAAGACTAACTTGTTAATAAGTAGAATTAAACAATCATTCTGCTTTTAATATGGAATCTAATTTATAAAAAAGTCAAATAAATTTCAATAAAAGAATTTTACCTCCGAATGATAACTGCAGTTAGTGTCCACCATCTAAATGTACTAGAGAAACTGGATGTATATCATGCAATAATGGTTAATATTTGATAAAAGTTTCTGACCTAAATTATTGTTATTAATGCAATTCCAGTTGCTCTACCTGCTAAAACTCAACAAGTTGCTTGACTTGCGCAAATAATTTAGTATCTTTAGGAACGGGGAAATTATGTGGTTGCTAATAAAATTAGTTTTTGAATGCTTAAAATAATTGTTAAAATTGCGATTCCAGCTGTGCAACATGCACAAACGCTTTAAGCTGTTTAACTTGTATTAATAATTTAAAATTAATCGGAGCTGGAAAATTATGTGCCTGTTAAAGTAGCTAGTTTTTGAATAGCTCAACACAAACATGCTAAAATTGTGATATAAGCTGTACCACCTGCTCAAATTCAACAAGTTGTAATAGCTGTGTTAACAATTTAATTTAATTAAAATCAGGTTTATGTGGATGTGGAATTGGATAATATTTTAATAATACTTCAAACAAATGCTTTGCTTGTGATCCAAGTTGCTAAACATGTTTAAATGGCAATTCTTGTAGTAGTTGTCCAACAGGTCTAGTGTAGATATCATAAAACTCTCTTTGTTCATGTCCAATTGGTTAATTTTTAAACAGCTCATACACTTGCTAGAATTGCAACTCTTCTTGTGCCTCCTGCTCTAATTCAACTAGTTGTAATTCTTGTATAAATAATTTAATTTTAGTTGGTGTTTAATAAATTTGCAGCTGCCCTGCAGGGTATTATTTAGATTCTTAAACTATTAAATGTTTTAAATGTAATTCCACATGTTCAACTTGTTCTGATTCAACTAGTTGTACTACTTGCGCTTCGAATATGACATCTTTAGGATCTGGTATGTTGTGTGCTTGTTAAGCAAATTATTATTTAGATAGCTCTAATATTTGTTAAAAATGCAACTCTACTTGTGCAACTTGCTCAAATCAAATAAGCTGTAATACATGTATTAATAATTTAATCTAGATAAAATCAGGTGATATTTGTGGATGCTAAAGCAACCAATATTTAAATACAACAACAAATACCTGTATTACATGTGATTTCAGTTGTTCATCATGTTAAAATGGAATTTCATGCAGTGCTTGTACAGTAGGTTTTATATAGTTATAATCTAATTCTTTATGCTTATGTCCGGAAGGTTCCTTTTTAAATAATTAAAATAAGTGCTAAAGTTGTGATTCTTCTTGCAAAACTTGTTCTAATTCAACCAGCTGCAATTTATGTGCAAACAATCTAATTTAAATTTAAGCAGGTTAGTTATGTGTTTGCCCAACAGGTTATTTCTTATAAACTCAAACTAACATTTGCTAAATTTGTGATTCGAGCTGTGCAACTTGTGCTAATTCAACAAGTTGTAATACCTGTGCTTCTAATTAGATTTTGCTAGGGACAGGTTAATTGTGTGGTTGTTTACCTAACTAATTTTTAGACAAATAAAATATTTGCTAAAATTGTGATCTTAGCTGTGCTACTTGCTCAAATTCAACAAGCTGCTTAACTTGTCAAGTTGGACTCTCTCTAATTTCAGGTTCTAATTCTTTGTGTGGAAATTGCAGAACAGATTAATTTCTTAATAATTCAAATAATAGTTGTTAAAACTGTGATCCTAGTTGCTCAACGTGCTCAAATTCTAGCAGTTGCATAACATGTGTAGGTTCATTATAACCTTAAGGAATAAGCTAGTTATGTGGATGTCCAAGCGGTTAATACTTTAACTCTTAAACTGCTTCATGCTAAGTTTGTGATTCAAGTTGCACAACATGCTAAAATGCAACAACATGTACAAGTTGTTAATCTAGCTTACAATTTTTAATAGGTTCTAACAAATCTTTATGTGGAACATGTCAATCAAATTAATTTATTGATATTCCTACTAATTCTTGTTCAAACTGTGATTTAAGCTGCTTAACATGTTTAGATTCTCAGAGCTGTAATACATGCTAAAATGGTTTAATTTCTTTAGGATCTACATAAAAATGTGGATGTCCACCAAATTAATACTTAAATAATTCAAATGTTACTTGTTAAGACTGTGATATTAGTTGTTTGACATGCTCAGATGCAGGAAGTTGTAGTAGTTGCCCTCCGAACAAGTATTTATTAAATGGTCCTAATTCTCTATGCGGAGATTGTAGATCTAACTAATATATTGATCTGACTACAAATTCATGTGTAAATTGTGATTTAAGTTGTTCAACTTGTTAAGATTCTTCAAGTTGCTCAAAATGTATTAATAATTTAATACCTGATACAAATAGTAAGTTATGTATTTGTCAATCTGGCTATTTTCTAAATCCCCTAACAAACTTGTGTGAATCCTGTGATTAAACATGTTCTACTTGTTCCAATATTTCAAGTTGTGCAACTTGTAAATTAACCTTAATATCTCTTGGATCAAACTTACTTTGTGGATGTGCTAATGGATTTTATTTAGATACCACTTAAATGAATTGCTAACCTTGTGATATAAGTTGCTCTACATGCAGTGATAGTTCAAGTTGTATTACTTGTGCGTAAGGTTTTATAAAGAATAATTCAAAACCTTTATGTTTATGCCCAATAGGTTAATTTTTAAATGCATAAAATACTTGTCAAAGCTGTGACCCTACTTGCAGTAGTTGTTCTGATGCAAATAGTTGCAGCTCTTGCATTAATAATTTAACTCTATCTTTATCAACTAATTTATGCTAGTGTCCTAGCAATTATTTTTTAGATAATAACTATATTTGTTAAAAATGTGATTAAAGTTGCTTAAGCTGTTCAAATGCTACAAGTTGCAACAAATGTTAAATTAATTTTTCATTTCTCTCTAGTTCTAATTCTATCTGTGGTGTATGTGCTAATAATTAATTTATAAATGCTTAATCAAACACTTGTGAATCTTGTAATCCTTCTTGTGCTACTTGCACGGACTCTACTACCTGTAACTCCTGCATTAATAATTTAATTCCTTTAGGTCAGTTATGTGGATGCTCTGATGGATATTATCTTGACCCTGTTAATTACAAATGTATATAGTGTGATAGTACTTGCAGCACTTGCTAAAATGGAATATCGTGCTTAGTTTGTAAAAATAATTTAATATCTCTTGGAAACAATTAACTGTGTTCATGCTAGGTAGGTCAATATTTAGATATATCAGGTTTTTGCATAAATTGTGATTCCTCTTGTTCTAGCTGCTTAAATTCTTCAAGTTGCAGTACTTGTTAATAAGGTTTGTCTTTCTTATAGCTTACAGATTCTTTGTGTGGAGCATGTTCAAGCAGTTAATATGTTGATTAATATACAAATACTTGTAGAAATTGTAATTCATCTTGTAGTAGCTGTTCTGATTCTTAAAGCTGCAAAACATGTGTAAATAACTTAATTTAGGTAAATAATTCGTTGTGCGGGTGTGGAAATAAACAGTATCTTGATTTAAGTTCTAACTCTTGTTAACCTTGTAATGTAACATGCTCTAGTTGCTCTAGCTAGATTAGTTGCATTAGTTGTGCCTAAGGTTTCATCTCTTTAGGCTAAAATTAGCTATGTGGATGTCCTAAAGGCTAATATTTAGATAGTTCTAACATTTGTTAGCCTTGTGATCAATCTTGTGAAACCTGCTCTAACTCTTCTAGTTGTACTACTTGTTCTACAGGCTTGCATTTCATTACTGGAGGTAGTTCATTGTGTGGGCTTTGCTAACCTAACTAATATTTTAATTAGGTGACAAATGTATGCTAAAATTGTAATATTAGCTGTAAAACTTGTTCTGATTCAAATTCTTGCATTAGCTGTGCTAATAATTTAGTTTTAAATACTCAAAACTAGCTTTGCTAATGCAAAAATAATTATTATCTAGATAATTTAAATAATTGTCAGGCTTGTGATTAGAGTTGTGATACTTGTAATGGAGGTCTTAGTAACCAATGTCTATCATGTAAGTTACCTTATTTATTGTAACCAGATAATACTTGTGGAAATTGCACTTTAAATAATTATGCTATAGTAAATGGAAAATGCTAATAATGTCCATAAAACTTAGGGTATTTTATGAACCTAAACAGCCAATGCTAGTATTGCTATGGTCTTTAAGGTTTTTAGTTTAATTCTACAAGTGGAATTTGCTAAGAAATATGCGGCAAAGGCTATGTAAACTAATAAAATTACACTATGTACTAATTTGCAAAGTCAAATATATAATGTGATGATGGAAATCTAATAGATGGAGATGGTTGTTCAAGTAATTGCACAATAGAGAACGGATATACTTGTCAGAAAGTCAATGGTAATCTTAAAAAATAATATTTTTAAATTTTTTATTCATAAACAAAAGTAAAAAATTAATTTCTAATTAAAGATTTTTTGAAACATAACAAAAATATTACCATATTTCCTTGATTTTCACAAATTATCAATATATTTTACCTATTTAATAAAAAAATGGGAATATCATTAATTTTTTAGAAAATATCATTAAAAATTAATGATGAAAATCAAGGAACTACAGTATTCAATAACTTTTTTCTTTTCCAATTTATTTATAAATTAAAAATATTAAGTATTTATTTTTCTTAAAATATTCTAGCAGTAAACTCTACTAATTATGTGTCATAATGTTAAAAATCTTACTTAGGCGCAGTACCGCTTTTATCAATTTCTCAAGACATTACTTAGATAGATGGCTATTACTTGATTAAAGGATTAATTTATTTTGATCGCTAAGTTAGAATTATGAATTATACTAATTGGTAGATAAATATCATAGATTTATAGAATAATACATTTTCAAATTATAGCTATATCATAGTACCTGTTAAAAACTAATTAGGGATTTTGTAAAATCAACAATTTTAGTTAATTATAAAATCAAATATAAATATAACAAATATGCATGTTTAACTTAACATTCCTTAATATTAAGATGTGCTTGATTCTAACAGCGCTGTTTTAAGTTAAACATAAGCCTAATCTTAGCTTCCAAACATAACTCAATACATAAATTAACCAAATTCATAAGATTTTGCTTAGCAAATATAGTACCCAGAAACTTAGTAGCCAAGTAGTTTATCTAGTTCAATCAGCTTAGCTCTTTTTATATTTATGATTCTTTTGTTAGTAGTTGGCAAACTCTACTACTTAGTCCACTTTTATGATATTCTCTAATTTATCTATTATTTGATATACCTGAATGTCTCATATCCTTATGTTGTTTGCTAGATTCTTCATATCTTTAGTTTTTCAAGTTTCTAATAAATACCTAATATTTCAAATCCTAACACTGTTGCTCCTTTTAAATTTTAGCTTTATCAAGTTGATACACTTATATTTTCTAACATAATTTAGCTAGTTTGTATATGGTCTTTTTCTTATGTTATTTTCTTAATATCAAAAGTTGCTAACAAATTCAAAATGTCTCGTTCTAATTTTTTAGTTAATTAACTTCAGATTTACTATGAAAATTATTTTTTAAATATTGTGATTGGTCTAGGATTAATAACATACTAAGAGTTTTTGATAGCAGCTTTACTCCAGTTCTTTAATTTTGAAAATGAGAATTTCGTAAACATACTAGGAGGATCTTTAGCATTAGCATTTATAGGACTTTGTTTAGTTTTAGCAATTTCTTCTATTTACAAAAATTCTCTTTAAAGAAAATTTAATTAGGAATAACTTTTCTTAAATTGGAAGCTTAGAAACAATAATTACCTTTACGTCGTAATCCTGATAAGAAAAACTCTAAATATTTTAGTTATAGTCTATGGAAAATAAGCAATATCTTAGATTCTCACACTTCACATGATAATAGGTATTGAAACTCTTATTGTAAATCATCAAAAGCCATTTAAAGAAATCATTGAATACAAGTTTTAGTTTGTAAAGAGGACTATGATGCTTTTAATTTTAAGCTTTATTGCTTGTTTATGTTTTATTTAAGATGATTAAGATAATCTTAACCTTGCAAATACAGCTATTTCAGTTATAATAGCAGTTCTGTTAATTATCTAGTTAGGAATGCATCTTATTTATTTTATTAGATAAATAGTAATTACTTTAGTAACATACATAAAAAACCAGAATATAAAGAATCAAAATTAAATTGTTAAAGCTAAAAATGAGCTTTTACTTTGAAAAATGAACAAAAATATAAAATATGTTTATGTAGAATTAAAGTAATAAGTCTATAAGTATGCTAATTATGTAATAATAATTTTAAATATATATTATTAATTTGTCTTTTCGCATTTCTATTTGAGAAGAATATTTTTTTAAAATAGTCATTGAATTTTTCAAACATTCGATTTATCTAAAATTAAACAATTAATTGAAACAAATATTTTTTAATAATCTATATTTTTATTTTTGTTTAAAAAGGATTTAAACTTATTCTTGGAGAAAAAATAATTTTAATTTTTTTATCAATATTTAAAATCTTTGTAAATAATAATAAAAATAATTTTTAATTTTTACTCAATAAATTTAGTAAATTTTTGGATTTTTGTTCACTTATTATCTTTGCATATAATTATGTTTTCAAACTTTTGTCTTATGATTTATAAAAGAAAATCAAAATTTTCTAATCAATAAATTATAAATTACAGAAACTATGAAATTAAATACTTAAGTTGAAAATATAAAGTATAATAAAGAGGACAAAGAGGTCTTTGAATATTTTTTATAGTATTTAGTATGCTCATTTTACATATGATTTTGTATTTAAATCAAATAATATTGATTAATAATTCTGATAGGATAATTAGTTATTTCATTTTAACTCATCACTAGAGGTGAAGAAATGGTTAAATTTAGAAGATTTCGAATATTAGAATTGAAAAATTTTTTATAAATATGTAAAAATTAAAAAATATTTTTCACATTCTATTTTTTTAAAGAATTGAAAAATCTAATTTTGATTATAAAAATTGTAATAAGCATCGGATATTAATTAGTATTATAAAGTATATTGCCCTCATCTCTACTAACTACATAAACATCACAAAATTAAAGTACACCGCTATTTTTAAAGAGTATCTTAATTAATAATAATTCTAAAATAGAAATAAAAAAATTACACACAACATTTTTAAAATGTTTTTGGATACATTTTAAAAATATAGATAAAAAATATTTTTATTTATAATATTTTGTCTTATTAACAATTTTAGATTAATAAAATCATTATTATAAAGTAAAACATTTAATTGATGTAATATTTTAATTATTTCTAGAATTAGATTTAAATTCTTAGGATTAAATTTTGTTTGGAATATTATCATCAAATTATATAGTTTCTCTTAAAGATTTTTACTTTTTAAATAAATTATTTTTAAATAAAGATTGAGATAGTAGGAATCCTTTGTTATTAAATCTTTTTTTTCTTAGAGGACTCAATATTTTTGAGTTCTATTAATTTTCTGTTTTTATTTCCTCTAATTAGTTTTATTTTTCTTTCCTTTCTGGTAGTACTTAAATATCAAATTATCTTAAAAGATATCCATTGTAATCATATATCTTTATTCTCTGTTAACCTATATTTTCCTCTTTTGGGATACCTTTTATTTTCATGGATTATTTTTAAAAATCGATTTTAATCCATTCAGGTAACTTTTAATAATCAGAAAGTCCTTTTTCTACATCGTTGAGATTTAGAAATTTTTCAGCATGAGTACAGCATGAGCACCCTTTTCTTGTTTCATAACTTTTGATAGAACGAATCTTAAAAGAATTGCAATGGAAACACTCACCCTTAGATATTTCATAAATTTTTTATTTTTTGATTGAAACACCTAATAATTAAGTATATAAATATTGTTCTATTAATGGCATATATGATACTAAACACTCCAAATACTAAATTAAGTTAAATGAATTAACTGTAGTTAAAATATTTTGTGATGTTTAATTTATTGATTATTTATCAATTAAATTTTTTTAATATGTTTCCATTTCTGATGCAAATTGTTGAAAAGCTAATTTAATGGATTCTTCATTTAGTTTACATGTTGGAAATTAGTCTTAATTCTATTAATATTATCCAAAAATAATATATGCTTTATACCAATCTTTTTCACTATAAAATTTAGTAGATTCCATTTTAAGTAAAAGAAGAATTTATTAACATACAGGAATGCATTCTATCAAAAATTCAATCAATAACCCTTACACCATACGTTAAAAGAGAGATTATCCTGTAAGCAGTTTTTCCATTAATTATTTTGTTAATACTCTTTTCTTCATAGGGAGTTTAAGCTCAGATTAAATTATTAGTCCTATTACTCCATTAATATCAATTAGTCCATTTTCTTTTAAAATTTTTATATCCTTTTTGTTTAAATTTTTATTTTAAGTATTAGAATAAGATAAATTTTTTTCTAAGTCAATTAAATTTTTTAATTTCAAAATATTTTTGAATTGTAATTTATCTTATTTCTTTTTTTCCTAATCTTTTTTAGGTTACTCTGTAATATTATAATTTATTTTATTAATTTAAATATTTGTATCATTGTTAACTAGAATAGATTACTAAGTGGGTAAAATTTAACTACTATCCCTCATTTATTTTTAATCAATTGTATAATTTTAAGTTAAAAGTACACTATTTAATTAGTTGTTTTATGATTCTATCTCTTCTTGATTTTTATTTATCATAATTGGATTAATCTAGTTAGAAATTTCTTCAGATAATGGCTTATTGTTCACATCAAGCTAAAATATAAATTCATAATTTTATAAAATCTAATTTCTAAAATAAACATTTTAGAAAACACCATTTATTTACTCTATTATTTGCTGTTTATAATTTTAAATATTCACATTTTTCCATAGCTTTTAACTTAAATAAAGTAAATTGTCTGTGATCATAAAGGTTTTTTCATAGTATTCTGAAACATAAGCTAACTCTTAAGTGTACTTCGTTTATTTTGCAAAAAAAATATTAAAAATTTTCATTCTACGCTTCCAAATGCTTTTTAATCCGATAATTGGTCCTATAATTTAAAGGATTATTTATATTACTAAAAAAAAAGGGACTTTAATTATTTTAATTTTAAACTTAACTTATATAATTGAATATCCATCTGTTGCCTATACTAAAATCACATACTCTGTATTGAATATTTAAGTAGATGGTGTGCCTTTAAAGGAAAGATCTCTAGTAGAAAATTAAAGCCAAAAGTTAGCTGGAATATCTTCAAATTATCCATCAGCTTTTTAAATTTAAGCAGTAAAAATTATATTTTATTCTTTGTCATATTTGAAGACTCTATCATTTATTTAATAGTTAAAAGGGGTAAGAACATATATTTCTCCATTATCATAATACTGATTTAAATCATCTTAAATATTTCTATATAAAGAAATAGGAGCTTCAAGAGAAATAAAATTAACTTAATTCAAAGGAAAAATTTTAAAGTATTCATAATTTATAGAATCATCAATCGTTACAGTTATATAAGCTTGATTTAATAATTGTATATCCTATAGGAATAATTTTATTTTTTATTTAAGTGCTTAATTTAAGCTCAAAACAGAACCTTGAAGTTTTATTGTATCTCCTTGTGAGTTAATGATCTCTATAACTCCTGAGTAATTTTTGGAAACAAACTGGCCGATTGATGTTTGAAGTGTTAATGTTATTAGATTTTAATTTGACTAAATAGGATTTTAGGGATTATCAAAATCAACAATAAGCGAGGGTTAAGTTTCAAATTAAACAACATAATTTACTATATTTTAATTTAAAGTGAATTAAACAAAATTGAGTAGTTACTATAATTTAATTTGTGTCTAACTCCATTTTGAAAAATATCTAGTATATTAATACTCTCTTAGTGTAAACATATTTTTAGGTGAATAAGAAGGTGAAACAAAACCATATTTATCTAAGTAACCTAACTTTGTGCAAATTTATTTTAAAAATAGTGAATCATTATAATCAATAGATAGATTTTAATTTATGAAAGCATCATCTTGTAATTATTGATAGCCTAAAAATATTACTTATTATAATGAATTAAGAGAGTAACTTCCACTTGCGTCTTTAAAAAGAGAATCTTTAGATATTTTCATTGAAAGGACTTGGTTAGAAAATTAAAATTTCATCCAATCAGGTAACTTTTTTGCTATAAAATTTTAGTAGTAAAATGCTTAGCTTATTTTTAGCTCATTTTTATTATTGATATTAATTAGATAGATATCTACCTAATCTCCAACCTGAAGAGGTTAATTATCAAAAGTATTTATTCTTTTATATTAATTAGAGTTTGGAATTTAAATTATTTTGTATATTTGCTGATGGAAAATAAAAGGACTCTAAAGAAATAATTAATAAATGTTTGAATATGTGGATACAAAAGCAAATTATTCATCAGAATAAGTAGCTATGGAACAAGCTATGTCATTATCTAACAATTCTATATTTTAAATTATAGATGGATTTGTCTTATTTTTTAAATTAATTAAGTATATTTAATTTCTTTCAGCAGTTGCTACTAATAAATAGTTATCACTATAAATAAGCTAAGCAGTATTTATGACTCCTTGGATTAGAATGTCAGAAATAAAGGTTAATTAAAAATTAGAATTCAAAAAATAAACCAAGATTCCTTAAAATTCGATGCTGCATATTAAATAATTGTCTAATGTTTAGCTATTATGATAAAATATTAAATAATATAAAAAAAAAGTAAAAATTATTTTTTTTTAAAGTATATAAAAGGCTTACACTAAAGCATTAATATTCTTTTGAGCTAACTTAAAAACAATAGAAGGATTTAAGATATCAGAAATGCTAGCAATCAAAATACCATACTATTTAGGAAACAAAAATAAAAGACTTTCGTCATTAGATAATGTAAACTGCTCCAAGCTAGAATCTCCATTTAAGTAAAATGAAGTATTTATAATTGAAAGAACAGAAGGGTTTTCTCTATTTAAAATATTAATGATTATTAAATTCGATAAATTTGAAATAAATCCAAAAGTTGCTAAGCTATTGAATGCTATATATTTAAATTAGACAGATGAATAACCTAGAGTTAAGCTAGGATTTAATATTTAAGGATTTGAAACATTTTTTAAATCTAAAATTTATATTCCTTGTTATTTCTATAATAAGTAGAATATTGTTGTGCCAGGTATTCTTTCTAAATAGCAAATTAATTTATTCTCAAAATAAGATTAAAGACTTATTACTCCGTTCCCTTAATACAGAAATATTTATATTCCTTAATCTTTTAAAGATGCAAATATAATATCTTCGTTTTCTTAATAAATTAATCTATTTTATTTGATATTAGAATTATTAATTTTTTACAATGAATTACTATTTAAATAGAATTGATTCATGAGTAGATTAGGGATATCAAGATTTAAATTTGGTTTTGCTATTTTAAAAATTTAGGTTTAACTCTTATTTGAGTAAAATAAATATTTTTTGTCATTACTAATCTAAAAATAGCTACAGTATCCATTTATTTAAATTCTTTAAAAAACTGTAAATTGATTCTAACTAACATCAAAGATATAAACACCAACTGAACTTAGTTAAGTAAACAAATAATTCTGATCATCAGAAAGAAAAATCTAGTTGCCATGAGACAAAGCTGGATAATTATTAATTTATTTAATTTTACTTTAATTACAATTACTTCCATCATAACTTTCAATATAATTCTAAATATCTACCATTAAGTATTCTTGGAATTAGATTTGTATGATTAGAATAAATTATTTCATCACTTCAAACGAGCTTAATATATTATTTGGGTAAGGTTAATAAGAGCATAAGTAATGAAATATTCCTTGCTGTATTTCATTAATTGTTTATTTGAAAAAATGAATTGAGCTTTATCCTTAAATAAATAACATATTTTATTATGGTTACAATATTATTTTAGAAATGTTTAAATCATTTAAATGAATTTCACTTGTTATTATAATCTTATCATTAAGCCAAACTGCTGTTTTGAAATTGTTCAAGCAGCTTAAAAATATGAAGCTAAACCCATCAAATTAAGTTACTTTATGCACTACATCTAATTATCCTTAATATGTAATCTGAATATTTACTTTTAAAGGAAACTGTTAATCAGAGATATCATAAATTTCTAACAGTCCTGTTTCATATGCAACCCATAGATATTTTTGATAATCAGTTGTGCCTAAATATTAAACATTCTACTTCTCTGGTTAGTATTCAAAATGCTTCAGAAGAAATATATCATTTTCAAGTGAAGTTATATCATAAATTCCAAATCCACATGATTTTAAATTTAAAGCAATTAATTTTTTTTAGTTAGATTGAAAAACGCTCATTATATCAGTTGATGCATTATTACACAATTAGTTAGGTGATATCGAATTAACAGGAAAAGGTTCAAATATAGGTAGATTTTTATTATGCATATCTAAATCATAAGAATTAACAAAAGCCAATAAAAAGGTTACTTACCATAAAATTATTTATAGATTATAATTCATGATTGCTAAGAACTAATGAAAGAAAAAATAAAACTAATTGTTTTGGCTTGTGTTTATGAAAGTTCTACTTTATTTTTTATGAAGAATTAATTTCCTTTTATTATTTTTAATTAACTTCTTTGATTAATCAATAGAAAATTATTTATTTATTTACTAATTTGCTTTTCTTCATTCTTTAAAATAACACTATTTTTTTAAAATTACCAATTAATAATTCTGCCATTAACCATAAATTATTTTAGATCAATAAATTACAGATTTTTAAGTCAATTTCTTAAATTTTTAGTATATTTATGATAAAAGATAAATTTTTAAATAATTTTTTGCAATTATAGAGAACTTAATGTTAATAAATTAATTAATTGAATTCTCAATTAGAATAATCTTTCAGAATTTATATTTTAAAACATTTTTTAACTCAAATATCTTTCTTTATAAAATGAAAAGAATAAAAAATATTTTTTATAAAGTACATGATTAAATTAATAAATTGATTTAATGTTTTTATTAATAAAGATAATTTTCAATATTATAGCTATTTCTAAAGAAAACCAAAAGAAATATTAGTAAATATAAATGATTAATAAAAAATTATTAAAATCTTTGACTTGTATTTATTTTTACCATTTTCTTTTGCATCTAAATAAATTGTGAGTATTATTTTGAAAATATACTTATGAAAATAGATTAATTAATATATAATAATAATATGAAGTACCTATTCTTTATCTGAGTGTAAATACATAAATTTTTAGGCTTTAAAATAAAAAAATTAATTTTATATTAAAAGCAGCTTTGCTTAACAAAATAAACCTTCATTAATTTTTATTTTATTTCAAAAAAATGGCTAAAATTAAATTATTTATTAAAAATAAGGTCTGTATTGATATATAAAAGTTTTAAAATATATTAATTATCTATTTAAACTTTCATAAAAATGTTAGATATATTAATTTAAATTTACTTATTTTAAAGATAAATTGTTGTTAGAATTATTAGATAGTATTTATTTATTTTAACAAAATTTGTGTATGTTATTTGAATTTGATATGGTTTAAAAGTTCAAATTACTTAATCTATTAAAAAATAAAATAAGAAATAATGACTTGAAGTGTTTTTATTTACAAAAACCTTTTCTATTTATAATAATGTGTTTAGTCATATACAATAAAAATCCTTTTTATCATAGGTTTAAATTGATACATATTATACATTTGTTTATTTTAATGCAACATAGTATTATTAAGAAAGTTTAATCTTGGATATATTTTTTTTCACCATTAATTGTATAAAATAAAAATTTTGTAAGGGAGAACATATTATTGATTAAAATTAATAAATAAATTTCTATTTTCTTTTATTAAAATTTTTATTTACTTAAAAAAGAACAAGTAGAGAAAAATTAAAAAACAGAACTTTTAATGGATAAAAAGCTTACTATATAACAATTTATTTTTTAGTTTAAAAGTTATTAAGCTTATGAGATTGCTCAAACCAATTTTAACTGTAAAAAATATTCATTACAAAAAATAATTTTAATTTAAATCTTTTTTTGTAAGAAAGCATTTTCAGTAAAATCTATGTGATAGAGTAGATTTAATTTTTAAATTTACTAAAAATACTTATTTCTTGAGTAAATGTATTTTGGTTTATTAAAATTTTTATTTACTTAAAAAAGAACAAGTAGAGAAAAATTGAAAAACAGAACTTTTAATCTATAAAAAGCTTACTATATAACAATTTGTTTTTTAGTTTAAAAGTTGCTAAGCTTATGAGATTGCTCAAATCACTTTTGACTATAAAAATTATTCATTACAAAAATAATTTTAATTTAAATCTTTTTTTGTAAGAAAGCATTTTCAGTAAAATTTATGCGATAGAGTATATATTTAATTTTTAAATTTATGTTAAAAATATTTATTTCTTGAGCAAATGTGTTTTGTATAAATTAACCAAGAATAATTTAAAAAGGGAGTTTTTAAAAATAATATTTTGTTTAAAATTGCTTAAGCTAAATTTAATTTTACATGATGGATTGCTGAAAAATAATTAAAATTAATAGTAAAATTAAAAAAAAAAATAATATCCTCGATTATATAATTAAGTTAATTTTCACTTTAATAAACGCAGATATATGAAGTCGAAATACTCTAAATAAGTGGAATTATATAGATTATAGTTTTAATAACTTTATTTTAATTTATCTTTAATAGATTTTAATTTTTGTGTTTCCTTAGTATTTAATATATAATGTTTATATGTATCTTCTTAGCAAATATTTTGATATAAATTTGCAAGTTATTTAATATTAATGTCTCAGTCTAGCTATTATTTTTAGTTAAAATAAATATATAATAGAAAATTTATATATATATCAAATATATTTTCAATTATATCATATTAGTAAATATCTTTAGGAAATATAACTCAAAAATAATATGTAAACTAACTAATCTAATCAATCTATAAACTAATTAATTAATTAGCTAATTTTAGCTAAATTTTTATAGATTATTTTATATTTCAAATGAATCAATATTGAATAAATACTTTTAATTGCTAATTTAAATAAAAATGAAGCTTATATTTTCTCAATAAAAGTATCAACTGTTAAATTCATATACATTTCTGCTTAACTAATTTATATCCGCGCATATTAAAGCTAAATTATGTAAATAAGATATGCTCAAAATTTAATAAAAATCCCAAAAATTAATACCTTTGGCGATCAGAAAATTTCTTACTTTTAATCTAATTATTTGTTGTTTACTCGCTAAAAATAAGGTTTTTATAATTTTGAAGAATATCTAAAATAGCTCTTGCAAATATTTTGAAAAAACAAGTTTTCTATTTTATAACTAAATGCTACTGTAATTAATTTTATTTTGAGAATTCAATTTTTGTTTCTAAATTGAAGACAAAACGTTTTTTTTTGTATGATCGTATTTACAACACTTATGAATTAATTTGCAGGTTATTTAAAAGCTATTTATGAAATGTCTTATGTATTTCTTTTAATAATGCTATGTTGCCTATTCAAAATAAATGATAAAAGATTATCAGCATAACATTGGTTTTTAAAAAATTAACTCTTAACACTTTTTAAGTTGGATATTCACATACTTATTCTTAAATAATATATTATACAAAAAATAGGATTGATATTTTCATTTAAGCTTTATCAGTTACTACTAGTTAATTAAATATATAATTTATGTGCCAAACTGCGTAACAAAATTAAATAATCCCCCTCAAAAATTGAAATCATTAATACGCCAAAATAGTTGTTTGTTTTTTTTGATTTCTTATTAGTACCAATCCTCAAAAAAAAATATATTTGATTATCTCTTAACATTTTTACTTTGTGTCTAAAGTAAGTTGATATTTCTTATTGAATTTTTTCTCTAAATTTGGTAAATAATTCAAAATGCAAAAACAACATTTACTGTATATTTATTTACCCTCCTTCAAAAATTAAGTAGAGTTCATCAAAAATATTTCAGGATAAATAAAATATTCATTTTCTTATATTGATTTATAAAATTTATATAAAAATAAAAGAATTTTTCTCAATTTAGAATATATTTTAAAAAATAAAGATACAAAGGGCTAATTAACTTAAACATCGTCAGCTTTTTATTAATTTGTATAAGATGTTTGAATTTATGATAATTTATGTTAAGCTTCGTTTTTATGGTTAAGATTCAGATCAGTTTTTTTGTGGATTACATCAACTAAATTATAATATTAAAAAGAAATTTAGTAAGATGAAAAGATAGAAAGAAAAAAAAAATATGTATTTAATCTGGGCAATTTGTAAGCTCAAAGATACTTAGATATAATAATTATGATGATGTGTATAAATTTGATTAATTTAATCTAAACTTGATAAATTAATTAGATCAAATAACAAGGTTTTCTTATTTAAAAGACTATTACTTTATTCTGGTTGATTTAAATTTGGGATTTTTGTTTAATCAATTGATATAATATAATTAATTAATTAATTTTTCATCAATTATCAAAATAAATATCATAAATGATATTCTTAATAATCTAAGCATTAGTTATTTCTTTTGTCTTGTATCTCGTAGGCAAATTTATTGTTTTGCCTAAGTTAAGAATGCAATTCTACAGAAACTAAAACATCAAAGAGTACAACTTCTTCCCCTTCTACGGATGGTTCTGGGACAGCATCTTGCAAAAAACCAATAAGCACAAAGATTGTATTCATTAAATTAAGCACATTAGCGAAAGTGCTGACTTCAAAGATTAAGATATTATTCTTAGCAATCTTAATTCTAAAGCCTCTTTATTAATAGTAAACCCTGATTTAATTAGTGAATTCTTATAATGCCAATAACATTACATTAAGTATGAACTCCCCTTCCATAGTCTTAACAAGTTAATTGGTACTGGTCTTGCTAAGCACTACGGTGATGGATGGAAGAAGAGCCGTAAGATTCTCTCCAACATGTTTACTTTTGAATAAATTGCTCTTTAGTTAGGTAGTATTAGAGAACTCTCTAAAAGATATATCAGCTAATAAAATGAAAAATCTTTCAACATCCAAAAGGTCTTCGAAATGACTGCTGGTGCATCAGATCTTTCTATTTTCTTGGGATTCGACATGGATGAATATAAGAATAAGGATGGAAAAACTCTTGGTGAACTTATTGGTTCTTTTGCTAACGATGTTTATCTTAGAGATGTTGGAATGTTCTCCATGATTTTTGGTACTAAAGCTACAGAATTAGGCTTAAGAAAATCTGACAAAGACTTAAACGAAAGAGGAAAGAACTTAAGAAAGTTCATGTATGAAATCATTCTTGAATGCAAAAAGAGAGAATAACAACCAGGATATCAACCTAAATATCCTTCTTTCATCCACCACTTAGTTTAAGAAAACCTTTTGAATACTGAAGAAGAACTTGAAGACTTACTCGCTATCTCTTTCAACTTGTTCCTTGCTGCTAAAGAAACAACAAGTAAGATCGCCGCTAACGTAGTCTACTACGCAATCAAGTATCCCGAATAGTACAAGAAGATCTAAGAAGAAATCAAGACCTATGTCCCTAATGATGATTATACATTTGCTGACCTATAGAAGATGAATATTCTACAAGCTAATGTTAAGGAATGTTTAAGATATGATACCTCCGGACCTTTCTTATTCTAAAGAGAAGTTGTTTAAGATCATACCTTAGGCAAGTATAACATTAAGAAGGGTACCCTTGTTAACTGCGGTTACGTAGTCAACTTCTTCAATGAAAAATACTTTGAAAACCCTTTCAGCTATCAACCTGAACGTTGGTTGGATAGTAACAACGATTCTAAAATGAAGAACTCACATTTAGTTTATATCCCCTTCTCTGGTGGTGCCAGAAATTGTATTGGTTAGCACTTAGCTGTCATGCAAATTAAGGCTATGGCTATTGAATTCTTTAAGTAATTCAAGCTTCCTGAAATCCCAAAGGACTTTGATACTGAAAAGATTATGACATTATCCTATGGTTTTAAAAATGATTTATTATTAAACCTCGAAAGAATTTGATTTAATCTTTATATTATATATTTTGTATACACTTCATCTAAAAAGTAAATTAATTTAGAATATTTTAAATTCCATCAAAAATGATTATTTCTGTTAAAGTATAGTTAATTTTTATTAATTTGATAGTAATACAATTACTTAGTTCTAAATAAATAAGAATGAATCAGGATATTTAAGGTTAATAAATAAGCTAATTAAAAAATAAACGAATTTATGTATTTCAACTATTAAATTTGATTAATCAAATAAAATAATAATAAAGAGTCTAAAAGGATAAATTATTGGTTGAGTGGTAGTTTTTATTTAAAATAATGATTATTCAATTAAGTAGATTTAGTTATATTGTAATAAATTAAAAACAAGTAAACTAGAGAATTTTATGATAGAGTTATATACTAGATTTTTAATAGAATTTATATTAATTGTATTTGTGAGAGTTTTTTAGAGGATTTAGTTAAAAATATTTTTGAAAGATTTATCTATTATAGTTAAAAATGAGTTTTTGTAGAGTTATTATATTTTTGAGAGTGATATTTATTTGTTTATTTCATGAGTAGATGTAGTTACTCAAAAAGTGGAAAACCCATTTCCATTAATCGTTGGTTACTTGGTCATCATTTCTATTTTCATTCTTTTTACGAATTATGAATGGTAAAACATGTATTATGATTTGTTAAAAGCAATATTATTCTTATGAGAAGTTATCATCATTGTCTTTTTTTAATGCTTATTTTATTGCTTTCATAGTGACATTATTTCTTTTAAAGAATTTATTACAAAATGCTAAGTATTGTTATTCTGTAATTCTATTGCTATTAAAGTATTTGGTGAATTTATGAGTATTTTTTTTTAAGATAAGTTATCTTACGTAGTCTCTAGGACAGTTTTTGGTATTTTCATTATAAGTTTATTTTTTTATAAGATTTGTTGAAGATAATTAATTGCTTGTATTCTACTCGTTAGATTATTATTGCTATTGATAATTTTGAGGTTATTCTTAAGGTAATAAGGATGAAGTTTGTTAAATTACTTCATCAGAGACATTATTGTAATATGTTGGGTGTTAGAAATTTTAATAATTATTATAATCACCATTATTATTATTATAATTAAAGTTATCATAATCTTGGTATATGTCTCCTAAAAACTCGATACCTTCTTCTATTTCGCTAGCTTAGATTGAATATTAGAACATTTCAATTTTAATTAGATTCTTTGCTTGTTAATTAATTTTTTTACAGATATTTTAAATTCTTTAGAGATATTTAATTTTTTTTATTGATTAATTATTATTATTTTTTGGTTATTCTTCCCATCAAATTTAAAAAAAGAGTTCATTTATATCAAACTATGACTAAGTTGATAAAGTAAGTAGAAATGAAAGTTATTAACCTCACCAGTTAAGAAATAATAAATTGATAATAAAAAATAAATGAAAAAATCTATAAAATCTAGTTTAAAATGTATAAATATAAATTTAGAATCGAATAACACCATTTTTTATTATGAAACATTGAAGAGTTTTATTAGAATTCAGTGCTTTATTAGAAATTATCATTTTTTTCTGATCAGCTAATATGAAATAGATAAATGTTATAAGTGTTCCCTTATCAAATTTTTAAAGTATAATGGAAAAAAGCTCTCAATTAAAAGAGTTTTATAAAATTAGAGACCAATAAATTTTTTGAGTATAATTTCTATAAAAGCATTACAAGTAAGATTATTTATACAAAATATTCTATTAAAATTATATTATCTTTATTTAACACTTTAAATAAATAGTAAAATAGAAAGGCAAATATTCAGCAGGCAAAATATCTAATATTGCAGAAAAAAAAAGTGGAAATAGAAAAAGAAAACTTTGATCTTTAATTTGAAAAGTAGATAATTTGAATAATTAAATAAAGATACATGCATCTTTAAATCCCATTTAAAATTAAAATTGGAAGATATATTTTTAACAAATAATATTTTTTATAATGATTAATATGAATAAAATGGAAAGGGCATACAAATAAGAAAATTCTTTTGAAATCATCTACATAATACATAAGGAGGTAAATCACAACCAATTATTTTTTTTTCTCTAGCAAATAGAGTCTTTAGTTAATTAGAAAGTGTTCAATCTAATTAAAAAAAGCCTAATGAAATAAAAGATTTTACTGGTGAATTAAATTCTATGAAAATTTACATAGAATTTTTAATTAAATTTAAATAATAAAAAGTTTAAAATAGGCATAATAGCTAGTTTAAATTTCATAAGAATTTGTTTAAATTACAATACAATTTAAATAAAAATCATTCATTTTATTAGGAACTACCTTATTAAAGATAAATCAAAAAATAAAATAGTCAAATAATCTTTTTTTTTTGAATTATCTATCTTAATCTAGCTTTGAAAGCTTGATTGATGTGAACGAATTAAGATGTGATTGAAAATTTTTAGAAATTAATTTACAAAGGAGAATCACCCTTTTCTTATTTTAAATCAATCAAATATATACAAATTAATTACCTTTCAAACCACTTTCTTTGTAAAATTAACCTTTTTTTTATTAATTAAAGATCAGAATGTTTTTTAACCACTAATACTATTTTCGAATTTTTAATTTTTCTTCAAAACAATATATGACTTATTTTATTTTATTACCATTTAATAAATTGTGAGAGAACATATATGCCTTGGCAAATATATGAAATATCAAATACAAAAATACATTTTTAAAATTTGCATTTAATTTTATTACAAATATTTGATTTTTAATTCTACTTAATGTTTTTTTATTGTTAATTATTTCAAGAAAGAAAAATTAATCAAAAGATACTCTTTTTTTGAAGATAATTACAATATATCCTTAATTAACTATAACTAATTGCCTAATATTAAAATCTACTTAAAATTAGTTATAGTATTTAAAATTTTTAATTTAAGCAGAATTATGTAATTACATAGTATAATTTTATACTAATATTTTTATGATTTTTTGATCATTCATATCTATTTTATATATCTAAACACTTAGATTTATCTTTTAATTTTCCTTTAGATTGTTAAACATATATATTTTAGTATGTAAATAAAAGCAAACAAATATTTGTTTGCATGTTTTTCATATTGAGTATTATTGGATCTTCATAATAGTTCAAATCTAAAAAATTAAAATAATTTTTTATTTTACTTATTACATAAGAATTAAATATTAAAATAATTTTTAAAAATAAATAAATTAAATGAAAATTAATAGTGAATAAATTATATCAATTATTTTAAATAATTTGTTTAAAAGAAATTATAGTGTTTTTTAGTTTTTTCTAATTGGGCACATGTATTTCAAACTCACAAATGAAATTAAAAGAAATATTCTTCTTTTTATTTGATATTTGATATGGTTAGTCTCATGATTTGATTAAAAATTGATGATTAATTCAAATAATAAAAAAGAGAATGTTTATTGTCTTGATCATGAGTATTTTCTTCCATTATTTTAAATAAAATTTATCATTTATAATTTACCAAATTTATAAATACCTAAAATTATATTCATATACTTAATTAATTTCATATTTATCAAGTATTTTTTTATCTGCTTATTGTATTATAATGATTATATTATATTATGAATACAAAAAATTAATGATAATTACATAAAAAATGAAAATATTTGTAAAGAGATTTAGTATGCTTACAAAAACTATTCAAATTTGATATTTATTTATAGCGCTAGATCTTAAATATTACTAATACGATTTTTAAAACTAAAAATTTGGATACCCAAAAATACATTTAAAAGTATTACCATATAAAATTGATGCTTTTTAATTACATAAAATTATAATTTTAAGTCTGCTAACATGTTTAAAAACTTAAAACACACATATACAGGAAATGTCTTATTAATACTTTTTAAAATTATATTTTTGCTGATTATAAACCTAATTTATAGCTTGAATATTAATTAGTCAAACGATTTTTTTTTATTTTTTCATGTTCAAGTAAAGAGTTTGCATTTTTATCTTGTAAATAAGAAAGAGAAAAAAAATGTTTAAAATAGAATACTCACTAATAAATATCAAATCAAAGCTGATTTAAAATATATTTATTAAAATAATATTAAATTATTTTTTATTTATTTTAATGAGAATATAAAAGAAAAAAATATTATTTTTAAATTATTTAAAACAAAATAAAATTTTTAAAATAAAATAAAATTTAAATATTATAATAATTAAATTTTATGATAATTAATATTTAGCAAATTATTTTATTTTAATTTTCAAAATGATGGAACTCTAAGATAAAAATTACATATATATTATTAAATAAAAAACACTATGAATACATCTAATATTTTATTAATATAAAGAAAATTGTATCTTAATTTGAAACAAAAATCAACCAAATTTGAAAAAAATTAAGGAAAATATTATAATTACATCAAAATAAATTATGATTAATTGGCTAAAAGAAAAAAGAAAAAAGAAAAAGAAAAATATCAAGAAAATATTATGTAAAAATTAAAACAAATAACTAAATAAAAACAAAATCATGAAGTAAAAATTAAAAATATTGTAAAAGCTTCATAAAAATAATACAAATTTATTCTATTTTAAGTAACACTAAAACACAGAGTTTCATTTAAAATTGATTTAGTAGTCATTTAAAATCTAAAACTTAAAATACAGTAATGTAGTTTATATAGAGAGATACATAGTTAATCAGATAGCAAAATCGATTACTTTTTACAATAGTTAGAAAATTAATTAATTGAATAGAAAACTCTACTTTTGCTACAATTATTTTATAAAATGATAGAGATTTTCTTCAATCTTCAGAGATGATATCATAAAATTTTATATAAAGGGTTAATGTCTATTTGACACCATCAGGAATACCAGTTCTTTTGACTATAATTTTTTATATTCTTAGTTGGTTAATTATTTGCGTTATGTATTTTTCTGCTAATCTTTTTATCTTTATATTGTCACTCTATTTAGATAAGCGCTTAACAGTTTTTAATCCGCTTTCAGAGTACTTTAAACTTCTTACGAACTCAGTGAAATCCTTATCATTGATTTTTTTTAGCTATTTATTACTAATTCTCATAAATTCTCTCCAAAGATTTTTAGTTGCTCTTTAATCGTTCATCTTTTTTTCTCTTTTTAAGATTTCAATTATATGATACTACTTCTGAACTCTATATGTATTTAAAAAATTAGTTTATAATAATTTGCCTAAATTTAATTCTAGTTGTATTTTTAGATGTATTTACTGATATAAAAGCTCTTTTTTATTTACTTAGATACTATTTTTTTTATTTATTTATTACTATCTAATTTTATTTTCTACTTATTGATATGTTTAATCTATATATTTTTTTAAAATTAGATAATAAAAAATATTAAAAAAAACTTGATCAAAAATTTCTTATCAGAAAAATTAAATCTATTCAAATTCTATACAGAATGTAATAAATCTTTATTTTTTTGAATTATTTAAGATATTTTTAAATAATTAATAATTCCTGATAAGAATAAAATGAAAAAAAAAAAAATGTTAATCATCAATTTTTTAATCTAAGAACCTCCATAGTTTCCTTATATTTCATTAAATACATAGTTTTAAGCTCTATAAATAGACAAATAAATCATTACATTGAGGTTTAGTTTTTATACATAATTTTAACAAATAATTTTGTAGCTGTAATTTACAAGAGAATATCAAGAGAGACGCCATTCATTATGATAGCATTAGGAATACCTCTAATCATTATCAATGAAAAAATATTTTAAAAAAAGAGATAAAGTAAAAATTAGAACTCATATATAAATGACTAAGAAAATAACCTTGCCATTAAATCAAAAATAAGTCTTTTAACCAAAAGATATATTCGATACAACTGCAGTGTAAAATTAAATGAATAATAAAATAATTTTAGAAGTAGAAAATAAATGGAGAATTTACATAGAACTCAAAGATTTAGGATAACCATATTTAGAGACTATCAATTAAGACTCAATTCTCAAAAAACGAACGACTTATAATTATTAAAATTTTTGCTATGGCAAGACAAGAGGAAAACTTATTATAAAATATGTTTAATGATTAAAAAATATTAATATTTTATAGTCATTTATATTGTATAATTTATTGATTATTTATTTTTTTTGCACTTCATCTAAACAGTAAATCAATTTAGAATATTTTAAAATCCATCAAAAATGTTACTTCTATTAAAGTAGAGTTAATTACAAAACTTAACATTTAGAATATATGTATCACTCTAAATTAAAAGCAATCGTTTTATTCTAAATTATAACGATAATCAAGAAAAGAATAATTAATTTGGTAATCAAAAAGCTTAGCTAATTAAATTCGAAATTAGAAACTAATTAGTATTAGTTAGAAATTTGATAGAAGGAAAAACTAATATAAATAAATTCCTCTTATCTATTTTTATTAATTAGAAAGTAATTAAATTAGTAGGTCTTAAATTAATAAGAATAAATAAGGATATTTAAGGTTTGATTAATAAATTAATAAAAAGTAACAAATTTATGTATTTCAACTATTAAATTTGAGTAATCAAATAAAATAGAAATAAAGTGTTAGTCTAAAAGGATAAATTTTTGTAAAGTAGTTTTTATTTAAAAAGATGATTATTCAATTAAGTATAGTTAGTTATATTGTAATAAATGAAATACAAATAAACTAGGAAATTTTATGATAGAGTTATAATATACTAGATTTTTTAATAGAGTTTATAATAATTTATTTTTGAGAGAGTTTTTTAGAGTATTTATTTAAAAAATATTTTTGAGAGATTTATGTTTAATAGATAAAATGAGTTTTTGTAGAGTTATTATATTTTTGAGAGAGGTATTTATTCTTTTAAATATGAATTTCTTTAATTCATTAGTAGATGTAGTTAATCAAAAAGTGGGTAACCCAAGTCCATTAATCTAGGGCTACTTGCTCTTCATTTCTATTTAGATTATTTTTAAGAATTATTATTGGTAATTCATGTACTATGATTTGCTAAAAGCAATATTATTCTTAAGAGTAGTTACCATTATCGTCTTTTTGTAATGCTTATTTTATTGCTTTCATAGTGACATTGTTACTTTTAAAGAATTTATTACAAAATGATAAGTATTGTTGTTATGTAATTCTATTGTTATTAAAGTATTTGGTCAATTTATGAGTATTTTTTCTTAAGATAAATTATCTTAAGTAGTCTCTAGGACAGTTTTTGGTATTCTCATTAAAAGTTTTTTATTTTGGAAGATTTGTTGAAGATAATTAATTGTTTGTATTCTATTGACCCAATTATTATTGGTATTCATAACTTTGAGGTTATTCTTAGGGTAATAAGGATGAATTCTGTTGATTTACTTCATCAGAAGCATTATTGTTGGATGTTAAGTGTTAGACATCTAAATAATTATCATAATAGTTACTATTATTGTTATCAAAATTATAGTTATCATATTCTTGGTTTATGTCTCCAAAAAAGTTGATATCTCCTTCTATTTCGCTAGTAAAGATTGGTTCTTAGAACATTTCAAATTTAATTAGATTCTTTACTTGTTAATTAATTTTTTACAGATATTTTAATTTCTTTAGAGATAATTAAAGTTTTTTATTGATTAATTATTATTATTTTTTTTTGGTTATTCTTCCCATCAAATTTAAATAAAAGAATTCGTCTATATTAAATTAATACTTAGTTTAAAAACAAATAAAAATGAAAGTTACTAACCATTCCTGATAAGAAAAAAATAAGTAGATAATTAAAAATAAATGAAAAACCTTTAAAATCTAGTAAAAATGAATTAGCATAGACTTGAAATGGAATAAAACCATTTTTTATTATGAAAGACTGAAGGAAGTGTTTTATTAGAATTCGAGTGTTTATTAGAAAATTTTAATTTTTTTCTGCTCAAAAGAGCTGATCCGAGTGAAGAAATAGATAGAAATGTTCGTTCCCTTATCAAAATTTAAAAGTATCATAACCATAAAAAGTTATCAATTAAAAGAGTTTTATAAAATTAGAAACCTCTAAGTTTGATTCAGTACAATTTCTACAAAAACAATACAAATTAGATTATTTGTACAAAATATTCCATTAAAATTAACTTATCTATATACAAAGCTTAAAATATATATATATATATAGTAAAATAGAAAGGCAAATATTCGAGAAAAAAGAAGTGGAAATAGAAAAAGAAAACTTGGATCTTTAATTTGAAAAGTAGATTACTTGAATTGTCAAATAAATATGTATGCATATTATAAAATCTATTTAAGTATTGAATATCTTTAAGCAAATAATATTTTTTAAAATGATTAAGATGAATAAAATGGAAAGGGCATACAACCAAAATATTTTGAAATTATTTAAAAAAAGAGGAAAATCACTGCCAATAATTTTTTTCTTAAAAAGAGAGTCTTTATTTAGTTAATTAGAAAGTGTTCTATCTATTTAAAGCATCTAATGAAATAGAAATTAAAAAGATTTTACAGGTGAATTAAATTCATGCAAATTAACATAGAATTTTTAATTAGATTTAAGTTATAAAAAGTTTTAAAACAAGCACAATAACTAGCTTAAATTTAAATCATAAGAATTTATTTAAATTACAATAAAATTTCACTATAAAAGTCATTCATTTTATAACATTCTTTCTTACTGAAGATAAAACACTAAATAAAATAGTCAAACTATCTTTTTTTTTGAATTATCTATCTTAACCTATCTATGAAAGCTTGATTTATGTGAAAGAATTAAGATGTGATTGAAAAATATTTAGAACTTAATTTACAGAGGAGGACCACCCTTTTCTTATTAGAAATAAAATTAATTAACTTTCAAGCTAATAGTAAGATATTATTGTGTTTTCTTTCTTGGTAAAATTAACCTTAAATTTTTTAATTAAATACATCAGAATGTTTTTTAACCACTAAACCTATTTTCGTATTTTTCTTCTTAATAATATATGATTTATTTTATTACCATATAAAAAAATGTGAAAGAACATATATATCTTGGCAATGATATGAAATATAAAATACAAAAAAATACATTTTTCTAAAAATTCCATTAAATTTTATTGCAAATATTTTATTTTTAATTCTATTTAATGTTTTTTTTATTGTGAAGTATTTAAAGAAAGAAAGTTGATCAGAAGATACACTTTTTTGAAGATAATTACAATATATCTTTAATTAACTATTACTATTTACCTGATATAAAAACTTCTTAAAGTAAGTTATAGTATTTAAAATTTTTGCAATTTAAGTAGAATTATGTAAAGATATAGTATAATTTAATGCTAATACTTTTATAATTTGACACTTACGAGATAGGATTTAATAATTCATAACTACTCTATTAATATCTAAACACTTAAATTTATATATTAATTTTCTTTTAAATTATTAAATATACATTAAAAAAATTCATAATTAAACATAGATATTTTAGTAGATAAATAAAAGAAAAAAAATATTAGTTTGCTTGTTTGTATCATAATGAATATAAATGGATGGATCTTCATAATAAATAGTTCAAATCTAAAAAACTAAAATAATTTTTTATTTTACTTATTACACAAGAATTAAATATTAAAATAATTTTAAAAAATAAATAAATTAAATGAAAATTGATAGTGAATAAATAATATCAATTATTTTGAATAATTTGTCTTAAAAGAAATTAGAGTGTTTATTTACTTTTTTTTTGCCTTGAGCACATTTATTTCAAACTCACAAATGAAATTAAAAGAAAGATTCTTCTTTTTATTTAATATTTGATATGGTTAGTCTCATAATTTGGTTAAAAATTGATGATTAATTCAAATAATAAAAAAGAGAGTGTTTATTGCGTTGATCATGAGTATTTTCTTCCATTATTTTAAATAAAATATATCATATGTAATTTACCAAGTTTATAAATACCTAAAATTATATTCATATACTTATTTAATTTCATATTTATTAAGTATTTTTTTATCTGCTTATTGTATTATAATGATTATGTTATATTATGAATACAAAAAATTAATGATAATTGCATCAAAAATGAAAATATTTGTAAAGAGATTTAGTATGCTTACAAAAACTATTCAAATTTGACATTTATTTATAGCGCTAGATCTTAAATATTACTAATACTATTTTTAAAACTAAAAATTTGGATATCCAAAAATAAATTTAAAAGTATTACCATATAAAATTGATGCTTTTTAATTACATAAAATTAGAATTTTAAGTCTGCTAACATGTTTAAAAACTTAAAACACACATATAAAGGAAATGTCTTATTAATATTTTTAAAATTATATTTTTGTTGATTATAAATCTAATTTATAGCTTGAATATTAATTAGTCAAACAATTTTTATATATTTTTTCCTGTTCAAGTAAAGAGTTTGCATTTTTATCTTGTAAATAAGAAAGAGAAAAAAAATGTTTAAAATAGAATACTCACTAATAAATATCAAATCAAAGCTTATTAAAAATATATTTATTAAAATAATATTAAATTATTTTTTATTTATTTTAATGAGAATATAAAAGAAAAAGATATTATTTTTAAATTATTTAAAACAAAATAAAATAAAATTTAAATATTATAATAATTAAATTTTTAGAAAATTAAAATTAAGTAAATTATTTTATTTTAATTTTTAAAATGACCATCATAAATTTTATCATATACATTTTATTAGGAAATATAGTAAATTGAACTCTTTAATTATATATATATATATTATTAAATTAAAAACACTATGAATGCATCTAATAATTTATTAATATAAAGAAAATTTTATCTTAATTTGAAACAAAAATCAACCAAATTTGAAAAAAATTAAGGAAAATATTATAATGAACGTCAAAAAAACTATGATTAATTATTTAAAAGAAAAAAGTAAAGAAAAATATCAGGAAAATATTATGTTAAAATCAAAACAAATAACTAAATAAATAAATACAAAATCATGAAGTAAAAATTAAAAATATTGTAAAAGCTTCTTTAAAAAAATAAAAATTTATTCTATTTTAAGAAAACGAAAACATAGAGCTTCATTTAAAATTGATTTAGAAATCATTTAAAATCTAAAACTTAAAATACAGTAATGTATATAATATAGAGAAATACATAGTTAATCAGATATCAAAATCGATTACATTTTACAATAGTTAGAAAATTAATTAATTGAATAGAAAACTCTACTTTTGCTACAATTATTTTATAAAATGATAGAGAGTTTCTTCAATCTTAAGAGATGATATCATAAAATTTTATATAAAGGCATAATGCCTATTCGACACCATTAGGAATACCAGTTCTTTTGACTATAATTTTTTATATTTTTAGTTGGTTAATTATTTGCGTTATGTATTTTTCTGCTAATCTTTTTTCCTTCACATTTTCACTACATTTAGATAACTACTTAATAGTTTTTAATCCTCTTTCCGAGTACTTTAAACTTCTTACGAACTCAGTGAAATCCTTATCATTGATTTTTTTTAGCTATTTATTACTAATTCTCATAAATTCTCTCCAAAGATTTTTAGTTGCTCTTTAATTGTTCATCTTTTTTTCTCTTTTTAAGATTTGAATTGTATGATTAATTCTTCTGAACTCAATATATTTTTAAAAAATTAGTTTATAATATTTTGCCTAAATTTAATTCTAGTTGTATTTTTAGATGTATTTACTGATATAAATGATCTTTTTTATTTACTTAGATACTATTTTTATTTATTTATTTCTATTTAATTTTATTTTTTACTTATTGATATGTTTAACCTATTTATTTTTTTTTTAGTAGATAATAAAAAAATATTGATATAGACTTGATAATAAATTTAATAAATTTCTTATCAGACAAATAATTAAATCTAAAAATTTTACTTCCCATTCGAATTCTAAATGTAATAAATCTATATTTTATATATTTTATTGAAATAGATAAGATAGATATTTTTAAATAAAATAATTCCTGATCAGAATAAATTGAAATAAAAATATTTTAACTTTTTTTTTCACTATTTTTTATTTATATTACTTGAAATCTTCTAATTATTATCATGAAACAAATTTAATCATTCAAAGTATACTAATTATTTATTATTTTAATAACTTGATACAATTAATTTTTTATAGTTTTATTCAATTGTATTAAAAAATGATATTTTTTGGTATATTTCACAATTATTTTCTTTACTCTTTTAAATAATTGATTAACAATTAATATGTTAATTAATACTTTAATAGAAATTATAAAAATAGATTGATACAATATTAATAAAAATCAAAATAGAAAAAAATGATTTAATAAATTAACAAATTTTACAAATTTGAATAAGTAAATTAATTTTATTTTAAGTATTTCTCATAAATTTTATTTTTAATAAAATTAGTTTATTTTCTCTCAGTCACAAAATGAGGAAATTAACCTAGAGCTTTTATTTAAGTAAATAAATTTTTTTTTTTGAAGTATCGTGTTTGTTATTTAATAAAGATCTTTTCTAGTTATGAGCAAAAGATAATAAAATTATAATTTTTTTTAGGAATGTTTGTTAAATATTTTTTATATCTTTTTTAGTTTTAACTTTAAAAAAATTAATTTTGATTTAACTTAATCTTAAATATTAAATAGACATATATAAATTACTGATGAGGATTTTTAAACTCTAACAATTGGTCTAGGAAGTCTCAAAAATCTTATTTTGCTAAAACTTGGTCTAGAGTAATTTCATATCATTTATATTTATATAAAATAGATTAATCTTTTTAACATAATTAGTGAAAATCATATAGGAGAAGATGGATTAGCCTAATTAGGGAAAGAGTTAGGAAATTGTTAAAATCTTTGTGATTTAAATATAAGTCTAAAGTATAATAAATCTTAGTTTTAACTTTATCAAATATCTATTAAATAAATTAAAAAGTGATTGCTAAAGTGTTTCTGATGAAGGTATCAGTTATTTAATAGAGGGTTTAGTAAACTGTACTAAGATTAAAAATTTAGCATTAGGACTAAGGTAAATTTAAAAATTATAATTATATTTTTTCATAGTTAAATTTACATATTTTTATTTATTTAAAGTAAAAAATTATTTTAATTATACAAAATTAATAAAAGTAATAACTAAATTAGCTAAGAAGGAGCATCTAATATTGGTAAAGATTTATAAAGATTTTTAAATCTGACTTCTTTAGCACTTAACTTAAGGTAAAAAAAAAAATTAAAAAACAGCTTTTGATGCTTTGAAAAATTACAAAATGGTTTTTAAATATAAATACTTTTTGAGTTATTTGTTTTTAAAATATTTATTATGATAATTTATATTTTTTATATAACTTAAAGTCAAAACCAAATATTTGATTAAGGAGCAGCTGATCTTGCTTTTGGGTTAGGAAAATGTGTTAATCTTACTCATTTGGAATTAAATTTTGAAGAGTAAAAATATTTTATTTACAAATCTTTATTTTACCACTTATTTTTTAACAGTTTTAGAGTAGAATTTTTAATTTATTTAAAATTATTAATTTAGAGAAAATAATATCAGTGATATAGGAGCTTCTAGTATAGGAGCAGCATTAGCAAATTGTACTAATCTTAAATAATTAAAGCTTAACTTGAAGTAAATAATTTAATTCAAAACTTTTACTAAATTTTAAATAGATTTGTTAGGTTTAAATATTAATTCAGCATATTCTAAAAATTAGCTTAAATTAAACATATAAATATCTATCTATAACTTTAACTTTACTAATTTATAAGGTTAATAATTGTTTATAATATTTATACTTTCTTAAATTTTATTTAATTTATTCAATACTTTTTTAAAAGATGTTAAAGATTCAAATTGAATAACTAAATTCATACAAACAAAAATTAATCATAAAATTTTTACTATTTTACTTTAATTAAGCCTAACAATATTAATCTAAAATTTATAGATTGAATTCTTTCATATAAATTCATCTTTCATAAAAGTTGTTTTTGTTATTTATTGGGTTTCTTTTTCTTTTTGTTTTTTATGAATGATTTCTTACTTTTTAATTACTCTTTTTACATAAAATCAAATTTTCATATGTATTATCAAAAAATAATTCAACAATAGTGATATCTTTAAAAAATAAAATGAGTGAAAAAGTCTAAGATAAAAAAAGTTTTTCTCAAACAAATATATATAAAACAAAATTATCAATCAATATTAAAACAATATTATGTAGCAACATTTATTATTTTAAAGAGCTTGAAGTAACATCATTAATTGTTTTAGAATATAGTTAGTTTTAATCACATAGTTTTGTGTTTTAGTTCGTAATAAAACTCATATTTTATTGAACTGTACTTTTTTAGGAATTAAATGGCAAATAAAAATAAAATGGCAAGACTTGTACCATTTAACAAAGGTAATACAATCATTATTGCATTTATATTCACATGAGTAGTTGTTTGAGCACCAATTAATTTTAAGCTATTTATTTCTTTCTAATACATAATCGGAACTTTTAAATTTGATAAAAGTTACTGCGTAAATTAAAATTCTGAAGAGCTTTATAGCTATACATCACAAGGATACTTATTTGAGTATCCAATTAAATTATAATTTTAAAAAGTATACATTTCTGGAGTTATTTCGAAGATATACTCTTATGTAACTACTTTTATTTTTGGTAATGAATTTATTTCTGAACACTTGCAATCCTTGCAATCATCAATTCTCATTCTGTTTAAGATATTATTTACTACACTATCTCTAGTGATCATTTCATATAGATCAGAGGGGATTGTAATGTATTCATGTAAATTATCAAAGTTAATTGTATGAAACTTCAATTTATCTGTTACATCTTCACCATTCAAATAGACTCCATATGCTTTAATAGCAAAAATATTACCTTTAATCATAATATTAGACGGATATTTATAATTATCAGACTTTTAATCTAAGTCATATCTAATACTCATCTTCTTAAGTTATTTATTATCATTGGCTATAGATTATAATTCCAGTGAAATTAAATAATCTCTTGTTTTAATTACATTCTATGAAAACATTAAATCAAATATATTGTCTTAAAATCTATTTAATCTAGTTTCTCCATTTGAATATGTGTTTTATAAGTATTATTATTTACTGACACTCAGGAATGTATACTTGAATTTAGTATTACCAACCTAAAGTACATCAGTGACAATATTTCCTTCAACATATTTATCTGATATTGTATTTGATGAAGGTTATTTTATTACTTAAGGACTAATATCAGCAGAAGAGCTTTTTTTCATGTCATAAAGTTTTAGTCTTTTCAAATATTCTAAGTAAAATGAGACATCGCTAATTTCAATAGAGCTATCAAAAATAAACTGATCAAGAAAACTTTACTAATCATCTCCAATTTTAAGATCTAAGTATTAATCTACTGGGGGACTTCCAATTTATACAGTTAGTTTAAAATCAAAAAGAGCAGTTTACAACAAAAGTATTTATTCACCAAATGTTGTTTAAACAAACAAAATTAAAATGAGCATAATGAGCTTATTTTATAATTGATTCATTTACTTTTGATTTAACTACTTTAGCTTTAAACAAATTTTGTTAAATTATTTTGGATTTTTAGTCAATAACAAGTACTATAAGAAAGGACCATGATTAAGCTTTTGATTTTTTATATGCTTTTTTTTGTAAGTAATTATATACTTTGATTATTCATTTACAGAAAAAATAATTAATTGTTCTGCATATAATTTTTAGTAATAATATTAGAAAATCTTTTTAATATAATTATAATTATTAGAATAATATTTAATTTTTTTAAAAATATTAAACATAATATATTACCTGATATTAAATAAATATATGTATATTTTAAGAATAAACTTACTACTATTACCTTTACTAAATAATTATATTTCAAGACATTTTTATACGGATACAAATTTGTTATTTAAGTGTAATTATCATAGATATTAAAAGTGATTTTCAACTACTTATTTAAATAAATTAGGTTACTATTCTAGGTATTAGGCTCCCTCATAAAATTAATTATGCCTGACTTTGGTATCTATTTAAGATTAGGTTTTGATTAACGTCATAATCTATCAGAAGAATTACCCATAAGACCTTTCAATATGAATATGAAGTAATTTTAATGATATTTAAAAGCTCTTTATTCTTTAATAACAGTTTACTGTAGAATAATATTTAATTTTTTTGCAATTATTAAGCATAATATATTTCCTCATATAAAATAAATATATTTATATTTTAAGAATAAACTTACTACTATTGCCTTTACTAAATAATTATGTTTCAAGACATTTTTATACGGATACAAATTTGTTATTTAAGTGTAATTATCATAGATATTAAAAGTGATTTTCAACTACTTATTTAAATAAATTAGGTTACTATTCTAGATATTAGGCTCCCTCATAAAATTAATTATGCCTGACTTTGGTATCTATTTAAGATTAGGTTTTGATTTAGAAGAATTACCCATAAGACCTTTCAATATGAAAATGAAGTAATTATTGTGATATTTAAAAGCGCTTTATTCTTTAATAAAAATTTAATATTTTTGGAAACTTGTTTTGCATTTAGAATGAAATCATTTTAGTTAATCTATTTACCTTTGTTAAAAAGATAAAATAAGAAATTGTATCAAAAATTCTCAAGAAAATTATCTCTAGAATAAATTTTAATTCTCACAAGTATTTTTTATAAATTTTTTATGTAATTAAAAAAAAAAGATTAATTTTAAATTCAAAAAATAAATTTTAACATTTAACATTTTATATTATATATCTTAAATCCTCAATAATAAATAAAGATATTAATCAAAACAAATTTTTATTTTTTTGACTATTTAACATTTTAAAGTATTATCTATTAATAACAATATACCGTAGTAAATTGACAATACATTCATAAACTATAAATAATAAATAGATCATTTCAAAATAAATTATGATTTATTTTTTAAATATACTCAACTAAGCTTAACTCATTTTTGTAAAGTTATTTTAAAATGTTTGATGAAATTCACTAAGGATAAAGAAAAACATTAAAAAATCACCAAAATTTAATTATCTTAATATTCAATTTGACTGGACCAATATTTTGATTTTATTAAATATTTACATTGAAATTTTTTTTTAATTTATAAATAAATAAATTAAAAAGGAGTTTTAATAAAGAGGAATTAAAAATAAGATTCAATAAGATGGAGAGAATAGTATTTAAAGATATTTTATTTAGCTTACTGTATTTCTGATGTTAAAGAATTAGTTTTTGCTTTTCTGTTAAAGTAAAAACTAATCTTTTTTAAATTTTAATTTAATTTTAACACAAAATTATTGAGCTTTAAAAATACTTGATTCAATCTATTATAGATAATAAAATGTAATTTAATTTTACTTTGAGTTATTAAATGTTTATAAGCTCTAAAATCACATTAAAGTAAATTCATTTGAAATATAAATCAATCTTAAAATTTTTTTGTGAAATAAAATTAAACTGTTACTTTATTTTATATGGGTCAAAAATAATTAATTATTATTGACTTATTATATTGCTTATAATTTAAAATAAAGGATTTTTTATAATTTTATATCATCTTTAAAAACATAAAAGTTAATTTATAAATTATTTTAATAAAAATTTTTCTAACTTATTTATGAGAGCAATTTTCTCAATTTTATTAAGTTTATTAAATATTATGCTATATTCTGATAGTTTAATTATCAATTATACTTGTCCTTCCGTTACACATAGAGTTACCATATTAATCTTCCCATTATGGTTAAACTGATTACCCATTAGAGAGAGTAACATTCATATTAGAATATTCAAGATATTCTGTAGGGAAGTTCTTGCAGGATATAATTTTGTACACTTCAAGAGTTGCATCTATCCAATTAAAGTTTCTATCTTCTCTGCTTACTGAGAGAGTAGAGGATTAACCTTCGGAATTTTGAGAAACAATAGTCACTTTATCGTCAACAATTTCTACAGAACCATAAAGGGTATCTCCTGCTTTAACATTTCCTACAGGAGAGCTATTAATAGCCATACCTTGAGGGCAGCAATTCCAAGATTAGAAGAACCATTTATTATAGCGAAAAGTGAGTACAGGCTAAATTATGCTAATTCCAGGACCACTTCCATCATTATTTTAAGACCCAATAAAGTAGTAAAGAATTTAATTACTTTTTAATTGAGGATCGTTAGGAACTTTGTAATTCCCTTCAAATTTTTATAATGTTAAACCATCAGGAATAGTCCAACCTCCATTATCAATCCATGTTTTCAGTAATTTAGTAGGATTTTTTCTATCACATTTCTCATTTCTAGCTACTCTTTTAACAAAATTCTCTTAATCATTAGTTAGATGAATAAACCCTTCTTCTGTTTCTTGGATATGAGTGCCTGTTGGAACTCTTAAAACACATTCTCTAGGAAGTAATCCAAAAGGTGTTTAGACATATTCTTCTCCGTTCACTATTTCTTCGTCTTCTTCAGTTAGGGATTCAAATTAAGTGAAAACTACCATAAAGCATAATGATAGTATCAATAAATTTTTTAACAATTTAATTTTCATTTTTCTAAAAAGTCAAATTACTTTTTTTTAGACAACTTCAGATAAAAAGTAAATAAAAAAATTTACTAGAAAGTTTTTGTTTAAACAAAAACTAAATAAGTCCTTATAAAAGAATTTATATCTAATTCAATCAATATTTTATTACATTTTCAAAATGTTTAAATAAAAGAATTAAGATTTACAATTTTTTCTTTTATTGAAAAATCAAATCTTTTTAAGTTATATCCAATAATGAATGATATTGCTTTTAAGACTAATCTTACTCTTCTTTCTATATAAATTACTTTTTTTTTGTAAAATAAGCGTTGTGTTATTTGTATTATCAAATTTTTACAATAAAATTAGGTTCAAAAAGTTGCTCGCTTACCTAATCTAGTGACATTAAATATTAAATAAACAATTTAAACTAAGGTTCTTAATAAAATTTTAAAATAACTTAAAAAAAAATATATATTTCATTTTATCAATTTATAAGCTTAATATTTGTTTTTTTTTTTTTTACTTACTTAATTTTTGTTGAATTTATTCTTTATTTTTTTAAAAGATGTTAAAAAGTCAAACTGAAAAGCTAAATTCATATCAAACAAAAACTAATGATTAAATTTTATTATATTTTAGTTTAATTAAACCTAAGAATATTAATCTTATATTTTTAGTTTGAATACATTTTTATAATATATTTTTTGATCAAAGATATTTTTGCCTATATTTGAGTTTTATATTATATATTGTTTGTCGTTTATGACAATTTTTTTACTTTTTAATTGATATTTGAAACATTAACATCATTTTCATAATTATTAACAAAATATAAAATTCAAAAACTAAGATATTATTAAAAAATAAAATGAATCAAAAGTCTAAGATATAAGTTTTACTCAAACAAATAAATTTATAAAAATAAAATTTTCTATCAAAATTGAATGAATAAAATTAAGTAAAATTTATTAGTACTTGAAATAATATCATTAGAGTATTGCAATGATTTAAAATTGCTAAATGTCATCAGTTTTATTTTATAAAATAGTTTTTAATCACATGATTTTATGTTTTCGTTAATAATAAAACTCTAATTTTATTGAACTGTATTTTTTTAAGAATTAAATGGTAAATAAAACTATAATAACTAGACTTGATCCATTAAACAAAGACAATACAATTATTATTGTATTTATGCTCATGTGAGAAGTTGTTTGAGCACCAATAAACTTTAAACTACTTATTTCTTTCTAATACATAATAGAAACTTTCAAAACTGATAAAAGTTACTGTGTAAATTAAAATTATGAAGAACTTCCTAACTTTACTTTGCAAGAATATTTTTCAAAACTTCTATAATCATAACTATAATAAGTATACAATTCTGGAGTTATTTCAAAGACATACTCTTATGTTACCACTTTTATTTTTGGTAATTTATCTATTTCTGAACACTTGCAATCCTAGCAAAAATAAATGCTCCCTTAGTTTATAATATTATTTACTGCACTATCTCTAGTTATTATGGCATATAGATCAGAGGGGATCATAATTTATTCATATAAAACATCAAAATTTATTGTACGAATCTTCAATAAATCTGTTACATCTTCACCGTTCAAATAAACTCCATATGCTTTGATAGCAAAAACATCACCTTATATCATTAAATTAGATGGATATTTATAATTATCAGACCATTAATCTAAATCATATCTAAGACTCAACTTCTTAAGTTATTCATAATCATCTTCATTGATAAATGATAATTCCAGTGAAATTAAATAATCTCTTGTTTTAATTACATTCTATGAATACATTTAGTCAAATATATTGCCTTGAAATCTGTTTAATCTAATTACTCCATTTAATTATGTGTTAAATAAATATTATTCTTTACTGACACTTAGGAATGTATACTTGAATTTAGTATTGCCAACCTAGAGTACATCAGTAACAATATTACCTTAGACATATGCCTACGAATATGTATTTGAAGAAGTTTATTTTATTATTTAAGGATTAATATCAGCAGAAGAACTTTTTTTCATGTTGTAAAGTTATAGACCTTTTAAGTAGCTTTAGTAAAATGAGATATCATAAACTTGAATAGAGCTATCAAAAATATATTGGCCTAAGAAACTATACTCATCATCTCCAATTTTAACAATTAAGTATTAATCTAGTGGAGGAGTTCCAATTTATACACTTAGTTTAAAATCGTTATCAGTAGTTTACAACAAAAGTATTTATTCACCGATTGCTGCTGAAACAAATAGAAGTAAAATGAGCATAATAAGCTTATTTTATAATTAATACATTTACTCTCAGTATTATGATTTGAATTTCCAATAAATTTTTATAAATTTATTTGTTGTATTTAGTTTTTTAATAATTAAATGAGCATTATTTGAAAATATCATTTTTGAATTCTTCAATGTTTTCTTTTCGATAAGAAATTGCAAATGCGTAATTAATCATTTACAAATTAATTTATAAAAAAATAATTAATTATCTTACATTTTATTTGTTGTTAATAATATTAGATAATCTTTTTTAGTTTACTAAGATTATATTTTAGTAGAATGTTTACTTTTTATAAAATATTATACACAATATATTAATTCCTAATATAAAATAATATATTAATATAATTTTAAGAATAAACTTGGTTCTATTACCTCTACTTGACAATAATGTTTCAAGGTATTTTTATATGATAAAAATTTATTCATCAAAATATTATTATTATTGATATAAAAGTGTGTGGTAATTTTCAACTGCTTATTTAATTAAATAAGTCAACCTTTTAAGACATATTAGGTTGCCTCATCAAATTAATTAGGCATAAATTAAGTTCCTAATGAACATTAGGTTTTAATAAATTTCATATTTTATCAGAAAAATAACCTTGAAGACTTTTCTATATTAAAAAAAAGTAGTTTTTGTGATAGTTATAAATGCCTAATTATTTAATAAATATTTACAGTTATAAAAATTGAATACTTTCCATAAAATTACATATTATCTAAGATGAAATAATTTTACTTAATTAATCTATTTGCCTTTATTCGAATTTAAAAAGATAAAATAAGGATATAAAATTAATTAAATCAACAGTTAGTTACCAAAAAAATCCTCACTAATTAAACTTTAAATTATCATAATTTTTTTTTAATTTAATTTATGTAAAATAAAAAATTTATTTATTTATTTTAAATTTAAACTTTAATATTTTAAATTAAATATCATAAATCCTCAAATATAAATAAATAAAGAAAGATATTAATCAAATGAAATTTTGAATTTTTTAATTGATTTTTTTTTTCAATTTTATTTTTAATTGAATAATCAATTCCCACCTCTAAATATATTTATAGAATTTATTTACATTTTTCTTTTTTAAAATTAACAATAAACTTATAATTCATTAAAAATAAATTTATTTTAATAATAAATTTTATTATAAGTATTAAATATTGTTTAATAGAAAATAAATGATTTTGTAATTAATATTGAATTATAGATTTTAGATATAATTATAGAAATTATTTAAATTTTTATTTTATAAAATTATCAAACTTACAATACAGTTCATGAAAAATAAAATTTGATTTAAATTATTTATAGTATCTTATTAAAAAAATTATTATTTAGTTTTTTTTATGAAATACAATTTAAAGTTTTAAAGAAAGCTTTCACTTTTATAATAAGTATTAATATTTTTTATAGAAAATAAATGATTTTATTATAATTATTATTGAATTATAGATTTTAGATACATTTATAGAAATTATTTACATTTTTATTATATAAAATTAATAAATTTTAATTCATTAAAAATAAATTTACAGAAAATTTTCATTCTTCAACTATTTTTACAGATGAAAAAGTTGGAGAATCTTGAGATATTTGATTGTGTAATTATAAGAAATACTTAACATGCTTATCAAGATATTCGCTTTAGAGATATTCAAATTCAATAGCAGATTATTTTGGTAACTAAAGTCCAAGCTTTTTAAGCAAAATTTATTTATATATTTCTTGTTTTTTGTTAAGACCCATGACTTCTATCAATTAAAGATTTTTTAAAGAGTCATCATTTGTGGATTTATAATATAAGAGCTAAAAATCGTCTACAAAATCAAATTTCATTAGCTTTTAGGCATACTCAGATTTAAAACTCTATAAATATTACCAATCATCAATGTTGAAATGGAATTATTTTAAGGATTTATTGTGATTTTTATATAGATTATCAAGAAAAGTATTAATTAGCATTCTTTAATCTCTAGCTTCAAAATCATTAGTATAATTTTTCCATCTTTCTATACCTAAAATTAATTTTTTAAGGCAGGGAACATTTGTAATACTCTAAAAGAGTTAAGTCCATTAGTCTAATGTCAAATCTAAATGACCTTGTAAGTTTAATTGAATGTCAGTTAATTTTTTAGCGTTGTTGAAGAGTGAGCAAAGGATTTCTGCAAAATTTACTTGAAATTCATTCATACTAAAACCTATGCCATCTAAATTTAAAGAAAATGTTTATAATTAAGGAATTATTTGATGAATTCCTTCTAGTAAAAGCTTAACATTATCACCAACAATATTTTCATTAAAGCTTAAGGCACGGTCTAAATTAATGGTCAAATGTTGGATGCTTTTTGGCCACTTATGCATTTAAGTAGCAATACCAAATACGAAATTAGGTTTAATCATCTTTTATCTTTCAAATGTCCATCCTACTTTTTCTAAGTCAATAATAACAGTTTTTAATTCTTCACTTCCCTATGAAATCAGTAGACTAAGATATTCAGTAATTGATGAAATAACACCACGCTAATAAGAAGCTTCCTTCATATCAAATATAAATGAGTGTGTAGATTTTATAATGTTGTTCATAGATTATATAAATTAACCTAAGTTTTCATCAGTTTTCAAATTCAAAGAACTAGAAGCTTAAAAAGTGAATTTTTTAACATTTTTAAGTAGAAGTAACAATTAAGATAAGCTCAGCAAGCTTTCTTTTCCAATATCACTTTAGAGTCTAAGGGTGAAGGAAGTAATATTGCCAGCAATGCAGGAAAAATATTTATTTATTGATTCTAAAATATTGTCTAAATGCATTAAAGATTTTTTATACACAATTTAAACTGAGCAATCTTCAATAACTTTGGCGCAGTTTTAAGTATTTTAAATAAACTGTACAACTTTCTTGATATTTTAAGAATAAAGATCTTAAATGTAGTATTTGATGCTAATTTTTTCCAAATTTTTCATTTCACCTGTTACTTTAAGCATTAATAAATCACGGAGTTAATAAAATGTTGAACTTTGGTCCTTTTAAGATAAGTATATTTCATTTATATCAATTTTGAGAGTTTTTACAGAAGAAATTTAATTAAGATAAAATTCAAATAGTTATTGTTTAATTTAACAAAAACTTGTTATCTTGATTTCAGCAAATTAATTTTATTTATCATAGACTAAAAGTTGATCATGTTATCTAATAGTTATAGGTTTCATTTTTGTTTAGATTTAGTTATTAGTATAAGGTTGTTTTTTAGTTAATAAATTAAGTTTTTGTCTTTTGTGTATTTGTACTTTTATTAGTAATTATTTTTGATTAATTTTTATTATGGTTTAATATTTAGTAATTATGGTCATTATTTATGTATTCCAATTAATGAAATAGATGCTTGATAAACATACAAAAAATCTTTGAGCGCAATTAATAATATTGATAATTATTTATCAGAATATTTTTCCCACCAAATTTAATAATCTTATTTATCAGAACTCTTTGATTTTGTTAATTCTTCTACTTATAATTAGTCTAGTCAATAAATATCAACACTAATCTATGAAAATTTAATTCTAATAATTTAATTCATTTTTTCTATTTTAATATTCTCTGTAATCAAATAACAAATTTTAATATTTTTAGAGGTTTTTGGAAAACTTAAAACCAATAAATAATATATTCACTCTATTTTTAATCATATTTTAAATTTGCGTAAATTATAATACTATTTTACAAAAAAGTAGAATTTCTTTTTTCAAATAATTAAAAATAAGTCAAATGAAAAAAATAATTTAGCTAGGCTATTCATCAAAATAAAGAAATTACTTAATGCTTTATCAGAATTAAGCTTTTTATGTTTATTTTTTCAAAATTAATTCAGTTGGTTGGATTAATTTTCAGTCTATTATGAATCAAAGTCTTTTTAATAATTTATTTGTTTTTAATAAATATTTAATAAATAGCTAATTTGTATTTATCATACCAGGCTAAGAATAAAACATAAATTATTTTCATTGTATCTATGAATAAATTATCCTATTTCTTAAAAATTAAAACAGTAAAAAAAAAAATCATGAAAATATAATAGCACATAAATTTGTTTTTAGGTTAAATAAATATTTTTTTATTTATATTTTGATATTATTTTAAAGTATTATTTATTACAAATAAATTATTTTTTGAAAATACTAAAATTTACTCTACTAAATCAATTAATATATGGCTAATTATTTATAAAATAATGTAAAAAAATACTGTAGCTCAGCTAATTAATTAATAGTTAAAATAAAATTTTGTTAAAAGGTTAAATAAATAATTATTTATTTATTTTTTGATAATATTTTAAATTAAAGCTTATTGAAAATAAATTATTTTTTGAAAAAACTAAAATTTACTCTACTAAATAAATTATTCTATGGTAAATTATTTATAAAATAATGTAAAAAAAATCTATAGCTCACCTAATTAATTAATAGCTAAATAGAAGCAAGTATTGTTCTAATTTCAACTTAAAAACATTATATAAATTTTGAATTTTATTTTGTTAAAATTATAAAGTGAATACCTTATTGAATGGAAACAATAAAGTCTATGACATACAAAACTAATTAATTAAATAATTTAATTTTTTAACAATTTCTTTTTATTTATTATCTAAGAATTAAATATCTTTTAAAAGAGTATGAAAAATGCTTTTCTAAATTTTATATTTTTATACTCTTTTAATAGCATTAGCTGCTTAAATAGATGAGCAAACAAACTTTGATAGCTTTCAAAATGCATTCAAAGATTAGAATTTAAATAATGAGGATATATATTAACCTGTAATTGGAATTTTAACCCTTCCATCTGGATTTTAGAAATATGATCATTCTTAATTTTCATACATATATGCTTCATATGCACAATATTTTTAGTAAACAGGAGCACTAATAATCCCTCTCAAATACACATCTTCTTTGAAGTTTTTAACAAATAAAATGTATTAAATTAATGGACTAGTTATTCCTGGTGGTGGGGCTAATTTAATGTACAGAAATAATGAAAGCGGAGATAAGGAGTTTACTAAATTTGCAGAAGTAGGAGAATACCTTATAAGCATTGCAAAACAGCTTAACGATGAAGGAAAGTACTTTCCCGTATGGGGAACTTGCTTAGGATTTGAGCTACTAGTCCTATCATTCACTAAAACTGAAGTTAGAGATTAATTTTAAGGCGAGAACCATTTAGGAGGGTTTTTTTTGAGCTAAAATAACACTTAAAAAAGTCGGCTTTTTAGCAAAATGTCTTTATAATTAAAATAATAGATAAAGAATTAATAATAAGTATATTACTTTAACCATAAATACGGATTTAAAGTAAATAAGTTTATAAGACATGGAGTACTTAAAAATTAGTTCCTTCCTTTGGCATACAGCCTCGATTTAAGTGGAAAGAAATTTGTTGCAATTGCAGAAGCTAAATAATACCCTTTCTATGGTATATAATTTCATCCTGAAAAGCTACAATTTGAATGGAGTTAGCAAAATACCGATCAGCAATTAATGAATGAAATAAACATAGTCAAATATTTTTCAGAGTTTTTCTATAAAGAATGTTTAAAGAACAATTCAAGATTTAAAAGCAGGTTATACCTTAATAGATTATTAATATAGAATTACAAAGTTATTTATACCAAAGGTCAAGAGTTTGGTTTTTATATATTTAATAACAAGGGCAAAGATACCTTTAAAATAAAAAGTAATACAACTTATGAAAATGAGGTTGTAATTGAAGAAAAAGTTGAAATATAAAAAAACACAAATAGTAATAAAGCAAAACTTTAATAGTAGTAAAATCAAGAAAAGAGTAAAAAAAACTTAGAAGAAAAAAATAAAATTTAAATTTAAATTAATGATGATTCTAAAAAAAATGCAGAGATAGACTATTAAAGTAACTCGTTTTTATCAGAAGCTTAATTTGAAATTAGTTTTCTTATAAAAATTTTATAATTTCTATTTTTTACTCTCTTTCTTCTGATAATAATCTATTCATAACTTGACAGGCTAAATGCTTTTAAAAATAATAAAAATTACAACTAATTTTAAATGAATAAAAATAATTAGAAGCTTCAAGTGAAGAAAGAGTGATTTTTAGTATCAAAAAGATACTAAATTTTACAATCTAAAATGAACAAAATAAATATCAACCTACTATATTTAAATAAATTTTTTTGATAATTTAATCATGTATTAAATTATTTTTATTAATAAAATGCTCAAAGAGCACTAAAAAAATATAAATTATCTATATTTCTTAAATGTAAAAATAGTTTGTTATTTTTGTGCAAGACTCTATATTTTTATTGTTATTCATTTCTTAAACAAATTTTTAAATGCCTTGATATACTCAAAAATTTTTATCTTTTATTTACACTCTTATTGCATTAATACTTGAATATTTACTTAAATTTACTCAAAATCTTAATTAAGAGCTAATAAATTAAATTAATACTCCAAAAAAAGCTGATTAGTGAAATGTAAAAATAATTCAATTAAAAGACAACAAAGTTCAAATGTTTTTAAAAGGAAGAAATTACAATTCATTTTATATGTAAAACTTAAATGGTAAAATAAGTTAAACTTAGATTTCTTTATATTTTTTCAAAGATTTATTAATTTCACTGAATTTATTTTGTGGTTGAATTGACTATTAATAAGATGAGCACAAATGGATATTTTGATATCAAAAATTTCTTATAAAATATGTTAAAAACGTTTTTAAGTTTTATGATTTGTTTGTTTGTTTATTTGAGTCGCTTTTTAATCAATTCGCATTAATTAATCATTTTTTATGAATATCTTTCTTTAAAGAGATATCAAAAAAAAGCAAATTAATCAAAATATTTATAAAAAACTAATTAACTAACTTATTAATTTGAAAATTTTACAAAAAAAGATGGAATTGTTAACATTATTTTTTATTGTAGTTATGTGCGCTTTTGCATATATCTTAGGTTACCGTTAAAAGGAATAAGAAAATAGCTAGAGTTATAAGTCTAACACCACAAAGCAATACAATAGAGTAAACTTACTTTTAAGGTTTTGTTTTCTAATAATATAATTAATATTGCAAAACAAGATTAGCGAGGATCATTGTGATGAAGAAGCTTTAGTTGAAAGAACTCCTCAGCCAAAACCAGCTGAAGAAGTTAATAGTGAGAAAGATACATTGATTAAAGATTAACAAAAAGTAACATTTAATCTTAATTCAAATAGAATTAGCTTATAAGTTTGTTGTTTAGCTAGCTATAAATAATTCTCTTTAAAATTTAGGAAATTGACAGATTAATGAGATAGCTTACTGATTTTAAAAAGAGAGAGTAAAAAAATGTAGCAGAAATTTAGTATTTAAAAACGAAGATTACTTCTTCAACTGTAGGAACTTCATCAAACCCAAGCAACAATCAAGGGTCAGGTATATTAGTTTATAAAGGAATAATTATCAATCAGTAGTTATAAAATAAATTTAAAAAAACTAGATTTAATCACAGACAAAGGATTCACAGATTTATTGGATGAGGCTTCATAAAATTTAAAAGACAATGAAGATATTGATGAAGGTAATATCATAAAAAATTAAAAATTTTCCTGGAAATAACTAATATTTAAAATTTTAAAAAAAATTAGATGAACTCTCTAAGCAAATTGATTAATCATTATTATGAACTTATAATATAAACTGATATGTGCATAATCAATATACTCTATATTATTATATGTAGAATTCAATAAATATTTTCTAATATTATGTAAAAAAATCTCAAAATAGATAGATAAGCAAGATATTAATTAAGAAAATTATATCTACAAATACAGTTTATATATGAATAAATAAATATTTAGCTGATTTACTAAAAATATCCCATTTATTATCATTTATAGAATTAATTACATAATTTTTAATTACAAAAACTCATTATCAATTTAAAAAAATTAACAAAATTTTCAAGAAAATGAATATAATTAGTCAGTTAAAATATATTCTATATTATTTTAATTTGTAGAGTTCATGAAACAATTTATATTAACTTTTAATAAATTATATTTATAAACTATATTAAATAATTTATAAATCAAAAAGTTCTTTATTAATATTTTTTCATTGCATATTTTTTAAACTTATAAAACATACCAAAGTAGAATAATTGAGTAATTAAATAAATAATTAGACAGAAAAATTGTAGTTAGTTTATAAATTATAAATTTAAAATCAATTAAAATAGGAAAATTATATATACAAACAAAATTTATTTATAAATAATTTAATTTTTGTATTTAAAACAAATATATTCTTGATGATTAATATTGAATTAATTAAATATTTTCTCATTTTATATAAATAATTTACAAGTTATTAATTTAGAAAAATGATATCTTCAAATAAAACTTTGTTATTATAGAATTAATAATAAATATGCTTTTTACTTGTATTTGTTGAATTTATTACATCTTTTTTATTTAATCTTATGAAAATCTCTCAAAATAGATAAATAGATGTGAAAGTCATTAATATAAGAAAATCATACCTTCAAATAAAATAAAATATTTGACTTATTGATAATAAATGTGTTTTTGCTATTATTTGTAGAATTTATTAAATAGTTTTAGCCTTATGAAATGATTTACTAAAGTTTTGGAAAATCATACCATACAAACAAAATTAAATAGTTAGTTGATTTATAATAAATGAATTGTTTATTATTATTTGTATAATTTATTGCATACTTTTAATATTATGAAGATAAATAAATAAATATAGACATATTTAGATAGATATATGTTATAATTTTAGGAAAATTATATCTACTTTCAATAATTATTAATAAATAAATATTAAATTAAATACATTATTTAATTTAAACTTAAAAATAAAAAAGGTTAATACTTTAGCTGTGTTAGAAGAATAGAAATATTTTTAAAAGAAATAAACAAATAAACATATGATATTCTAGAATTCAAATTGTATTTGTTAAAATTAAGTTATTTTTTTTTCAAAAATAGTTTTTTTAATGCATCAGAATGTTTTACAAATTGAGATTAAACAACAATATTATTTCACCAAAAATGAAAATAATAAATTGACTTAATTAAATTTGCTTATCTTTCGATAATAAAAATAGTTTAAGTAACATTCTACTTATTTATTTTTATAATTTATCTAAATTATTTAAAAGCAATTTATTTTATTTAATATAGTTAATTATTATAAGCTTGATTGATTATGCTAAAAATTAATAGAGTGTTTAACAAATAGAGGACTAAGAGAAACACTTAAAAATAATATAATTGCTTGAGTTTACAATTTCTATGAGTTATTTATAAAGACCAAAGCAAGATTCAGTATGGACTTAACAAATAGAGTTCTCTCCTAGAATTAATCGAGGTAGCGAAGACTAGTATAAGCAAGGAACTTAGATAAATTTTTTGAGCAAACAAATAGATTTACCATCAATATCATCTAAGAATTCGAAGTGCTAATAACAAAATGTAGAAGAGAATACGAATTTTGGCAATTAAAGTAATAGAAAAAAGAAATTCTATCTTGCTAAGAAGCTCAATCAAGAAGTTATTAATGATATGATCAATAATAATGAGTAAGGAAATAACCAATAGTTATAAGTAGTTAATAATGCTAATCATTAGAAAAAACCATCTCATCATTTATCTCCTTTGACATCTCCAAGAAACTCTGATAAAGTAATTTATGAATAACCAAAGGAAGATTTAATACTATAATTAGATGTTCATGAAGATTAACTATCTTAGAAAAATATATAATGTCAGGACATTACTGCTGCACTGCCTTTATCAAAAAAAGTATCCATAGCTAGTAAATGCTAGGAAAATACCCTTCCTCAGATAAGTTAAAGAGAAATAAAAAAAAGCTACTCTTAAAATAATACATTGTAAGCATCACCTGATAATTCGAAGTAAAATATATTCAACACTAAAACTCTTAGCATAGAATAAAAGGGACCTAGATATGATGAAATAGGAAATATCATTTCAAGATCCTTAGTAGGAAAACCAGACTGGTTTTAAAAAAAAGATGGGTAATTTTTAGATCAAGAGAGATTAAAAGAAATAGGTGGAAATAAGAAGAATAGCTAGATAAAAAAATAAAATAGCTTTTCTACCCTTTCGAAATAGAAATCTGATAACAAAAGTAAAATTAAAAATAGAAACCTAACTAATAAAATGACAAAACGATAACTGCTTGACTAAATTGATGTAATTAAGTAAAGAATCAGCTTCAATTAAAAGCAAGAGGAATTAGATATATAATAATTATAAATAGACTAAAAAATGTAACAAACCAGAGATATTCGTATTATGTAAAAGCATGAAGATAATGAGCAATTTTGGTAAAAATTCATAGAAAAAACTTCAGATTAATTAAACAGAGACTTTTCATATTCGTAGCTTGTAAATATTTTTTATTCATTTCTTTCTAATTACAAGCAAATTTATTCAAATTTTATTAAAATGGAAAGATAGATGTTAACATTTTTAAATTAATTAATTTTAAAATAAATTTTAATAAATAAAATAGAATATTAAATATATTAAAACTGATATAAATTAAATTATGTGTTTTATTTTATAAAAATAGATTAGAAGTGATTATTATAAAAATATGAGAGAAGCTACTGAAGTTTTTAGTATTTGTAAGAGTGATTTAGAGAGGTATGGATCTAAATTATGGGAAATGACTTTAAGAAAAAGACAATCTAGAAAGTTGAATCTATATAATGATTTGGATAAATAAGAACCTGCAGATCTCATTATCACTCAGGATTTACCTCAGGCATTTTAATGCTCTTCTCTAACTGGTGAGAGGAAGGTTTTACAGTTTTCAAGGAAACCATTAATAACTGATCCTGTCGCTAATATATTAAATAACAGTAATACCTTTTAAAGTACTCATTAAAGATTACTTTAATTAAAAAATATTAGTGAAACATTGCATAACAATAATTTAAATAATCAGAATAGTTCTATTTTATAATAGAATTTTGGCTCTATGATAGAAGATTAATCTATTATAGAAGCTGATAACCACAATACAAGCAATATTAATGATACAGCAAGTGTTCCCATTTAGAATGAAAATAGAACAAAAAATTTAGTTGAAAATTATTAAGAATAGAGTTAAAAGGGATCACCTTATAATCAGCATACTCCAAATCATATGAGCCACTAACTAGCAAAGAGCTAATCTCAAAATATAAGCAATATAAATGTTTAAACAAAGAGCAACAGTAATGTGTAAAGTATTATGAAAAACAATAACTCCTAACTACAAATGAAAAAATCACATACACCATTTAAAAGTGCTAGCTTAAATTAATCTAATATCAGTTTTATGAATAGTACCTTTTAAGTAGCTTAATCATTATAATAGCCCTTTCAATCTTTTAGAGCTTCAAAATATTATGAGGAGAGGTTAGAAAGTATATAAGATTTAGTTAAAGATTACAAAACGATTTATCAACAAAATGCTGATTTGTAAGGATTAGCCGTAACCAAATATTTTTTTAACTTTATTTTTCATTTGAAAATATTTATTTTTTTTAATTTGATGTTTTAAAATCTTGTTTTAATTCAATTAAAAAGATTAAGAGGAAATAAAACAAAAAATACTTATTATTTTAAGTTAAAATTAATTCAGATTAGAAATTGATATTTTTGCATTTTATCTTTTATGGTTAAATATTCTTTTTTTTAAAAATAGGTTATAGGTGAGAGTTAACTTGAAAGAGAAATAGAAATGGTCAAAAAAGCAGATGAATATGCATTATTTTATAAGTTTAAATAGTAAGAAGATGAAAATTATAAAGAGGATGATTTGTTTTGAAATGATCTATCTATATGTCTGTCTATCTTTGCTATTTGTAATAAATTGTATTATTTTAATTATCAGGTTAGATTATTGCATCTTAGATTATTTTTTATCTTGTTGTATTAATAAATACCATGAAAATAATAAAATCAATCAAAAAAATAACAAAGAAAGCCTTCCAGTAGTTTTAAAAACCTAAAATAAAAAAAAGTTTTCTTTTTGTAAAAAAATAAAAGTGTTAAGTTATTTGTTTAATTATTATATTAAGGATAAGTGGTTTTTTTAAGAGTAGAGTAAATTGATTCTTAAAATTTTAAATTAAAATATGAAAAACCTAATATTATCCAAGATTAATTATGTTTTATTCATTTTTTTTTAAATTTAGGTAATCTAGCTTTATAAAATGAGTCTTAAAACAATATTATTATTAATTTTAAAAAAAAGATTTTCTATTCTTATTTTTCTCAATATTTTAGATTTGGCTATCTTTTCATTTCCTATAAAAAGTTTATTTTTTGTATTATTTTTCATAAATTATTACAAAATATTTTTTATTTGACTGTTTAAATTTATTTTTTTGGTCATATGCCATTTAAGCTTATTCCCAAATCTCTAAAACACTTTTTATTTAATTTTTTATCAATTGCCAGAAGAAGAAGAGGATGAAGGACTTGAATATTTAGATGGATTGATTTTAATGCCTAGACGAAAAGAATAATATGGGTAACTGCAGCAGCAAATATCAAGCCAATTATATATCATATAATTTGTCAAAAACTTTTATATAAAAGTCATATATTAAAGAAAAGTGAATAAATTTTTGATTCAAAAACAGAAAATTAGGTGAACTGAATATTCGATCGATATTAAATAAATCAAGGACAAATAATATATTTCATAAAGATAATTTATTTTTTAATAAGTGATTGGTTTGAATAAGTATCATAGTTTTTGAGGTAAATTTAGCTAAAATGAATAAATTAGTTTGTATTTTATTTAATATCATAAGTTTGATTAAGAAAGTATAAGATTAGTAAGATAGTGTTAACTATTATCAGATCTCTTGTGGAAGTCTATAAAATATTAAAGTTACTCTATGTTTGTTAAATTTATGTAGGGTAAATCTTGTTAAATATCCATAAATATTTATTTGTCTATCCTGGAATCATCCTTAAAAAATTAAATATGAATAATTTATGATTAATTTATTTAGCTCTATGAATAATCAAGTATTTCTTCTAAATTTATTTAGGAACTAAAATTGCCACTCAAGGAGTTAGTGAAAACAAAATATAAATTTTTTCTAGAATTTTTTTTATTTTTATTTTATTTTTTAAAAGGTACTTTTCTTACTTAAGTTTTGTTATATCCTTCAATTTAAATTCTATTTATTTACTTACCTTTTTAAAAAATTATCAATTTATCTCCAGTCAATAATTTTGAAATTTTTGGTATTTCATCAACACAAAATTTCCATTATTTAAATTTGCTGATTAATAAAAGTGGCTATATTGTTCTTCTACTAGAATCTTGAAAAGCAATAAATGTTACTCTGTCCTAATTTCTAATAAACTCAAAATACAAATTTAAAAGAAATGGTTAAATAATAGTTTTGAATTCACTAGAATTTCCAACAGAAGCTTCAAATATAAAAGTTAAGTCGTAATCTTTTTATATTTATCTTTGATTTATAATATGTATTTAATCTCTCATTTTTCCTATTGATAGGTTATTTTATAAAAGTATCTCATTTATATTGTTTATTATTTATTATTGCATGTATTATTCCAAATAGTAATTTTACTCTAAGCAATTAAAATAATGAATACAAGCATTTTTTAAATTGTTTTTCTTTTATTCAATTATTCCTTTAAAAAATTATACTTTTCCTTTCTATATCAAAAGTAGCTTTTCAAAATTATTTTATTAAGATTCTCTTTAATACTCCCTTAAAAGTAAAAAAAAGTTTGTTTCCTTTTACTAAATCTCAAAATTGGCTGTTGATAAATTTTAATAAAAATCTTACTATAATACATTTTCATGATTTGTATATGATGACAATTTTTATTCTAAATTATTAACAAGCTTTTCCAATTATTCAATTGGTGATTTATGGATCTTCAACTCCAAATAATTAGCTTAGGTAATTATTATAATGTCATCTGTAAACTCAATTAAGTTTTTATTTTTTAAGTACTAAATTAAATCTAAAACTATTTCAGTGTATTTAATTGCTTAATCTAATAAACATTTTTGTGTTTGCATCTTCTCAAATAACTTATAAGCCATAACTTCACTTGAAATAACATCATTTCTATCTATAATTGCTTCTTTTATTGTATGAGAGAGTAGAATCAGACTGATACAGACAATTATAATCTTCTATTTCTCCTCTTCTTAGCTTTTTACAAGATTGTTAAGACTCTTTTTCAATGAATCCATAAATTATTAAATATTAGCAAAACCCATATCAATAAAACAATAAATGATAGCAGATTCGTAGTAATAAAGAGCTTCTTAATATTATTTCTTTTTATAATAAAAATATCCAAGATTGAGAGAACTCAAAGACACTCCAAAATGATTTTTTAATTATCTAAATAACTTGTAAGCAAACGAATAATGAATGATACCTCTTTCTTCATTTACACTTGAATCTCTATTATTCATATTTTATTACTTCTAGAAGTCAGTTTTTTTAAAAGAAATTACTGATTAAAGTTAATAAAATGTATCTTTTATAATTTACATTTCCAAAAACATTGGATCTAGGTCTTACTCTAAATTAACCTTTAAAGATAATCGTAATGATTGAAAAGATTGTTTTGAAATAGACAAGCTTTTTTCACTATTAATTAGCTATTTATTATTATAGATAGTTGGTTCTATTTGTGTTTTAACTTTATCACTTTTACTTTATTATGTGTTATTTTAGATAGGAATCTCAGTATATGCTTTGGTTTTCTCATTATTACATTATTATGTGTTATTTTAAATTGGTACTTCCATTTTTGTTTTGAAATTTAACTAGGTATTTTGAAATGAGTGTAAAACATTAACATTTTCTTCTTCGTTTTCAGTTTTATTTTGCAAACTGCTTATATTTAAATTATCTAAATGAAATTCCTACATTTTTTTCTATGCTTATAAGTGGTTAATGTGTACTTTTTATTATTATTACTAATTCAAGAAAAAAGTATTTAAAAACTATTCATTTTATAAGTTAGAAAATGTTTAATCTAATATTGTTTCATCTTAGAATTTACTTTAAATTAATTTTAAGTCAAAACTTTGCTAACATTAAATCTGAGGAGATCTTTGTGATCTATAAACCAAACTATCGTTTGTAGGATTTTTTACCTTAATCTTAAAGTTTTTTTATTTTTATTAGCATGAATTTTAAGATTTTAAAGTTGTTAAAGTTTATAAATTCTTTAAATTTTATTTTTGTTATAGAGTCTATTTCCTAAACTAATCCGTATTTTATTATACAAAAATAGTTAATTTTTCTAAAGGAATCACTACTTAATGTAAAAGAAAGGCTCTAAATTATAAGATTAAAATCAAAACTATACCAATTACAAAACAGGCTTAAATAAAAAAAATTATTTTGTAATTTGTATTATTTGTAAAATTCAAAACTTTAAAAATCCCAGAAATATCCTCTCTCACTTGACCGATCATCAATACTTATTTGGATACAATAGTTTTATTCCAAACATTCTATGGTGATACTATTTCTATTGGATATATTAGGCTGATCCTTAATTTAATTAAAAACTATGTAAGAAAATTTGTTAGTTTATGTTTAAAAAATTTTTTGTTAAAATTCAAAATTGTTTGACATTTACATATACTTAGTAATCTCCAAAAATATATCCTACTTAAATTAATACTTTTTTAAAAATTAATACCAATATAAAAATTCATAAGAAAAATTTTTAATAGATGGAGATAAATAATTAAAGAGGATTTACATTATTTCAAATTAATATTAATCTTTTATATTTGAAAATGATATTTTTTTGTTTGTGATAAAAATTTTTTAAATTATTGAATAAAATAAATCAAAAAAATTACTATGGTTTCTTATTCTTACTCCAAAATTGATAAAAAGGAGTAATATTTTGCTTATATTTTATATCATATTGGCCTGTAAGGGAATAGTCCTTAGAATCTTAAATTAATCTCACAAAATTATAATATTCATCATCAGTAAAATTACTATCAGTCTTATTGAATTCTAAATCTTACCATGGAACTATTGTCCTTTCCTTAAAATTCCAGTATCTGTGATAATAAACCTACATACAGATATGTTTAAAAGTACATTAAGTTTGATAAGAAATAATTAATTTTTAAAATTTTAACATACAGTATTTTTGTCTTCATGAAAAAGTACAGAGTGAGTATCAAAATTATTATCAATTTCATCTTTTTCTTTTTAGGTAAACAAATTATCTATGAGATTCTATATATTAAAATCTATAGAGATAATGCTTATATTATTTCCATTAGGGTCATCTATACGAGCTGAAGCTGTCATTATTGTTGCATGAGAGAACAAGTCTTTGTATGGTTTATTAAACTGATTTCCTTTTGATATTTAAAGAATTCATATACCTAAAAAAATTATATTTTAATACCTGGATGTAGCAAAGAATTTTAATACCATGGACGGCATCTTGGATCATAAGGTTCTGTATAATTATGTCCCATACAATCAAGATATTAATTTGAAGAAAAATTTGTATTTCTACATAAAAAATATATCAATAAATTTATAATGAAAATATTAACATTACTTTCCAGGAGTTACTGCCATGAAGCTATCATTAAAAGAATTATAAACTAATGTAATGTTGATAAAATCATTTCTTCTTGAGTAAATTGCAGATTTAGCAAAGAATAAAAAATCCCAATTCTAATAAAAATTACATAAAAAATAATCATTTGTTTTACTAATACCAACAAAATTAAAATTAATTATTTACTTATCTTAATACAATTTAATTTGCAGCTTGAAAACTATCATATGTAAAATTAGTTCTATGAAAAAATAATTCTACTTTGAAAGAATATTCATTATCTGAAAAAGCATCATAAATATATTAAGGACATAAGCCATGATTTAAATTATGGTATGAACAATTCTTGTATAGCCTAGTATCATTAGGTTCTAATTTTTATTTGAATAGATAACTTAAAATTGATTTAAGTTTATTCAAAAATTACATTTCACTTATTTACTATAAAATTTATAATAGAGTCCTTATTATACAATCAAATCGTTGGAAATCTATGATTTTAAAATTATTTTTAGAGTAAAATTTAGAAATTAATTTACCTTTTATAAATGAATCTAACTTATAAGCTTATTAACATAAACTGAATTATGGAGCAATTACATTTCGCTTACCTTTAGATAAGCGATTGATAAATCTTCCCTTTTTAATAATTCATAATCAAATTATTTTTAATTGTCAAATTAATTAATGAATACCAATCTTTAAGACTACCATAAATGCTTTTATAATAAATAAAAAATAACATTATGACACCTATTGATAGTGGAAAGCCTACTGAGAAAATAAACTATATGAGCATATTTACTTTACTATTAAATCCTATTATTTTTAGCAATATTTTTAATATTTTTGTAAGCTAAGTTAATCACAATTAATATAGACTTTTAACTTGACAATTATTGTTTTATTAAAATATTACTTGTTAAATTGATTAATTTTTACTACAATTACTTACTTAAATTTCCACATTTAATATACAAATATATATTCAATTATATTAATTATTCAAATACAGACAGAAATTTCTTAGACATTTTTCTTTTTCAATTATATTAAAACTAAAATAAAATAAATGCAATATTAAAATGATTTAACTTTTTAAAATTTTTATTGATCAGATAAATATTTTTCATTTTTTAATAATTTTAAAGTAACCATTTTTATTTATTTATTTCCTCTTTGCATGTTAACCAGTGATTTAATTTTAGTTTCATAAAATTTCTGTAAAACTGAGACCGTAGAAACTAGAAGTATAATTTTTTCTTTTTTGACTGGGACAGACATCACTTTTTTTAATATATATGCATTGAACCCAACACTATTTCTTGAGAAATTTAAAGCTAAAACCTAGCTGTTTTTATAACATATCTGCTAATTAACACAGCTTATTAATTTTTATCAAAATGAAAATTTTTAAATCTAATTGCAAAAAAAATAAATACTTCAACAGCAATTATATATCATATAATTTGTCAAATACTTTAATCAAAAAGTCATATATTAAAAAAAGTGAATAAATTTTTGGTTCAAAAACAGTAAATTAGGTAAACTGAATATTCGATCGATATTAGATAAATTAAGGACAAATCATATATTTCATAAAGATAATTTATTTATAAATAAGTGATTGGCTTGAATAAGTATCATAGTATTTGAGGTAAATTTCACTAAAAAGAATAAATTAGTTTTTATTTTATTTAATGTCATAAATTTGATAAAGAAAGTATAAGATTAGTCAGATAATGTTAACTATTATCAAATCTCTTGTGGAAATTTATAAAATATTAAAGTTATTCTATGCTTGTTAAATTTATGTAGGGTAAATCTTGTTAAATATTCATAAATATTTATTTGTCTATTCTGGAATCATCCTTAAAAAATTAAATATGAATAATCTATTATTAATTTATTTAGCTCTATGAATAATCAATTATTTCTTTTAAATTTATTTAGGAACTAAAATTGCCACTCAAGGATTTAGTGAAAATAAAATATAAATTTTTTCTAGAATTTGATTAATTTTTATTTTCTTTTTAAAAAAGTTCTTTTCTTACTTAAGTTTTGTTATATCCTTCCAACTTACTTTTATCAGTTTACTCGCGAGATAGTTATTTTTAAAAATTTATCTATTTATCTCCAGTCAATAATTTTGAAATTTTTGGTATTTCATCAACACAAAATTTCCATTATTTAAATTTGTTGATTAATAAAAGTGGCTGTATTGTTCTTCTATTAGCATCTTGAAAAGCAGAAAATGTTACTCTGTCTTAATTTCTAATAAACTCAGAATAAAAATTTAAAAGAAATGGTTAAATAATAGTTTTGAATTCACTAGAATTTCCAACAGAAGCTTCAAATATAAAAGCTAAGTCGTAATCTTTTTATATTTATCTTTGATTTATAATATGTATTTAATCCATCATATTTCCTATTGATAGGTTATTTTATAATAGTATCTCATTTATATTGTTTATTATTTATTATTGTATGTAATATTCCAAATAGTAATTTTACTCTAAGCAATTAAAATAATGAATACAAGCATTTTTAAAATTTTTTTTCTTTTATTCAATTACTCCTTTAAAAAATTATACTTTTCCTTTCAATATCAAAAGAAGCTTTTCAAAATTATTTTTTTTAGATTCTCTTTAAAGCTCCCTTAAAAATTAAAAAAAATTTGTTTCCTTTTTCTAGATTTCAAGATTGACTGTTGATAAATTATTATAAAAATCTTATTATAATACATTTTCATGATTTGTATATGATGACAATTTTTTTTCTAAATTATTAATAAGCTTTTCCAATTATTCAATTGGTAATTTATGAATATTCATCTCCAAATAATTAGCTTAGATAATGATTATTATTTCATCTTTAAATATAAATAATTTTTTATTTTTTAAATACTAAATTAAATCTAAAACGATTTCAGTGTATTTAATAGCTTAATCTAATAAACATTTTTGTGTTTGCATCTTTTAAAATAACTTATAAGCCATAGATTCACTTGAAATAACATCATTTATATCTATAATTGCTTCTTTTATTGTATGAGAGAGTAGAATCAGACTGATACAGACAATTATAATCTTCTAATTCTCCTCTTCTTAGGGTTTTACAAGGTTATTAAGACTCTTTTTCAATGAATCCATAAATTATTAAATATTTGCAAAACCCATATCAATAAAGCAATAAATCATAGCAGATTCGTAGTAAGCAAGAGCTTCTTAATATTATTTCTTCTTATAGTAAAAATATCCAAGATTAAGAGAACTCAAAGACACTCCAAAATGATTTTTTAATTATCTAAATAACTTGTAAGCAAATGAATAATGAATTATACCTCTCTCTTCATTTACAGTTGAATCTCTATTATTCATAATTTATTACTACTAGATATCAGTTTTTTTAAAAGATATTACTGATTAAAGTTAATAAAATGTATCTTTTATAATTTACATTTCCAAAAACATTGGATCTAGGTCTTACTCTAAGTTAACATTTTAAGATAATTGTTATGATAGAGAAGATTGTTTAGAAATAGATAATTTTTTCTCACTATTAATTATATATTTATTATTTAAGATAGTTGGCTCTACTTGCGCTTTAACCTTATCACTTTTACTTTATTATGTGTTATTTTAGACAGGAATATCATTATGTGATTTGATTTTCTCATTATTGCATTATGATGTATTATTTTAAATTGGCACTTCCATGTATGTTTTAAAATTTAACTAAGTATTTTGAAATGAGTATTAAACATTGCAATTTTCTTCTTCATTTTCAGTTTTATTTTGCAAACTGCTTATATTTACATTTTCTAAATGGAATTCCTACTTTTGTTTCTATACTTATAAATGATTAATGTGAACTTTTTATTATTATTACTGATTCAAGAAAAGAGTATTTGAAAACTACTTTTCATTTTATAAGTTAGAAAATGTTTAATCTAATATTGTTTCATCTTGGTATTTACTTTAAATTAATTTTATATCGAAACTTTACTAACATTAAATATGAGGAGATTTTTATGATCTATAAACCAAACTTTCTTTTGTTGGATTATTTCCTTTGATCTTAAAGTTTGATTTTTTTTATTAACATAAATTTTAAGATTTTAAAGTTGCTAAATTTTATAAATTTTTTAAATTTTCTTTTTGCAATAAGCTCTATTTAGTAAACTAATCCATATTTTATGATACAAAAATAGTTAATTTTTCTAAAGGAATCACTACTTAGTGTAAAAGAAACGCTCTAAATTATAAGGTTAAAATCAAAACTATACCAATTACTAAACAGACTTAGATAAAAAAAATAATTTTGTAATTTTAATTATGCGTAAAATTCAAAACTTTAAAAATCCCAGAAATATCCTCTCTCACTAGACCGATCATCAATACTTATTTTTACACCATAGTTTTATTCCAAACATTCTACGGAGATACTATTTCTATTGGATATATTAGACTAATGCTTAATTAATTAAAATATATTAATTTAGATAATAAAATTTGGAAATTTATGTTTTTATAAAATTTTTTGTTTAAATTGATAATTCTTTCATATTTATATGTACTTAGAAATCTCCAAAAACATATCCAATTAAAATTAATACTTTTTAAAAAATAAATCCATAAAATTAATACAAAAATTCATAAATTATTTTTAATAGCTGGAGATAATTAAGGAGGATTTACATTATTTATAACCAATATAAATCTTTAATATTTGAAAAGGATATTTATTAGTTTGTGATATAAAATTTTTAAATTATTGAATAAAATAAATAAATTACTATGGTTTCTTATTTTTACTCCAAAATTGATAAAAAGGAGTAATATTTTGCTTATATTTTATATCATATTAGCCTGTAATGGAATAGTCCTTAGAATCTTAAATTAATCTCACAAAATTATAATATTCATCATCAGTAAAATTACTATTAGTCTTATTGAATTCTAAATCTTACCAAGGAACTATTGTACTATCCTTGAAATTCCAGTATCTGTGATAATAAACCTGCATACAATATGTTTAAAAGTATTTAAAGTTTCATAAGAAATAAATCGTTTATAAAATTTTAACTTACAGTATTTTTGTCTTCATGAAATAGTACAAAGTGAGTATCAAAATTATCAATTTCATCTTTTTCTTTTTAGGTAAACAAATTATCTATTAGATTCTATATAATAAAGTCTATAGAGATAATGCTTATATTATTTCCAAACGGATCATCTATACGAGCTGAAGCTGTCATTACTGTTTCATAAGTGAACAAGTCTTTGTAAGGTTTATTAAACTGATTTCCTTTTGATATTTATATTTAAAGAATTCAAATACCTAAAAAAATTTCTATTTTAATACCTGGATGCTGCAAAGAATTTTAATACCATGGACGGCATCTTGGATCATAAGGTTCTGTATAATTATACCCCATACAATCAAGATATTATAGTGAAGATAAATTAGTTTTTCTACATAAAATATATTTCAATAAATTAAAAACGAAAATATTAATATTACACTCCAGGAGCAATTGCCATCATGGTATCATTAAAAGAATTATAAACTAAAGTAATGTTGATAAGATCATTTCTTCTTGAGTGAATAACAGATTTAGCAAAGAATAAAAAATCCCAATTCTGATAAAAAATACATATAAAATAATAGTTTAATACTAACAAAATGAAAAATTAATTATTTACTTATCTTAACACAATTTAATTTGCAGCTTGAAAACTATCATAAGTAAAATTAGTTCTATGAAAAAATAACTCTACTTTAAACGAATATTCACAATCTGAGAGAGCATCATAAATATATGAAGGACATAGACCATAACTTAAATTATGATATGAACAATTCTTATATTACCTGTTTTCATTAGGTTCTAATATATTGAATTAGATGCTTTAAATTTATTTAAGTATTATTTAAAAAATTACATTTCACTTATTTACTAAAAAATTTATAGTAGAGTCCTTATTGTACAATCAAATCGTTGGATATCTATTGTTTTTAAATTATTTTTAGAGTAAGATTTAGAAGTTAATTTACCTTTTGTAAATAAATCTAGCTAATAAGCTTATTAACATAGACTGAATTATGGAGCAGTTACATTTAGCTTACCTTTAGATAAGCGATTGATAAATCTTCCCTATTTAATAATTCATAATCAAATTATTATTAATTGTCAAATTAATTAATGAATACCAATCTTTGAGACTATCATAAATGTTATTATAATAAACTAAAAATAACATTAAGACACCTATTGATAGTGGAAAGCCTACTGAGAATATTAACTATATGAGCATTTACTAATAAATCCTATTATTTTTAGCAATATTTTTAATATTTTTTTAAGTTAAATTAATCACAATTAATATTGACTTTTAACTTGACAATTATTGTTTTATTAAAATATTACTAATTAAATTGAAAAACTTTTACTACAATTACTTACTTAAAATTTATATATTTAAGTACAAATATATATTCAATTATATCGATTATTCAAACATAGACTGAAATTTCTTAGACATTTTTCTTTTTCAATTATATTAAAACTAAAATAAAATAAATGCAATATTAAAATGATTTAACTTATTAAAATTTTTTTTAATCAAATAAAGATTTTTCATTTTATAAGAATTTTAAAATAGCCATATTAATTAATTTATTTATTTATTTCCTCCTTGCATGCTAATTGATTGAGTTTAAATTTTAGAATTATATAAATTGGTTTTTAATTAATATTAAGGAAATATGAAATAAAGAGCATAGTGTTTTAATCATAATTATAATTATTAAATATTTAAAATGTAAAATATTTTATTATTATAAAAATTCCTTAAATAATAATTAGCTTTTTTCTTCATATTAACCAAAAAAATATTTTAAAACTTTAAATGATTGTATTTTGCAAATAAATTAATTTGTAATGCTGATTTTATAATATGAAAGTTAATTTATCCTTTTTTGAGTTAATTAGTTTTATTTTGAAAACATTATACAAATAGCAATTTATTGGTAGAAAAGTAAATAAATAAATAAAATAATTATTTTAATTTTATTTTGTTTTTTAAATGTATATTTTATTCATTTCATAAATTAGATGAAGAAAGTATAAGATTAGTTAGATAATATTAACTATTGTCAGATCTCTAGTGTAAATCTATAAAATATTATAGCTGATCTAATTTTGTTAAAATTAAAAATGGTTAGTCTTGTTAAATTTCCAGATATGTTTTCTAGTCTATATTATAGCTTTAATCGTTTGAAAGCTGCAGGTGTATTATTTATTATTATTAATTTGTCGATTTTCCTATATTTTATATAATTTATAATATATTTTGCTCATAATTCAAATTAAGAGTTGATGAATTTGTGAATATGAAATACAAATTTTTTCTCATATTTTATTAGTTTTAAATTTAATTTAAAAAAACCTATGATTTAATTTATTTGCTATTGCAATCTTATTAAAATTTAGTTTTAATTAATTGTTTATCCTGATCATGTTAATCTTTAGATTTTTAATTATTGAAATTTATATATTGATCCTCTGTTAATAATTTAGAAATTTTTGGTACCTCATCAATACAGAACTTCCATTATTTGAATTTACTGATAGGTAAAAGAGGTTAAATTGTACTGTTATTTTTATTTTAGAATGCAATAAAAGTTATTCTGTCTTAGTTTGTTATAAATTAAAGATACATATTTAAAAGAAATTTTTAAATAAAAAATTTGAATTCGTAGGATATTCCAAGAGTAGCTTCAAAAATAAATGCTAAATCATAAACCTTCTTTGTTTATCTTTGATTTATCATATTAATTTAATCTATTATATTTTCCATTTATAAATTATTTTGTAAAAATATGTCAGTTATATTGTTAATTATTTTTTATTAGATGTATTTTTCGAGATAATAATTTTGTTTTAAGCAATTAAAATAATGAACACAAGCATTTTTAAAATTCTTTTTCTTTTGTTCAATTACTCCATTAAAAAAATTTAATTTTCCACTCAATATCAAAAGAAGCTTTTCAAAATTATTTTTTTCAAATTCTCTTAATAACTCTTTTTTAGGCGTAACATTTTTCTAATCTAAATTTTTATCACTAAATTTCTTAAAAGGTGATACTGCTTATGTAGAAAATTAATTTAATTAAGAATCTAGCAATTTAACTTATAAATATTTTTTTTTCTCAATTTTTTATTCTAAATTTTATATCATCATTTCAACTTCTTCAACTGGAGCAAAATCATGAATGATTTCTAAGTAGTTGGTTTCAATTATTATAATTATTTCATCACTTAATATTGTTTTATTTAAAAGAATAAGTTATTAAGCAATATTCAAAACAGTTTAAGCGTAAAATAGAGCTAATTTCAGTTAATTTTTTTGCACTTAAAAGTTAGAAAAAAATATTTTGAATACATTTTTATTTCCAAGTAGATCATTTTTATTATGGATTACTTCTTTTATTGTAAGTGATGAAAGAATCAAGCTGGTGCAAATAATAGTAAGTTTTTAATTGATTGCTTCTTAACTTTTACAATACTAGATAGAACTTTGTTTCCATTAGCTCATAAACTCGTGAATGCTTGAGAAGCCCATATCAATTATACAATGAATCATAGCAGATTCATAATAAATAAGGGCCTCTACAAAATCATTCTTTTTATAGCAGAAATACCCTAAATTAAGAGAGCTTAAAGCTACTCCAAAATTATTTTTTAATTATCTAAATAGCTTATAAGCAAATGCATAGTGAAGGATACATCTCCCTTCATCTTGGTTTTCTTCCATATTTTTTATTTTAGAGTATTATTGTATGTCATTCTTTTTAAATGATATAACTGATTAAAGCTAATAAAATGTGTCTTTTATAATTTACATTTCCAAAAACATTGGATCTAAATCTTCCTCTAAATTAACTTTTTAAGGTTGATCGCTTATTTTGTAATTATTTTTTTAATCATTATTATTTAAAATTTAATTTAGTTTTTCAAATTACAGTTTATTTTTAAGCTTTAAATATTAACTAGTTTCTGCCATCTATGCTTTTTGTTCTATATTAAAATAAGAAATTTATCTCTCTTCATTTAAATTTTCAAGTCTAAAAACACTTTAATCTTTTTCAGTTCTGTTTTGCATAGAGCTTGAATTATATTTTTCTTAGTAGCTCTCCTATTTGAAAAGTTCTTCTTATTTATTCTTAAATTTAATATTATCACATTTATTTTAGCGTATATTATCAAACCTTACTTCCTCATTGTTAAGTTGAAAAGTTTTGTTTGTTAATAATTAGAAATTTGTACTAATTTAATTCTTTATATTAGGAGATTTATCTATTTTAAGAGATAAATTCTCTTAGTTGTTGCTTTTCCGTTTGCTTAATTTTATTTATTTTTTCAAATCATAATTTAAAGATTTATTTGACATATCAGTCTAATATATTTTTTAATATTATTTCTCTTTGCTATTGTTTTGATCTCTGAACTAATCTGTATTCTAATTTATAAAGACTGTTAATTTTTCTAAAGGGATCTCAACTTAGTATTGTAGGATTGCTGCGAAATGCAATGTTAAAATTATAATAATAGCCAAAACTATCGAAGTTTCAACAAAAAGGATAACCTTATAATTAGTGTCATGAGTTAAATTAATAATTTTGAAAATTCCTGATATATCCTCTCTTACTTTTGCTACCATTAATACTTATTTACTTACCATTGTTTAATTCCAAACGTTCTATGGAGATACTATTTGCAAAGGATAAATCAAGCTCATGCTATATTTTTTAATTAATATGTATTATTATATACTTATTAAAATAAATTTTAATGCAAATTATTGTTTAAACATTTTATTTTATAATTTTTTATGTTCTATTTTTATAATTGTAACTGATTTATTAGTAAAAAAAGCTTGATAAAATGACTTTCTTCAAAAAGGGCAAAATTGCTGAATGAAATAGATTAAATCTTAAATAATTTATTTACTATGGTATTTGATTCTTTGTCCAAAATTGAAAAAATTAAGTCACATTTACATAAGATTCTATATCATATTAACCTGTAAGAGAGTAGTCTTTTGAATTTTAAACTAACATGGTAAATTTACTATATTCATTCAGATCATAATCCGAATTATTAAATTCAAGATTTTACCATGAAACAATAGTCCTTTCGTTAGCATTCCAATTTGGATGGTAGTAAACCTTTAATAGAATAAAATAAATACCATAAAATAAGAATAAATTTTATACTGTATTTTAATCTTGATGAAATAAAACAGAATGAGTGTCGAAGTTAGAACTTTGGTCTTACCGCGCAAAGAGATTATTTATGAGATTTGCAATTATAAAATCAACAGAAATAATGCTTATGTTATTTCCCAAAGGATCATCTATACGAGCAGAAGCTGTCATGATAGTTGTATGAGTAAAAAAATCTTAGTATGGCTTAAAAAACTGATTTCCTGTTGAGATTAAAATTTAATTATAAGAATAAAGTGCAAAAATTATATTTTAAAAAAGTACCTGGATGCTGTAAAGCATTTTAATACCATTCTCTACATCTAGGGTCGTAAGGTTCCTTATATTGGTTTCCCATACAACTTAGATAATTTACTGAAGACAAATTTGTTAGCCTATTCAAAAAAAAAATTAGCTTTAATAAATGAAAAATGAATTACTATCCTGGAGTAATTGTTAAAAGGCTATCATTAAATGAGTTATAGACTATAGATATATTAATTAGATCATTTTTCCTAGCTTAAATGGCTGATTTAGCAAAGAAATAAAAATCCCAATTCTAATAAATTGAAATAAATGGTTAATGCTTTGTTTCTTTTACAAAGTAGAAATTAATAATTAATTATTACTTTTCTTAATCTAATTTAACCCTCTGGCTCAAAACTATCATATGTAAAATTAGTCCTATGGAAAAAAAGGTCAACTTTAAGTGAATATTAACCATCTGTTGTGAAGGCATCGTAAATATATTGTGGACATTTACCATAATTTAAGTATGCATATGAGCAGTTTTTATGTTATCTAAAGATACTTTGTTCTGATTTTCAAAAAATAAAATAAAATATAGAATCGATTCTAATCTTATTGTTTACACTTAATTTATTCGTTTATAAATTTATAGTAGAGTCCTTAGTATACAATTAAGTCATTAGAAATCTATTATTTATTTTCAAACTATTTAGTCATATGTGAGTCTTCGTAATTAAATATTTACCTTTTATAAGTGAATTTAACTAACTAACTTATCAACATAGACTAAATTGTGAAGTATTTGCATTTAATTAACCTTTAGATAAGCAGTTGATAAATCCTCCCTTTATGATTATAAATTAACAAAATGTTATAAAATGTACAAATAAATACCAATCTTGAAGACTATCATAAATACTTCTATAGTAAAGAATGAATACTAATGAAACACCAATAGATAATGGTAAGATTACTGATAGTATCAGTTATGTTAGCATACGCATTTATTATAAAATTTGATATTATTCTTATTTAGATTTTTATAAGTATATAAATTTAATTGTTTTGTTTCTCAGAAAATTTTCTTTGGTTAAGACAATTATGATGGATTTTATGAATGTTTAATTTTTTATTACAAAGAAAAAACTAGAATACAAAGTTTTTATTGTAATTTTTATAATATATTTCGATAATTATAATACTGAAAAAACAATCAATTTCAATAAATTTTTTCATCATTTTAAAATAAATTGTTATCTTTTGATAATTTGTACCTATATTCAATTTTAACACAATATTTAAGTATTTTAAAAATATAAAAAACCAGATTGCACACAAATAAAGTAATGTAATATTTTTGATACCAACTAATTATCATTAAAATAATATTTTTTAAAAATTTATTTTTCTTAAATACTAAAAATAAATAAATTTAAAATATGATATTTATTTCAAATATAAGAAGAATTACATTAAAATAATTTAATAAATATAATTATTAGAGATTTTCATAGATTAGATTCAGAAAATAAAAGATTAGTGAGATAAAATTAGCTATTTTCAGATCTTTTATGAAAATCAATGAAATATTGAAGTTATTAAACATCTGTTAAATGCAAAAAGGGCTAATCTTATTAGATGTCCTTAAAAATTTATTAATTTTCTTTTAAAATTTGATCTTTAATTAGCTAAACATAGATATATTTAGAATTTAATTTAATTTGATTTCTAGTTAAATCTCTACATAAATGTTAAGGGTTTACTTTACTATTTTAAGAGTTTGTAAAAATTATGTACAAGATTCTTCGATTATTTTTGTTTGATTTTTATTCTTTTTATAGGAATGTTTATTAGCCAATTTATGAATTAACTTTTTTTAATGGTGTTTTGGCTGAATCTAGTGGCAACATGGATATGTTGCTTTATTATAAATCAAAATTTATGTAGTCATCTTATGTTAATTATTTTGAGAATTTTGGTATTTCTTCAATACAAAATTTCCATTGTTTAAACTTGTTAATAGGCAGAAGGGGTTATATAACACTTTTATTTTTATTTTAGTAGGCAATAAAAGTTATTCTGTCCTTGTTTCTGATAAATTTTGAATACATTTCTAAAAGAAAAGGGGAAATATTATTTTTGAATTCTAAAGATGCACCCACTTTTCCCTCAACTATAATAGCAATGTCATAAACTTTTTTTATTTATTTTTAATTCATTATAATTATTTCTTTCTTCAAATTCTTGATAGACAAACTGTTTTTTTAGAATATCAGACAAGCATTTTCTATAACCTTTTTCTATATTGTAACCTCTAAGTAATAATATTCTTCTAGACATTTTAAGTAATGTAGGCAGGCGTTTTTGTAGTTTTTTTTCTTTTACTATACATACCCTATCAGAAATTCTAATTTTCCTTCTAAAATTGAATTTATTTTTTCAAAATCATTTTCTAAATCTTCTTAATTATTTGCTTCTTAATTGAATGAAAAATTTTAGATTTCCTATTAGTTATATTAGTTAGAAGGTGATTTTGAGATTGCTCCTAAAAATTAGTTTAAATACAAATCTTAATTTTTTTTTCTTTTTCCTATTTAATGATGATGCATTTTCTTCTATAAGTTTTAAAGCAATTTTTCAGCTTCTTCAAGAGATTCTTCTTCTATTAAGATCTCAACATAATTAGTCTAAATTATCATCATAATTTGATCTGTAAATATTTCTTAGTTAAGTTTTTTTAATTAACTTACTAATTCAGAACCTATTTCAACATAAAACTTTGCTAAATCAAGCCAACTTTTTTTCATTACTTTACTTTTTAAAAAGTTTGATACTATTTCTTTATTTTTTTAAAGGTCTTTTCTATCTAGAATTACTTCTTTTATAGATACAGATTACAACATTAAACTGACACAAATAATAGATATCATTTAATTTTACGCTTATTTGGTGTTTAGCTAAATAAGTCCTTTTTTCCATTAATCTATAAAAGCTTAAATATTTGAAAAACCCAACTATATTATACAGTGAATCATAGCTGATTCATAGTAAGAAATTGCCTGTGTAAAATCACTTTTTTTATAGCAAAAATATCCTAAATTAAGAGAGCTTAAAGCTACTCCAAAATTATTTTTTAACTATCTAAATATTTTATAAGCAAATGCATAATGTAAAATACATCTTCCTTCATCTATACTTTCATCAATATTTGTCATTTGCGAATATTATTATAAATCACTTCGCTTGAAAGATATAACTGATTAAAGTTAGTAAAAAGCTTCTTTAATAATTTGCATTTCCAAAAATTTAGGTTCAAGATCTGATTATATATTAAAGTTTTAAACTAAAACAGAACTTTTACCAAAAGTCGAAATTCTTGATCTTGAAAAATTTGTGCTGTTATCAATTAGTTTCTTTTATTGTAATTAGTCTTTATTTTCAGATTTTATAGTTTATTTTAAAAAATCTTAAAAATTATTTTCATCTTTTTTAATTGTATTTCCATTTTCTGTTTTATTCTGATTAAAACTTAATTCATCCAAATACTTTACTTGAAATTTGCTTTGTACACTATATCGTTTATTAAATGCAGAGTAATGTTTTTAAATATTGTTATTAATTTTAGAAGTCTATGAAGCATTTAAACTTGCTGAAGGTGTTAAATCATATTTTATATCATCTCGAATTAATAAATAATTACTATTTTGCATAATTTTAAAATCCAAACTCTAATTGTTAACGTTATGAGTTGATTTATCAAACTTTGTTGTTGAGTTATCGATTTTCTCATTTTGACTATATTCTTTTTTATTTATTTTCTAAAATATCTATTCTGTTTCGTTTTATTAATATTTTTTAACCTATTATGCATTTTAGTATTTAAACTAATCAGTATTTTATATAATAAAAATCTTAAGCTATTCTATGGGTACCAAAACTTGATATTTAAGTATTGCTGCATAATGTAATACTAAAATTATTATAATGAAAACTATTAAGCCAACTTAAACACTAAGTATTAGAGCATAATTAGAATCATGAGTTAAGTTAAGAACTTTAAATATCCCTGATGAATCTTCTCTTACTTTACCTACCATTAACACTTACTTTTTTATCATAGTTTTATTCCAAACATTTTAAGGACTTGTAATTTCTATTGGATAAGTCAAACTAATGCTATAATTATTTTTTTAATTAAAAATATTTTATTATTTTTTATTTAAGAGTGGTTGATTCAAATTTTTTTAATAAATTTAAAAATTATTTTATTTAAAAAAAAAAAGAATGAAATTTAAAAAATTACAAAAAAGAAAATAAAATCAACCCTCGTAAAAATTCTAAAAATTTCACAATTAAATTTTTAATAAAAAATATATTTTTATATAGAATGATAATTTATTTACTAAGGTTTCTTATTTTTAGTCCAAAACTGATAAAATTAAGTAATATTCTGAAGATGATCTATCTAATACTAACCTTAAATAGAATAATCCTTCGAAGATTAAACCTATCTTACAAAATTATAGTATTCATCATTTGTATATGGACCATATGTCTTATTGAATTCTAAATCTTACCATGGAACTATTGTCCTTTCATTAGCATTCCAATTTTTGTGATAATAAACCTTCACAATATTTAAAAAAATAAATTTAAGAATAAATTTAAAAAAAATAAATATATATTTATATCTTACTGTATTTTGATCTTCATGAAATAAAACAGAATGAGTATCTAAGATGCTATTGAGTGAGCTTTAATCTTACTCAACAAACAACTAGTTGATAAGGTTGCCAATTAGAAAGTCAACTGAAATAACACTTAAATTATTTCCTTATGGATCATCAATACGCGCTGAACCTGTCATTACAGTTGTTTTTGTGAATAAATCTTAGTAAGGCTTATAAAATTGGTTTCCTTTTATATATTTTTGAAATAATTAAAAAATTAAATAGTTAGTTCTACTTTGAAAATATATACCTGGATATTACATTGCATTTTAATACCATCCACGGCATCTTGGATCATATGGTTCCTTATATTACTTGCCCATGCAATCCAAGTAATTAATGGAAGATAAATTAGTTAACCTATTTATGCATAAAAAATTCATTTTTTTGAGTTAAAGTTTTAAATAAAATTACTGTCCAGGAGCTGAAGTTAATAGAGAGTCATTAAAAGTATTATAAACTAGAGATATGTTTATGAGGTCATTTCTTCTTGAATAAATCGCAGATTTAGCAAAAAAGTAAAAGTTCCAATTCTAATTTTAATATAAAATAGATTAATTAATAAATGTTAATTTCTACAAAATTGAATTATTATACAGATCTTAATCTAAACTATCCCTAAGGCTGAAAACTATTGTAAGTAAAATTAGTTCTATGAAAAAATAGCTCCACTTAGATTGAATAAATTCCTTTATCAAATGCATCATAAATATATTATGGGCATTTACCATAAGCTAAATAAGTGTATGAACAGTTTTTATACTACCTACCATCATTTTACACTATTTTTTTCAATTAAAACTGAAAGTTATTTATTATTGCTGGATCAAGTATATTATTTTACATTTAACTTATTTGTTTATAAATTTATTGTAAAGTCCTTAGTAGACTATCAAATCATTTGAAATCTGTTTGGTAAAATATATATATAAATATGAAAAGAGTATTTGAATTATTTACTTTTTATAGGTGATACTAGATTATAAACTTATCTACATAGACTAAATTGTGAAGTATTTGCATCTAGTTGTTTTAGAGATATTGAGATGAAAGATCCTCCCTTCAAGATAAAGAATAATTGCATTAAAAAGGAGCAAAATACTTAAAATAAATACCAATCTTAAAGGCTGGAATACACACTTTTGTAGTAAATGTAGAAAACTATTATAACTCCTGCTGATATAGGTATAATTACAGAAAAAATTAGCTGAATTATTATACGCATAATCCCTTTTTTATTGGTTCGATAAAAACTTTTTTAATTTATCTTATTTATATTCCTGCTATATTAATTTATCTTATTTATATTCCTGCTATACTAATTTATCTTATTTATATTATTGTTATTTTAATTAACAAAATAACATAATTTATAATTAATTACTAATAGAGTTCATAGAAATAAAAAAATACAAATTAAATGTATTTGCTTTTATTTTTTTACCATTATTTACTTAGAAATCAAGTGTTATTTACAATAAAAAATGCAATTTCTTTAATACAAAAAATATTAGCTTATGTTTAAATAAAATTGATGTATGTAAGAACTATTACCCACTATTTGAAAAAGTCTTTATTAAAAAAATTTACTTTTATCAAGATAATATAAATTCATGACGTCATTATGTTCAAATATTCTTATTTTTAATCATATTCATTTATCATAACTATAATGTGTTTTTAAGAACAAACAATTTCCTTCGCAACAATTATTTTATATTCTTTTTTTTAAATTTTAAAGTATTTTATGTAAGTATTTTTTAATTTAAAGAAATTTACTAATAACAATTTAATTAATTTTTTTTATTTTATAATTAAAATTTCCTTAACTATAATTAACAAATTTTCGTTATTTTAAAAAAATTTATCAGCCTTAATATTGAACATCTAATTTGATTATGTTTTTTAATAAAACAAATCACACTTTCAATTTAAAATTATAGAAACTTTATTTGAATTATTAAAATTGAATTTTATTTTCTTAAAAAAATCCTTATTCTAAATGCAAAATATTTCAAAAGTTTATTTTTAAATTTAAGTCAAATTATTTATAAAATTTGTAAAAATTAATTAATTTCTTTAATTGGTTTTGAAAATGAATTTAAAAATTTATGAAAATTAAAAATAGGTTAATCGTAAATATTTAAAAAATCATCAATCAACATAGTATATTTGGAAGGGGGTTGGGGTTGGGGTTGGGGTT